ATCTCAAAGCTGTTGTCTACAAGCGTGGTTACAGCATTGACATTCTGGATCGTTTACTTCGTTCACATTCAAAAAGCCAATCTAACAAAAAAAAATACCCACCTAAATCCAAAGATATGGTCCAACACGCTAACCAAGACAAACACGCTTAGATGTAGAACATCGTGTCACGCACATTAGGGTGAATCGCAACATCTCCAAGTTCCGAGGTCCCAGCAGCACCGCTAATGAGACTTCCAGACGGCGTCGCCGCAGGGGTTGGGTCAAACAGTTGACTCAGATAGCAACGAGCCCGCTCACACACCAAATCCGCATAATACGCCGGCGGGCAGATACTGACTGCCTTGGTGGCACGTCCAAAGAGGTAGCACATGCGGTGGGTTAGGTCCTCGAGAATATCCGCGGCGTTCTTGAACGGGGATCCCTGTGGGGGTTTCTGGTGGGCGAAGATCTCGTCCCAGACAGTGAAGTAGTGTGCAGGGCGGGCGGTGCCCTTGATGGCCGAATGGGCTTGCAGGAAGAAGTCCCAGTTACGGGCTTCGGTGACGCCGCGGTCCACGACGGTGCCGTTCTTCGAGTTGGCGCCGCGGTCAGCGTCTGCGTCGGACGTGGGGTAGAAGCGGGTGTGGTGACGTTTGCCAACGATAATTATGGAGATCCGCGGGAGGGACTTCTTGGTTAATGTCGCCGGGTAAGTCTCCTCGCAGGCTTTCTTGAGGAGCGGGAGTTCCCTGTCAAGGACGATGTCATACTGGCCCTCAGAGACACCGTCACGATAGACGATGATGTTCTCGGGGTAGTTCTTGTTCATCCGGGCCCAGCGCTGGAGACAGGTCTTGAGCATGGAGTCAAGATCGGAGACCATCTCCTGTCGAGAGGCTTGGATCTTGATCTCAGCGGGCCATTGGCCCAGGTACTGGTCCACGGAGGCAACCATGCCGGCCACACTGGGAGCATTGCCTGCGGAACCGGGGGACGGGTGTGTGACATCAATACCCACAAGCATAGTCTTGCCCTCGCTGATGATGCCCAGGTCCGCCGGTCGCAAAGATTGGTTAGCCCCGCCAAGCTTCAGGTTGAACTTGAGACCGACGTTGGAATAGTATTGGTCGTTGGCTCCCTTCAGCTTATCGGCGAGTACGCAGATGTTGCGTACACCCAGGCGGACGTCACAGACCTGCTTCACACACTTGTACAGTTCACTGTCACTGCCGTGGAGAATAGTGAAGACCAACGTAGGTTGGTGGCGGGCCATCATGTCAGAAATCGCCTTCTCAACCTCTTTTTCCGTGTTCTGCCCGGACAAATTTATTTTCATGCCAGGCTTAGGTACCGATATCGCGACACCAATTTCATTCAACTTCCCAGCGAGACCCTTCAAAGAAGCAGTCAAATCGTCGGGGCCATTGAAGTGCTGCCTCGCCCTGGGAGCATCAAAGTAAATCCACGACCAAGAAGCCAGTTTAGTACCCTGCGAGAATCGAATTGCCTTCATGTTCCAGCCGCCATTCATTGGATCGACCGGTTTCTGCTGCGACCTGTTGTCCTTGTAGTAGACACGAGGCGCGGGAAGAACACGGCCAGGGACAGTGACAAGGTCAAGTCCTGGCTGAATGTTGAAATTCGCCTAAAAACAGTGGTCAGTTATACATCGCAGCAATTCCAGTAACGAGGCCAAAACTCACTAGAGTAGAATTCTGCCCGGCAAAGCCAAGTACGCGACTCCCACGGTTCACGACAGACCCGGCATTCAGCGCAGGGGTCCGCACAGCAAAGTTCAACATGTGCCGAGTTTGGTCCCCGCTGAGTTTGGTACCTGCAGGCTGACCGGGCTCGACCATACAAACCTCAACCGGCAGGTATGACGGGTTCTGTCTGTTCCCAACGTTCATCACGGGAATCTTGGAGTCGAGATTCACATTATATGCTGAGACACAGTTAGAAAAGCTTGTTCAGTGGTCACGTAATTGCATATTTGCAAGATATACTTACCCTGACGAAAGAAGTCGGCCACGGTGATGTACTTGCCAGCCTGCGCTGGGCCAGCTTTGGGCTGTTTCTTGCCCTTCTTGCCCGGTGTTTGTCCGCTCTGGCCTTGAGACGATGGCTGTTGGCCCGGCTGATCAAGGAAGAACTGAACATCTCGAGGACCAGCCCCGTGGTGAGACACCTTAGGAGGCTGAGGTAGTGACGATCCGTCAGCACGAGTGGCCAGGCCTGCAATTGACTTCATTCTAGGAACACCCTGTCCCTTTTTGTTCTTCTTCACGATGTGGTTCGCCCTAATTCTCAATTTCTTGAGGAAAGCCTCAAGTTTGTAGATGTTTGAACCATTGCCGCGTTGGTACTCAAAAATAACGTTTGCCAGTGGGCCTTCCTGGTAGCAGGCCACATATTTGACCTGCACATTGACCAAGATACGGGCTGTCGCTGCACGAGCACTGACAAAAAAGCCCCGAAGAACCTCCAGACCAGCACCCAAGCTGCATTTCTCCGCCAAGTCTGGGTACATGGCGTAATGTCTGTTTGCACCAACCGATACGATGGATTGATCGGATTTCGGTTGGTGGCCCAGGACAATATTCATAGCCTGAATGACCTCTGCCTTGGTCTCAAACATGGCTGAAGCATTGGAGGATGTCAAGTAATCCAGCAGATCGGAAGGATTGAGCTTGCCCGTGAACTGGCAGGTGACCTTGTAAACCTTGGGGTTCTCCGGGTATTCGTCTTCATGCTCGTCGCGGTAACGGACATCATAGGTTCCCTTATTCGGGAGCTCAATCCGCGACACAAGCGTGGAACGGTAGTCTGTGGTAATGCTGTTCTGGCATTGGAGAAAGTGCTCACCAAGCAGCAGACGAATGACCTGACGGGCTTTCTTCCCGGTGGGCTTGCGACCGGCAGAATCACCCCCGATATCGACATGGTAGCGGAAGAGCTCCTTGCCCAAGGACTTCAACTCGAAATAGTTGGCGTAGAGCTTGACAGGCTGTCCCTGAGTTCCGTATCCTGGTCGTGCTGGGTAACGAAGCTGACCTGGAGTCTTTCGGTTCTTGGTTGCCAAAGCTTTGGCGGTTGCATCTTCGATCTTTGTAACTTCGGTCGATGATGCGGCCTGACCACTTGGGTTGCTAGAAGGAATGTCATGTCTCAATCAATCTAGTCAAGTCGAAGCCACCCTTGGCGATCACATCTTCATTGAAGGGGACATACGTAAAGATCCGGGGACCCTGTTCTCTGGGAGGTCCTCCTCCACGACCTCCACGACCTCCTCGAAAGTCGCCTCGTCCACGACCCCTTCCTCCTCGATCTCCACCGTCACCTCTTCCTCGGCCTCTGCCATCTCCTCGGCCTCTACCATCACCCCGACCTCTGAAATCACCCCGACCACGGTTATCACCTCCGGGGCGGTAGGGAAGCTCCATCGATCCACCGCGACCTCGTTGGTTGCCTCTGGAGGACATGGTTACGGTGGGATGAGTGATGGATGGTTAAAAATAACGTTGGAGACGCCCTCGGACCTGGGATCCAGAGAAATGAATAAAAATATGGAGGGGTTGATTGTTGACGCGGAGACCAGCCTCTCTTTTAAGAGTGTCCCACCAAGAGCCGCAACTACAAATAAAAAAGGAACGAGAACAGTGAAGCAAAAGAGGAGAAGAGAGGGGAGAGCACAGGGAGGAGATGACGTGGGCAAATCAAGAGAAAGAGAAGTAGTTGCTATTTTACGTCGGAAAAGTGGCACGTGCGCTGGTCACGTGCCCACAAAGATCCCGGAGCGGAATATACGACGGCAAGAGAAAGAGAAGATGTAGTATGAATTAGCAGATTATGAGTAATTGGAGGTAGGGTCACATGATACTATGATGGTACAGAGATCAGACAAAGCACAACATACTCCTACATAACAGTGTACAGGGCACAGGGAATTGTACATACAGACATTGGTATAATAGTAGAATGAAAAAATTTCTGTAATTGTCATACCCTGGAAGTCTGTGCACTGCTGTATATATATGTCTAGGCTAGACGATACAGAGTAGGATGATCTGACAGCAGTTGAGCAATTCAATGCTGACCCCATTGACTTCACCAAAACACATATATAACATACATGCCTCCATCCCCTTATTGAGTCTAATACATCCAAATTATACCAAGCCTCGTATGGTCTAACAGAATGAAGCTCTACGGCCAAGACAGACCGCCCGGGGCGATAACGGAGATAATCAATTAATCACTGCCCACGACTTCAACAGTCAACTTTCTTCCCCGACATACTCTCTCCACCAGCAGCATTTAATGTTGATTTGCTGTGCTGGATTCGACTATTTCTTTGTTATCTGTTGGGATCGTCGCGCTTTGTCATCATCCAATACGAAAAAGGAGCTCGAACCGTCCATCGGTATCGGTACATGGTACGTTCATCGTATTGCGCCCCGCGCTGCATACTCGAATATTGTACCTTCTACCCTGCCATATCGGCCTTGTTTCAAGATTGCGCGTCTAACTGCTAATATAGCCAAACGTACAGAATATATATATATATATATACTGGTCCGCTTAGCCTAATCCTTTGCGTTCTCGGTCCGATAACACACTTCGAGCTGTCCCCGCGACCCGAAAATTGAAACCACCGTCGACCGATCGAATTCGTTTACAAGCCATAACGAGGAGATCTGCTCGCTTTTGCTGGCCACTGGAACGTGGCTTATTGTGATATCGCGACTATACTGAGCTATTTTCTGGGACTGTCTGGTGGTCAGTGATAGAAGTGATTGCCAGCCTCGTGGCCCTGCGCGCACACGGCCCGGAGAGAAATACAGAACATCGAGAATAATTGCTGGACGCAATCTGCTAGGGCGACGCCTGGTGGTCTTTGGAGTGGGGATACTAGTGCGAAGAGCTCTCTGCGCCATTTGCATCACGTTCAGAATTTGACTTGGAACGCCCGATCATATCAGTTGTCTTATCATCCTTTGCACCAAAAGTGCCTGAAAATGGCCCCAACACCTCCATCGCTTGAGTCCAGCATCAGCGGACATTCGCCTGAAGGACAATACAGAGTTATCCGCAAGAGAAACAGAGTACCCCTGTCCTGCGGTCCTTGTCGACAACGAAAGTAAGCTTTTCACCAACACCCCACTTATGTCTACACGCGTACCTTCTGACACCATGGATAGGTTAAAATGCAATCGCTCTAATCCATGCGAAAACTGCGTCAAACGCGGCGATGCCTCGTCCTGTTCATATGCTCAACCCAACGTTCGGAAGAAAAGCACCCCGCAGCAACCGGCTTTGGCTACTCCAGACGATATGCAGAATAGGATTGACCGGTTGGAGGGTCTGGTGCTGTCTTTAATGACCAATGGGTCACCATCTGCAGGACCAGCGGCAGCCATGGCAGCGTTATCTGGTAGCGACAGTTCTGCTCACTATTCTAATAGCGTGAGCGTAAGCGCAAATGAGGAAGATGGCCCTGCGGGTCTAGAGGAAAGCGATACAGAACAGGTCACAAAATCATTCGGTATCATGAAGGTCGATAATAACAAGTCATACTACATCAGTGATGCACATTGGGCATCCGTTCTGAACGACGTGGGTTCACATCTAGGCCACTTGCTACTCTTTCCATTTTAACAAACATCGTTCCCTTAGATTTCTGAAGTTCGGAATTATTTTACCACACACAAAAAGCAGTATGAAGAACAAGCAGAAAAGCTCCAGGCGAGCAAGCCACCCACCGACATCCCCGGATCCGCGCTGCTTTTTGGCGCTACGAAACCAACTAGTCGAGCTGAGATCATGGCCTCCTTGCCTTCCAAATATACTACAGATATCCTAGTTGCACGATACTTCAGCTCCTACGATCCTGCTACTCGTGAGTTACTTCCTTTGCTGTCAGACTTCGTATCAATTTTGGCACACATTCTAAATACGTTCAGACATCCTCCACGGGCCTACTTTCCAGGTTGCAGTAAGTCACAAGATAATGAGTCCCATTGGCTAGGGATCCAATCTGGTACTGACCTCACCCAAGTATAACAGACATTGGGAAGACCCTTCCCAAACGTGCATTGTCTGGATTGCCATGCTATTTTCTATGATGCGGCTTGCGATGTTGTCGTATCATTTGGAAGGCGATGGACCTCCTGAGTTTCGGGCCAAATCTCTGGACATGGCAGCGAACTTCCGCAACGTGATGGCACAGTGCTTGATGCTAGCAGATTATACAAAGCCGTACCGGTACCTGATTGAAACATTGGTTTTCCATCTCCATGGAGACTTTCGTCAGACTAAGGAGGCGAATGTGTCTATATGGATCCTGGTAGGCGTCATTGCACGATTAGCCATGCGGATGGGGTATCATCGCGATTCGAAGATGTTCCCAAACATAACGCCTTTCCATGGTGAAATGCGTCGACGAATATGGACTTTTGTGAGACAAGCAGATTTACTTTTCTCTTTCCAGCTCGGGCTGCCTAGCATGCTGCGCTCGGCCGACAGTGACACAGAACTCCCACGAAATCTCTATGATGATGATTTCGATGAAGACTGCAAAGAGCTCCCACCTTCGCGCCCACCAGATGAGCCAACCCCTGTCTGCTTTCTGATAACTAAAGCCCGTTTGTCGTATGTCTTCGGCAACGTTGTTGATCATACCTCCTCCGTTCATAGCGGATCTTACGAGAAGACCATGGAATTTGATGCAGAACTTCGTCGCGCGAGGGACATGATCCCGGAGCATCTCATAGTGCGTCCTATGGAAGAATGCCAACATGATCAGTGTCCCTTGATTATGTCACGGTTTTCGGTAAGTTGCGCCTCTGCTTTTTTGATTTATATCAGGCGCTGACGACTGCGTAGGTAATGAGCGTTTACCACAAGGCGCAATGTGTTCTTCATCGGCAATATCTCGTCCGAGCACGGGACAACCCGCGATTTACGTATTCCCGAAGGACATGTATCGATTCCGCATTAGAGTTGCTGCGGTTCCAGTCCATGCTCCACGAAGAAACGAAACCAACAGGTCGTTTGCGCAGCAGGCATAACAGGGTGACCTCGCTTAGCTGTACAGATTTTCTACTTGCATCTACTATTGTTTGTCTTGACCTCCATCATGGACTCCGACTACAGGCAGCTGGCAGGCCATCTGGTGATATGTATGTCTGGGGCAGAGAGCGCCGGGAAGAACTATTGGCCGCAATAGGACGTTGCAAGGAAATCTGGGATGAACTTCGTGATGAGACCCTGGAGGCCTGGAAAGCTTCCGGTGTGATGGGAGTGATGCTATCAAAGCTGAACCTGGGATTCCTGGCAACCGAGAACGGTGGTGGAGTCGCACAGCCCTTCGAACCGCAGGACGAGAAGCAAAATGCTGCTATGACATTAGGGCTCCTCAGCAGTGGAATGAACCCCATGAATAACAATGGACCACCTGCATTTGCCGACCCAACGTTCAAGATGTCGGACCCTTCTCTAGCACAAGGAGGGCTAGGGTCAGCAGACGTCGCAACTGCCGCCTCACCTTTCAGCGCAATGTTTGGGCAAATGCCCGATATGCAGCTGAACCTGGACTGGGTAAGTAAACTGACTAACACTCGACACATGGGAACTGCAAGCTAATTTAGTTGTAGGATGCATGGGATACCTATATCCAAAATTCAACCTTCGACACGTCCAACCAGTGGTGGCCGATTGCTGACATGCAGCAGCCCCAACCTCAAGCCCAACAACCACAGGCCTCAATTCCCCTGTCCCCTTCACGGATGCCCATATCGCAGCCATTCTTCCCGCCTCAAGCCGCCGCCGCTTACAACACTGCATCATTGCCTGGAGTTTACAACAGCGCAGACCCTTCCCGGCAATCTAACGGGCGACAGGAAGATATGTGAATGAAATCGTACTAAGACTGGAGTTTCTATCAATTTTCCTTTTACGTTTGGGCTTGGTAGGTATTGTTCTTTAATCCGGTTACTGGAGAGATTGATTAGGGAAAAGTTCCAATTGAATCTACGTTCATGATATATGATACATGAGGATGGCGTTATGAAATCTCCTTTCATTGATTTTCATGGTTTGATGTTATTTCAACGGTGGTGTTGATTGTGATAGCAAACTAAGTCTGCTTTAAAGTCGATAAGAAATTGTATTTGTTAATTAATTTTCTGTTTATCTCAAAATTCGATATATTCAAGACTAAATTGACAATAAATACTCTGATTATCAATGCCAAACAGAATGTCGTTTTTGGATATAAATCACGTGAAGTTATCATCCACTTTTTGCGTCGAGCACCTCCGAAGCCGTCCTCCGCACCAGCAGCAATCATTCCTGTCCAGCCCAGCAAATATTCAACTCGCGTGTTTCTTTATCTTATTTACTTGGTCTGCGATATCAATTTGCTTTATTCTGCTAATTGAGGCAGGGGCAAAATGTGAGTGATGCACAAACTTCCCCTCCCCTCATCAAGCATTAAAAAAAAAAAAAAAAAAAAAAAAAAGAAAAGTGATAGCTAAACATGAATCTTTGGAAAGCAGGTATTGCTTCCGGCGGGCTGCCCTCCGTCTTCTCTCGTCGTCTGCATTTGCGACACACTTACAGCCTCGATCAGTAAATGCAATCAATCGATGTCGATTACCGTTTTTCGTTCCGCGACAATCCCCGCATTATGCTTTTCAACGCCGGTGGAATAGCGATGAGGCCGGGGGGAGAGAGCCGCTAGATGTGGAGAACGATAAAGAAGATAAGAAAGACACAGAAAATAAGAGCGAAGATGCCGCAGCACAGGAGGAAAAGCGTGAAGTTACTGAAGAGACCGAGCTCGAGTTAAAGTCCACGCCCACCGAGACAGCCGCAGAAACAGAAGTGAAGCCAGAAACGATAAGCCAAAACCTGGAGGTGTCCGCAAACTCAGACCCAGATGCGACAGAGGAAGAGGGGCCACGAACCGAGTCTGAGCCTACATCGAACAAAACACAAGAAGCTGCACCGACACCACCATCCGGTCCTGCGCGGTTCAGATATGTGGAGCAACCAGCGGCGCCGAAGGAGACGATTTTCATCTCCAACTTATACTTTGATGTCACCGCGGACGATTTACGGAAGAAGATGGAAGACTTTGGGGTTGTTGAGAATGTGACGATTGTTCATGATGCGCGGGGGATTAGCAGAGGGTGGGTTTGCCCGCTGCATCTCATTATAGGGCTGAGAAACTAATGGAGGATGAATGTAGGTTCGGATACGTTACCTACGACACGACCGAGTCTGCCAGCAGTGCAATCGAGAACATGGACGGCATTTACTATGAAGGTCGTCAGGTCTTTGCCCAATACGCGCGCGTCAACACCGGCGACTACAAGCTCCGAAAACCCAAGAACCCGCCTTCCAGAACGATTTTCGTAAGCAGAATTCCGCCTGAGATGACCGTTCAAGAGCTACATGAACTTTTCGACGACATTCACAACGTTATTGATATCCGGGTGTCCGTTGACCGGCGCACGGGGTACCTTCGGGGCTTTGCGCACGCTGAGTTCCTTGACCTCCAGAGCGCCAAGGAAGCGTTTGAAGTTCTTGGCAAAAAGAGGCCGCATAACAAGCCGCTTAAACTTGATTACAGTCACACGAACAGGAAGATGCCGGGGCCTAATATTGGTGCTGGATTTGCGGGCTACGAGCCACCTGTTTACAGTGGTCCCTCTTCATCGTAGTCTTAATTGGGAGCTTTGTGATGTCTTTTCTATATGTACTATATACGTTGCAAGCGGTTTTGTATTTCTATTTCATGTTTGATAGATGACGGACGCAATGACACCTTTCCTCTTTGGGAATAACGTAATCGACCACCGAGCTGGCCAGCTGGCCACATCCACGACCACTAAACCACTTACAATTTGAACTTTGCTATTTTATCCACAACCACAATTATGGCCGATGATTCAAAAGAAGAGCGCATAAAATTAGCTCTAAAAGCTTATAAAAAAGGCCTTTTTTCATCAAAAAATGCAGCAGCAAAGGCATATGACGTACCTCTCTCTACCTTTAAGACCCGGGCCAATGGAACCACATGCCGCAAGGACTCTATTGCCAACGGCCGAAAATTGACGCCCACTGAAGAAAAGACGCTTTCATCATGGATCATTGATATGGGCCAGCGTGGTCTACCTCTACGAATCTCTACTGTACGCTATTTGGCACAGTTACTACTATCTGCACGGCTGTCCTCTCAGACTGCCTATGTTGGCGAGCATTGGGTGACTCGGTATACTAGACGCCATAGGGAACTCAGGGAACTCTCCTCCAAATATAGTCGAAAACATGACTATCAGCGTGCCAAATGTGAAGACCCAGAGCTTATTATGGGGTGGTACAAATGTTTCTATGGTGCTATTGAAAAATATGGAATTCTCGAGCAAGATATCTATAATATGGATGAAACCGGATTTCAGATGGGCATGATATCCACAGCCAAAGTTATATGTGGCTCAGAGACTCGGGCAAGCAATGCCAAAGCCATACAGCCTGGGAACCGTGAATGGGTAACTGCCATTATTGCAGTAAATGCAGCTGGATGGGCCTTGCCTCCGCAGATTATCCTGGCCGCAGAAAACCACCAGTCTCAATGGTATCATGCTGTCCCAAAGGACTATACAATCAGTGTCAGCAGGAATGGCTGGACAAATGATGGATTAGGCTTGGAGTGGCTTCAAAATGTCTTTGAGCCACATACAGCCTCCCGTACATTAGGGAGATATCGCATGCTGATTTTGGATGGGCATAGCAGCCATGCCACTGCAGAATTTGATAAATTCTGTATGGAAAGGAATATTATTCCTTTATACATGCCTCCACATTCATCTCATCTTCTTCAACCATTGGATGTTGGCTGCTTTTGGCCATTGAAGAAATTATACGGCCAACGAATCACTGATAAGGCACAGAAGGAAATCGACACTATTAATAAAACAGAATTCCTCTATACATACCCTACTGTCCATTATCAGGCTCTATCATCATCGAATATCCAAAAAAGCTTTGCAGCAACTGGCCTGGTCCCATTCTCGCCCGAGCGAGTCCTTACAAAGCTTCATATGCCATACAAAACATCAACACCGCCTTCATCATCACACAGCAATCAATCCCTTGGTGCAGGCAAGACTCCAGCAGATGTTAACCAGCTTTCAGCTCAAAAGAAGCGAATGGATCACCTCCAAAATCATCAGGTGTTCCCATCAATTATGCATGAGGCGATGGGAAAGGTCATTAGAGGGGCGGAGATGAACATGCAAAATGTCATCCTACTACGGCATGAAATCCACCAGCTTCGCATGGAAAATAGGCATCAAAAGCAGAGAAGAGCAGCTCCTAGGGCCTTTATACAAGCTGGAGGGAGCCTGACAGGTGCTGAAGGTCTGCAAAAAGCGCAAGAACAGGAGGCTATAGTGGAGGAAGCACACCGGCCAGTTTCCAGGCTGCGTAAGCCACCAACCTGCAGCACATGTAACAAAATAGGCCACAATCGGCTAAAATGTCCTGAGAAATAGTATGTTGCTTTTATAGAAAATTTATATCCATTTTGTGGGGATAAAGGCCTTAAAAACTTCATATAGTGTGTTTTCGCTGCGGGCGGCGGCCAGCTGGCCAGCTCGGTGGTCGATTACGTTACTAGTTTTCATTACTAATAGTCTCTCACGTGATACTACGAACCTCGGCATCTCCAAATCTTCCGGTCGGTTCAAGGCGGTTTCGGGAACCCCACGTTTTGCCATTGGAGATACGGTCTGTGACCATCTTCCTTCTTTCTCATTCTTGCTTCCTATCCTTATCTAGATCTAGCAGCAATTAGCGGTTGATTTCTTGCCATATCGCTGAGAACTGCGTTACCGCACACCTGTCAAAATGTCATTCCTCGGTGGCGCTGAGTGCTCGACGGCTGGAAATCCGTTGACCCAGTTCACAAAGCACGTCCAAGATGACAAGTCTCTACAACGCGATCGACTTGTCGGGAGAGGCCCTGGGGGCATGCAAGAAGGCATGCGATCCCAGGGCATGATGGGTGCTCAGGATCCGGTATGCTATCTTTACCGAAAAAGAACACATCGACCGGGAAGTAGATTGAATTGAAGCTGACGGAATGTCTTGAATGATTAGATGATGGACGAATTCGCCCAACAACCCGCCCAAATGCCCGGTGCACCACCCCAGCCCTTTGCAATGGAACACATGAGACGCGAACTAGAACAATTCCAAGCCGCTCCGCCGCGAACAGGATCACCCGGATGGGCGGCGGAATTCGACGGTGGAGAACACGCCCGGATGGAGGCTGCTTTTGCTGGACCGCAGGGTCCGATGATGAATAATGGATCGGGCTTTACGCCGGCCGAATTTGCCCGTTTCCAACAACAGAGTCACGTCGGGATGCCTCAGACCGCTGGTACGGCGGCGTCGGCTGCGTCGCCGATGATGGCGGGTTATCAGCGTCCGATGGGAATGGGAGGAATGGGAATGGGAGGTATGGGTATGGGTGGAATGGGTATGATGCGGCCTACGTATAGTCCTATGGGAACGATGCAGCAGCCGCAACCCGCGGAAGAGGCTATGCAGGACAAGGGCAAGGGTCGTATGGTCGAGTTGGACGATCAGAACTGGGAGGCGCAGTTTGCGGAGATAGAGACGGCGCAGACTAATGAGGCTACTACGGACGAAGAGGCCAATAAAGCTATGGAGGCGGAGCTGAACGATCTTGACAGGTCAGTCCCCACCACCACCGAAGATGGTGGTTTTGAAAGCGTATGGCGAAAAGTCCAAGCTGAGACGTCGGCGAACAGGAAACTGGTTGAAGAAGAGGGCGATTTTGATGTTACTGATAACATGCACATGGGCGATCTTGGAGAATGGGACCAGTTCGATGCTCTCAACACCCGTTCCCGAGACCCGCAGCTGGGCGACTACATGTTCGAGGAGGAGAATGTTTTCCGGAACGTGAGTGACCCGTTCGAGGAGGGTGTTAAGGTCTTGCGCGAAGGTGGCAATCTGTCTTTGGCTGCGTTGGCTTTTGAAGCTGCTGTGCAGAAGGATCCCTCGCATGTGCGCGCCTGGACTATGTTGGGAGCGGCGCAGGCTCAGAACGAGAAGGAACTCCCCGCAATTCGTGCCCTGGAACAGGCTCTTAACACTGATGGAAACAACCCTGACGCCCTTATGGGCTTGGCTGTTTCCTACACTAACGAAGGATACGACTCGACGGCATACCGGACGCTTGAGCGATGGCTTTCCGCCAAGTACCCTTCAGTCGTCGATCCCAACAATCTCTCATCCGACGCGGACTTGGGCTTCACAGACCGTCAGATCCTACACGACCGGGTCACCGATCTTTTCATCCAAGCTGCCCAGATGTCACCTTCCGGAGAGCATATGGACCCAGACGTGCAGGTCGGTTTGGGTGTCCTCTTCTACTGTGCTGAAGAATACGATAAGGCCGTTGACTGCTTCTCTGCCGCACTGGCCTCTACCGAATCCGGTACTGTGAACCAGCAAGAGCAGCTCCACCTCCTCTGGAACCGTCTCGGTGCCACCCTTGCCAACTCTGGCCGTTCTGAAGAGGCCATTGAGGCGTACGAGCAGGCACTCACAATCAACCCCAACTTCGTCCGCGCACGCTACAACCTGGGTGTCTCGTGCATCAACATTGGCTGCTACCCAGAAGCCGCTCAGCACCTGCTGGGCGCATTGTCCATGCACCGTGTTGTTGAGCAAGAAGGTCGCGAGCGTGCTCGCGACATCATCGGAGGCGATAACGTCGACGATGAGCAGTTGGAGCGCATGCTTCATGTCAGCCAGAACCAGAGTACGAATCTGTACGATACTCTGCGGAGAGTGTTTAGCCAGATGGGGCGGCGGGATCTGGCCGATTCAGTCGTGGCTGGAATGGATGTCAATGTGTTCCGGAAGGAGTTTGAGTTCTAGAAAGATACTGTCTGTTGATTGATTATTTATAGGGGATGTAGGGATGTACTCTTGTGTATATTCGGAATGGTCTTTCATGATGGCTGGCGTGGAACGAGCGCGGAATCTGGTTGCATGTTAAGGACGCTATGTTGGATACCATGACTGTTATTAATGTACAGGGAAATGATATGATGTTTCATAAATTGTAATTATTTCGGGATTAGGGTCAGCCATATGAAGGTGTACTCCACGACTCTGTGGCGGCCATGCGATACTGCAGAGATTGCAATACTACGTGTCTATTAAAAGAATACGACTATGATATGAATTGGAATCAAAGCGCAATTAAGGGTTGATGTTTCGCCCGGGACATATATCCAACGGCGACAACTCCGGCATTGCGTCATTAACCTCGGTCGAATGAATACTGATGCCTCCGCACGACTCCAGCTCCATCTTTCCCTTCTTAAACCCTTAACCCCAGATTCCCCACCAGATTCTGGAATAAAAATAGTATTTACACTTCTATCAGGAATCATGACCACAGCAACCGGCGCGCAGCTAATCGCGCGGACACTACGCGATCTAGGCGTCACCGTGATCTTCGGAATCGTTGGTATCCCCGTCGTGGAGATAGCCGAAGAAGCCATCAATTTGGGGATTCGATTCGTCGCGTTCCGCAACGAGCAGGCGTGTAGCTATGCCGCAAGTGTCTATGGATATATGACGGGGCGGCCGGGTGTTTGTCTTGTTGTTGGAGGGCCGGGGGTTCTTCATGCGTTGGCGGGTGTATGCCATCTCCATCTCTCCCCCCCTGGTATATGGCAGATACTAACTACGGATTGGCCAGATTGGCAACGCGACAGCAAACAACTTCCCACTGATCGTCCTCGCGGGCTCAGCAGAAACCAGCAACGTGACGAAAGGCTCCTTCCAAGAAATGGACGCCATCTCGTTCCTAACACCGCATACCAAGCTCGCCGTCCGCGCATCAACCCTCGACTCCATCCCCGGCTCCGTGCAAAATGCCTATAGACTATGCTGGTACGGTCGCCCGGGCCCGACATACGTCGATCTCCCCGCCGATATCATCCAGGGTAATGCTCCAGCCGGCACTGCGATCCCGCCTCCTGAGAAGATACTACTCCCGTCTCCGCCCAGGGCAAGCGGGGACCCGAAGATGATACTGAAGGCCGTGCAGTTGCTGAAGAGCGCGAGAGCGCCGTTGTTGGTTATCGGGAAGGGAGCTGCGTATGCGCGCGCGGAGACTGGGATCAGGAAGTTAGTTGAGCATACGCAGGTTCCTTTCTTGCCGACTCCAATGGGGAAGGGTGTGATTCCTGATTCGCATCCGCTGAATGCGTCGAGTGCGCGCAGTGCGGCGCTGAAACATGCGGATGTCGCGCTGGTTCTTGGGGCGAGGTTGAATTGGATTCTGCACTATGGAGAGCCGCCGAAGTGGTCGCCCAAGGCGAAGATTATCCAGGTGGATATCTGTGCGGAGGAGATTGGGCGGAATGCGGGGACTGCAGAGTTGGGGATTGTTGGGGATCTTGACCTCGTGGTTGAACAGTTGCAGCGTGCGTTGGCGAATTGGCGATATGCGCCATCGCCGTTGTCTGCCGGTAGACAGCCATTTCCAGTATTGCTGGCTGAATCGGCGAAGAAGAATGAGGCCAAAGCGCAAAAGGCAGCGCTGCTCAAGACACCATCTTCTTCACCATTGACCTACCAGCGCGCATACCATATCATCAAATCAACCCTGAATACACTTACACCCCCAGAAGCCGGTGATATTGTCTACGTCTCCGAAGGCGCCAACACAATGGACATCTCCCGTTCAGTCTTTCCGCTTTACCATCCCCGTCAGCGCCTAGATTCAGGTACCTACGCAACTATGGGCGTGGGACTGGGCTACATCATTGCGGCGCATGAAGCCTTCAATGCCTCCGCATCGCCCGGTACTACGCTAAACGCGGCAACAAAGCCAAAGAAGATTGTCGCCCTGGAAGGAGACAGCGCCTTTGGATTCAGCGCAATGGAAATCGAAACCATGGCGCGCTACCGCATCCCTGCACTCATCTTCGTCATGAACAACTCAGGCATCTACCACGGTGACAGCACCAGTGAAGATTCCTGGAAATCCCTACAAAACCAAACAGTCACAAGTGACACGAAAGCATCCAGCCCCGAAGAGGAAGGGAAGAAAGGTCTGCGATCGACAAGTCTTCTGTACGAGACTAGATACGAGCAGTTAGCCACGATGTGCGGTGGGAAGGGCTATTTTACTCGGAATGAGGAGGAACTGGAGAAGGCTACGAGGGAGGGATTCCTGAGTGATAGTGTTACGGTTGTGAATGTGGTTATTGAGCCGGGGATTGGGAAGAAGATTGGGTTTGCGTGGCAGGGGGATAACAATAAGCAGGAGGCGAAGCTGTAAGGTGTACAGAGTATATATGTGCCTATACATACTGGGTTGTTCTGGAATGCCAGTCTTTTTATTTCCATGCTTTATTGATGGTATTTAGGGCCTTGCTCAGTGAGTATCTTTTGAAACCCTCACGTCAACTTATCTGGATTTAGTTCAGTCGCCCCTGTATAATCATGCCCCAAGATGTGCAGTAAAGGGCTAAGAATGATTATCAAACAAGGTGAATGTACTTAATCTGATATCATTGTATCTCCCAAGCTGATGAAGCCCATATCGAAATAAATAGCTAAGCCCTCTCAGAAGACGGTTAGGGGAGGTTGTAAGCTGTACCCGAAAATCAACAGAGATTGGGATCCTGACCTTATCCGGACAAGACCCTAGGCAGGATCATAAATCAGCGACCAACATGCAACAACCAAAGGGAGTTGATAAATTATCTCCACCCCCTCCCCCATACCCCATAGTAAGCCCGACAACTCCGGTGTTTACAACTATATCAAGTTCTGGTATGTATTCGACCCTTTACCACAACTACCACCGCAACAACATGACTGCGAGATACGCCAAGGATCAGCCTGCGGGCTTCACCAACCGCATTGAAAAGGTGGCTATTGTCGGGGTGAGTCAGCTTCCTTTAGAACCGGTCTTGGATAAACCCTAACAAATACTGCGTACAGGCCGGTGGCCAAGTTGGAAGTCAATTGGCCCAAGGAATCCCCAGAAATGGCAAACACGCCTTGACCGCGATCCAACGCACTGAAAGCAACAGCACACTCCCAGAAGGCATCAACGTGATCCGCGTCGACTACAGCAATGATGACAACACTGCCCTAGTCGAAGCCCTCCGCAGCAAACAAGTCCTTCTCATCACAATGGCAGTGGCCGCTCAAATGGTCGCCATCCCGAAACTCGTCCGCGCAGCCGCCAAAGCCGGCGTCCTACGTCCTCCCCAACTGGTTCAGCCACGACACCGCCAACGACAAGCTATGCGAAGAAAGCATGCTGAAGGCCAGTCGCAACAGGATCGTCCAAGATATTGAAAGTCTGGGCGTCAGTTTGCATTTGCTGCTCGTGTGCAACTTTTGGTACGAATTCAGTCTAGGCGGTGGTGCGGATCGGTTTGGATTCGATTTCCAAAAACAATCTTTCATCTGGTTCGATGATGGGGATGTGCGGTTTTTCGTTAGTATCTGGCCGCAATGCGGTCGGGCCATTGCCGGTCTGCTCAGTCTGAAGGAACTCCCCGAGGATGAATCGGACAAGTCGCCCAGTCTGTCTCAGTTCCGGAACACTCCTGCCTATATTTCCTCTTTCCGAGTCACTCAGCGAGACATGTTTGAGAGTGTCAAGCGAGTGACTGGCACGACGGATGCCGACTGGGCTATCACCCGCGAGTCGGCCGAGCAGCGTTGGGAGAAGGGCTTTGAGGCCGTGAAGCAGTGCAATTTCGGGGCGTTTCCGAAAATGTTGTACAGTCGGATGTTTCTCCCTTCTGCTGATGGTGACTATCAGTCTCGTCGGGCGCTGGATAATGATATTCTTGGGTTGCCTGTTGAGGATTTGGATGAGGCTACGGCTGTTGCGGTGAAGATGGGGGAGAATGGTGAAGTGGCACATTCGCATTAGTTATTGTCGTCTCCAAATTCGAAATGTTTGACTTGACTATCTGTTATTACTGTTTTTATGTACTGGACCTGGTACATCATAGTAGAAAAGACCCTATCTAGTACGGCGTCCGCCTCTCTGCAAGTTCGTCACATACTGACTGCCTCTGAGCACTCGATATTAGAATAGCTGTGAATGTAGTTGATGTAACTCCCGTAGACAAAACTAAGCAGAAGTACCCTCAGTAGCCTTTTTCCTAGCATAAGGATGGCTCAGTCTTGCGAGGTTGGTGCTCCTAGGCGGACATAGCATACGCTGGGTATGTATCCAGGCTACTAATAATTCAATTCATCAAATGATCCACGACCTTAGCCACAGAAACAGCCTTCTCCTCTCCAAATCTTCCTCCAACAATCTGCAGACAAACCGGCATATCCTTTACCAACTCGATATCATCTAGGCCATTAGCCCTCATCCAGCAACTTTGCGTTAAAGACAAGCAAGGGATCAACTTACACTGAGCATGATTAAACCCATCCGACCCATTCCTCGGCACATGCCTTACCCACTCCTCCCCGGGCTGATCCAGCTCAGCATCCGCCTTCCCCACAGGAACTGTAGCAACAGCGTAATTCAACAAGTTCCATATAGCCGTGTATCCTAACCACTGCGAGCTCGTGACCCAGGCTTTGGGTGGGTAGCCTACCCAGGGTAAGACGGGCATCAGGAGGGCATCAATGTTGGAGGCTTGCCAGTGGTTGAGGAAGGTGGTTTGGAAAGTCCACTTTTGTTCTTCGAGCTGCATATGTTGTTAGTGGGTGTTTGAGGAGGCGGAGTGGAAAGGGGAGGAGGTACCAATTCGCGTTCTGGAATGGAGAGCTGGTCGTTCGCTGTGCCTACGAGCATACCCTCAATTAGAGGCTCGCCTACCAAGTCGCAGAGGTGCTTGCAGTGTTGGCCTCCGTCGGCTAGAACGCCCTTTGTCCAAAGGTTCGTGGCTTGGATGTGTAGGGATGTGTCCCATTCGATGACTAGATTTTCAGTAGCCGAATCAAAGGAAGGTGATAGCATGGAGAAAAGGGGCAACCGTACCTTCGTGACCAGCCTCTTTCAACTTCGCAGCAGTCTCCCGCAATAACCGCGCAATTGGCGGCTGAGGCTTGACAACCCCATCATCGTAGATGATACCGATTCTCAGCTTCCGGTCTGGAAATGCCGCTACGTCCTTCCTCCATGGGACTGGGATACAGCCCGGGTCAACATCCCAGGGATTCGAGTCGAGGAGACTCTGCATAAAATACTCCACCGTGTCAAGGGAGTTGGCCATTGGGCCTGCCACCGGTGGAACGAGGTAGTACTGGTTCATACTAGTTTTGTTAATATATATTCTTTGTCCACGGAAGTAAACTTACAATGAACAATGCCACGGTACTCGACCAGTCGTTGGACAGATAGAATAGAGACCCTGCAGAGTGGCTGGGATTCGAATCGACCCTCCGATATCCGTGCCAATACCTAGGATACTGCCGCGGACTCCGATGAGAGCTGCTTCGCCTCCGGAACTACCACCGGAGATGAGATTGGAGTTGAATGCGTTAATTGACTGGCCGAAGATGTGGTTGTATGAGTCGGACATCTGATGTCTATTAGTATACGAATATATATCTCGGGGGAGGTAAGCAAACCATCAGAGACTGAGGAACATTCGTCTTAACATAAAGAACGGCACCCATCGACTCGAGCATTTGCACAATCGAACTAGATTTCTGAGCCGGTTTTCCAACCAACCCTACCCATCCTATACAATCATTAACATCTGCGCCTCGAATAGAGAGCAAGTAGAAAAGAGACGAAAACATACCAACAGTAGTGTCATACCCCTCAACATCAAACCGATCCTTAATCGAAACCGGCAATCCGTGTAACGGGCCAACAGTCTTCCCCGTCCACTCAATATACTCATCCAACTCCTGAGCTTTAACCAACGCCCGTTCGAAGAAGATCTCCGTCAAGCATTTGGTCAACTGCTGCGCAATGGTAGCCCGTTTACAAAATGCCATGGTCAACTGGACACTGCTAACCTCCCGGGAAGCGAGGAGGGAGAGTAACTTGGCGACGTCTGTAGTTTCGGTCCATTCGAGCTCCTGGGGGGTGAGGATATTGCAGGAGCGGATTGTCTCGAGAGTAGTTTGCGATGTTGGTACTGGGGTTGGGAGGTGCCAGGAGGGTGGGATGGCGGCGAGTTGAAGGGAGCGTTTTTGCTGGACAGTTTGTTTCCACGAGGGGATCATTTTGCTCTGGATTGGATGCTTTCTTGGGAATTATCAGTAAGGAATCTTGGGTTCGAGGTGTGTTTATATGTGTTTCATACTACCGAGGGTATAATGTTATCAACCGACCCCGTGAGGGGAAGGGCACTTGAATGATTTGATAACAACCCTGTGCGATGCTATGAAGCTATTGGCGAAGGATAAGCGCATTTTATTGATGCTAGTTGAAAATGGTAGTACTGATTCTTTGTTATCGGGAGATCATGTGTATTCCCGAGAAAACGCAAACAAGCGTCTGATAAAGGAACCCAACCGATTTACCGCAACACAAAAAGATATACTTCAATAGGTGAACAAAGCTCTCGTCGGCTATGCTATGACCTGGTTCTGTCTACCTTCCCAACTGATAAAGTACAGACAATAATGTAAACAAGGATGGCACACGGGGCCATACAGCTTTCCTGGGGTCAACATGCTGCTGTTCATTGCTGCATTAAAGATCTCTCGAGAGTCTTATGTACAAACCCTTGGCCACCATTAACTCAGTCTGCTCCCATTCTGACTGTGTCTCCGCGAAGTCCCTCGAAGTTATTTCCTTGTCGATCAATTTGCTATCGCAATGCTTTCGGACTGGACATACGTCGAGTCGGCGCTCAAGTTACACTACAAAGGAGATTTGAGGATATAACTCACAATCTCCAGCAGTTTTGGGATAAATAAGGATGATATCGTCGACGTAGAAGAGCACAAATATGTGTGCACCCATATATAAGCACGGTTCATCTGGCGCCGCCAATTTCTGGATCGCATTTTCCCTGAACCTTTAGACCAACATCGCGGGTTGTTTGAGTTATCGGACAGCTAGCTTTGGCACAGGGATGGGTCGGCTTCCTGAACTGCTCTTCCATGACCTAGCATCTAGTTTCTCGTGAGGATTCTGATTCTGTAGCAAGTTCTGAATACTCGTATTGCAGCGAGGTCTGTTTTACCACCTCGCCGATGAATCTCTCCAGCTTACTCGTATTTGGGATTTCAATCGGACGACGCTCTCTTCTCAGCAAATATTCGAAAGAGAATGTATTGATCTTCGGTTGATCCACATTGTAGGTTGTCGCAGGGAGTAACGTCCTGCTGGCCACTTCAGCCACCTTCGCTTCAGCAGCGGTGGAGGGTGACCTGACAAGGTACGGAAAGGTCATGGTGCCTGATGGGCGACTATCTGCATAGAGCGAAGTTGCCATGGCCTATGAGATTCACCTCTTTTCAAAAAAGCTGTAGGGACGACTCGTCTCGTCTGTACAAACGCACGAACAGTATTCTTTAACCTCCTTGCTTAAGCTGTGAAGCTTGCTTGTCGAAATAGAACAGTTCGCTGATATCACGTCCGCTATATGTGTGAGACCAAGGGCTATCTTCCGGCGTCCTGTAACTTTTTGGTTTCCTCGTCATCCTTGTTGTCAAGAAATTATTATTCACTTATATTGCTGATGTCAAAAGTGACCCGGCTGTACCAACCATCGGTTCATTTCAGCTGGCATGGTTAATCCCGATGCTTAGGTTCACGTCTGGTTTCTTGAGCTTGGATGTCTGAAGACTCTTGAATGTCGGGATGGCGGTTGTTGAAGCTCCATGGTCAACGTCGGAACCCGGAGGCAAACTATAGAAGCTGAATCGCTTGTTCAGTGTAACTGTGCTGTGAGAGCAAAGCAGCGCCAAAGCTCTCTGGATGATCTTTTTGATTTGTTTTGTTTTGTCAAGATTTGGTGTTGGCTATGTTGATAGCTGAAGCAATGCAGTCAAATTTGAGCATGGCGAACAGAGTGTGCAAGGTGAAAACTATGTAGTGACTGGAGATGAACGGACGAGCAAAAGCGAATTGGCGCCAGTGAGAATTATATTCACTCAAAGAGAGACGGGTGTATCTAACGATAAAAGCATCGCCAGCGCCACAATTCCGTTGTGGCTTCGTAGTAGGGTTAGTTCCAATGTACAAGAGTCCTGTTTACGGAGTTTAGAGCAATTCATGGGTTCTGGATTTGGTATTGTGCTATACTAAGCCAAAAGACTGTACAGAGAACAAAATCCATAGCAACTAAAATACATAGCTTAGACCGTCATCAACATACTGGCATTCTTGTACCAGTTCAACAACGGATTCTCTCCGTTCCTTGTCTCAGTATCTTCAATGTATGCCCAGCGATCAACAAAATCCTCGTGGCTCATGACTTGCGTCAACTTTCCGGTGACTGCACGGTAGACGTCCTCGATGACGTTAAAGTCGGTAGGGAAGAAGATATCAAAGTATCCTTGGTGGACCTGGTGTTGTCAGCTGCCATTCGACTCAAAAAAGACAGGTAAATGGTCGGAAGAGGAACTCACAAAAGGTGTAGAGACCGGCACCGTCCGTCTCATGTAACGGGTCTGCACGACAGGTGCATTCAAGCCAGGAACCGCATCAGGGAGGGTGCTGAAATCACTCGCAATCAACCGGTGTGCCGGGAAATAACTGTCCAGAATATCGAAGAACTGCATGAGTCGGGTGGGAATATACTCGGGGGAAGTGTACGGGTTCTGCCACGGCAGGGAGTTGCGGATGCCTCTCGTCACCTTGTGCCCCAGGGGACTGGGAAACGGTCTCCGTGCGGCGGCCTGTCGGACGCGGAGAAACCTCGAAGCCAGGGGATCAAGTTGAGCGTTGTAATATTCGTGGAATTCACCATCCGCGTCAATCAACACCCCGCTCTGCTGGGGCATTTCTGTCCTTGTGTCGTAGCGGATCGCGTCGTGGCCGAAGTTATCGAAAACCTCCAAAGCTAGGAAGAAACACGGCGAATGCACGTATGTGTCCCAATCGAAGATGGACTTGTTGACAATCTCAACGTGATCCAAGTGACCGGCGGCGTTAATCGAATCCATCAGATTCTTCATCTGAAGACTGGCAAGGGCCGGGGAGATCTCAATAATCCGGAATTTGGTCCGCTGGTAAACCTCGTAGTCGGTATCCCGAATGAAATCCAGAATATTCAACATCATCGTTCCATTACCGGCTCCCATTTCGTATATTATGAGGTCGTGGTATGGATAGAGCGTTAATTTGTAATTTGACACCAGGTACCGAGCAATCGTCTCGCCGTAGTAAGGCCGGAACAGCTCTGTCGGCGTATGCCATAATTGACGCGCCACATCCGGTTGTGTTTCGTCTAGTTTATCCTCGAACTCGTTGTAGCGCTCTCCCAACATTCGATGGAACTCGGGGCCATCGGCAATATGGTTAAAGTCAAACGGCTCTCCGGGACTGAAAATGGTCGCATGCTTGGAAAAGTAACCGTAGTGCGGGTTGTATAAACTGTCTAAAGAGCACATACCAATTAGTATCACACAATTTATATCCAAAACGAGCCAACCTACCGTCAATGAACTCCCTCGTCAACATCTTCACCTGCCGTGGCCTTTCTTTCCGACTCCGCAGGTCCTTGGCCGTCACCAACGGATAGGTCCTCAATTCCTGATCAATATCTTTGGGGTAATCCCCCATTCTATGCCATATCAAGCCATCGTTGGCATTCTTGCGCTTCGTCTGCGGGCGTCGAGTGAGGAACGAGCGAGATTGTTGACGAGACGGACCGGACAGTCGAACGCCTGTCGCCGCCCTGCGACCCGATGAAGAGGGAGTTGACACGGATGAATACCGTAGAGACTGGCAGGCTGGACGCCGGAACAGCTGTCGAAACAGCTGGTTAAGGACGGGGGAGTCCATGAGACTGCGTTGGGGTTGCGGTTGCGGTGGTAGTGGTGTTTGTAGCGTCGGAGTTGATGAAGAAAGTCGTCGCCGCCTTCGTCGCTATTATTAAAGCTCTCCCCACAATCATCCAGAGGTCCGCTTGGCTCTGAGCTCAACAACGCTGCTTTCTTGTGTCTATTTCTTTTCCAACTTTTGCTTATGGTTTCTTAACATGCCAGTCATATAATTACTCTTAATCAATGCCCCAAATCTCACAATGAACGACAATTCGCGCCTCTATCTGGGAAGCACCGCCTTCGTAGCGGGGATCCTCCTCACACTCGGATTCAAAGACCTGCTCTACCCCGCGCTGGCACAGCTTCTTCGAGAATCCCAATCGCAAGATGCTGAATCGCGCCGTCGTCGCGAGGCGGATGCCTTGGTTGCCCGAGCAGGACCTCCTGCAATCGTGGACGGTATCGAGGGCTGCATAGGAAATACGCCATTGTTCCGGATCAAGTCGTTATCAGATGAGACCGGGTGTGAGATTCTGGGGAAGGCAGAGGTACCTCCTTTCTACCACACTGTTCATGTCTATAGTGTGGTGTTCTGATTGATGCAGTTCCTGAATGGTGCCGGCCAAAGCTCCAAAGATCGGGTGGCTCTCAGCATGATCCAAATTGTATGACATCTTCCACGAGACCTTTGAAAGCTCCCTCTAACTGCTATACAGGCCGAAGAACACGGCATCTTGAATCCTCATTCTGGCGACACAGTCTACGAAGGCACATCCGGCTCGACCGGTATCTCTCTAGCTACCCTGGCCAGGGCAAAGGGCTATCTAGCTCACATGTGCGTACATGGTTCTGCATTCCCCGGGACATCCCACTAACAACACCAGTTGCATGCCCTCCGACCAAGCCATCGAGAAATCCGACCTCCTCCTCAAACTAGGCGCAATAGTAGACCGCGTCCCACCCGCCCCAATCGTCGAAAAGGAAAACTTCGTCAACCGCGCACGCGCCCTCGCTCAAGCCCACACGAGCGCATCATCATCCGGGTCCGACCAAGTCCGCGGACGAGGCTTCTTCGCAGACCAATTTGAGAACGAGTCCAACTGGTGCGCTCACTACAATGGATCCGGTCCTGAGATCTACGCCCAATGCGACGGCAAACTCGACGCATTCGTCGCTGGAGCCGGGACGGGCGGTACGATTTCTGGTGTGGCATTGTACCTGAAACCGAAGATTCCTAACCTGAGCGTGGTGCTGGCAGATCCGCAAGGTAGTGGGTTGTACAACCGGGTTCGCTACGGTGTTATGTTTGACCTGAAGGAGCGGGAAGGGACAAGACGGCGGAGACAGGTGGATACTATCGTTGAAGGCATCGGTATTAACCGCGTCACTGCCAACTTCGAGGTTGGCAAGGAACTGGTCGATGATGCTGTGCGGGTTACTGATGCGCAAGCCATGGCCATGGCCCGATGGCTGGTAGAGAAAGATGGGATGTTCCTTGGAAGCAGCAGTGCAGTGAATTGTGAGTATTGACACTTCTTTCCACATTTGATTAATGCTAATAATACATCAATAGGCTTTGCAGCAGTCAAGACTGCCATGAAATTAGGACCAGGTCACCGAATCGTGACCGTCCTCTCAGACTCTGGCTCCAGACATCTTTCCAGGTTCTGGGCTAAGGCCGGAGATGTTGGCGGTGCAACGGATACGAAGCTGGAAGACGTCTTGAATGTGAAGAATGAGTGAAATAACAGGGTGTCAAATGTGAAAAAGGAAGTCCATCGCATCATGCTGGGATCGTCTGGTGTCATTCAAAGAGATTGGAAAGGGTTTTCTGGTGATGACTGGGAATGCGACCTCTTTTTAGAAGGGCTTTTGTCCTGGTACGGTTCAGGTCGTGAAGTATCATGGGCATGTGGTCCACTCGCCGTCGTCTTGCCTGATTCAATCGGTATAGGAGTATCATGTTCACCGTCTATCGAGTGAACCTGAGCGCTTTTATCAGACGGCTCTTCCGGATCTGCTGTTGCAGCTCTTTCACGATGATTGGCTCCAGCAAAAGCGCTGCCATCCTCCTGCTGCGAATCATCCAACAGATCACCCAGCCGATCCTGTCCCGCCTCTTCATCCTGATCCTTCCCACTCTCATTCCAAAATCTCCTCCCCCACCCAGAGCCTCAACAACTCAAACTCGATCCCCGCATGCGACCTCCCGGGAAACTCCTTCTGGATATCACTCCAAGACAAACCATTCTTATCCTTGAGCACAGATAATTTATCCCGTTCTTCCGACGACCATAGTACCATGGTCTTGAAAGTTGAGGCGGATTAGCGCGACGTCGGCTCCAATGCCGTTTGTTCCAGTCTCTCAAATGGTTCATTTGTCGACTGGGGAATGAGCGAGAATTTCTTTCGATTGCTTTTTGTGGATGTGGCGCATTGTCACTATTAGTTTTACGTCGTCGGGTGTCGTTGGGTTTTTGGTTTTTTATGGCGTTGAGGTGGTTTGCTTGGGGGTATTATTAGACATCGAGGTGTTTTGGAGTAGGAGCAATTGTTTTTGGTGTAAATCGAGATTTCGAATCCGTAGCGCGTCCATCAATCGTGCTTGTTTGATTCCGACTCGGCGTGACCGACCCTAAACTCTTCCCTCTAATGTTCAACGGATTCTTCGGCGTAGGCGATGGCTGAATATCTTCCTGTAACGGGTCGTCCGATTCCGAATCACTTCCCCGGCTGTGAATTGCGAATGACCAGTCGCCCTTTTTCACAGGACTGGAGAATTGTTTTGGTTTGCTCGTGCTGGGGGCAGTAGTCTTTTTCGGACTCGTTTTCGGTTTCGTTTTCACATTCACGTCCTTTTTCGCCTTCTTCTCCTTCGGAATATCGGTATTGGTTTTCCTGGGTCTTCCAGGCTGCGGAACAGCCCATAGTGAGCGTGCCCCTGGTGGTGATACAGAGCGTGCAGGATTGTAGTTGATAGTAGGTTTGTTGTTGCTGGGAGGCGGTTGGGGAGTCAAGAACGAGAACTTTGGGGTGATTTCAGGGGCGCGCCATATCGACTCGACTGGTTCACGCGTGTCGTTCTTCGCGTTGTCAATGCGACGTAAAGAGTGGGATGCTTCATCGACTGGTTCTTTGGCGGTAGGATTATCGATGCTCATAGCAGTATCCAACAGCGAATCAACACTTGATCGATCGTCGTCATCATCATAGTCGTCTGCATGATCATCGTCGTCTGCATCATCGTCGTCTGCATCATCGTCGTCTGCATCGTCGTCGTCTGCATCATCGTCGTCTGCATCATCGCCATCTCCTTGCCATTCCCACGCATTGTTATCCCCATGATGCCTCAGCCCAGTCTGCGATCCCGTAAAAGACCATATCCCATGATCATAAGCTCCACCCCCTTCTCCCTGCCCAGTATCAGTCTCAGTCCCTGATCCTCCATCATCGTCGCCATCCTGCTCATCCTCAACATCATGTCCACCCTCCGCGCCTAACTCAGGACCTGCATCCCCAGTATCATCCTCCCCCTCCATCCCCAACAAATGCCCATTATCCACAATAACCTCCCCAGTCTGTAGATCGATCTCATCGCCAACCTCCGTGAAATCCCTGCTATATTTCTCGAAGATGCTCTCGAAGATCGTTTTGAGGCGTTGGTCGTTTTGCGCGCGCGCGGCATGGATGTCGACTTGGTCATACTCATTCTCATTTTCGTGGTTGATTTCGTTTTCGTCGGCGGCTGTTGGGTCTGGAGATGGGGAGGGGTAGGGATAGGTATCTTGGGATGTGTCTGGGGCGATTGAGAGTCGGGGTCTTTTGGTAGGTGGTTCCATTGTTACTGTCGCGTTTTCGGGTTTGGAGGTCTCGTGTCAGAAGTCGGGTGTTAGGTGGGGAGTAGTATCGTGGTGGATCATGTGGTATTGGAGGATCGAGGCATGCCTTGCCGATATGGAAAGGGAAATAACTATGAGAATGCGGTTATTTATCGAGGTGGTTGTGTTGAAGATGCTGGTTTGTTAAAGGATCATGCGAATGGCTGGTGTGACATGTTGGTAGGGATGTCGAGGATAAGTCAAAATAGAATGAGTGGCTGAGAACTGAGATAAAGCAATAATCTCTGATTAATAGCGATCAATGGCAATAACCCACTCACTCGTTCATCATTCTCGTTCCTGCAGTCTGGTAGTTGGAGACAAAGAAAAAACAGACATGACGTCTCCGCCGCTCTGTCTCCGACTGATTATCCCAACCTCGCGCCTACCACTACATTTCATCTCCACTCCCCATAATGCGAAAGAGAATACTACCATGATTGACCATGACAAACATGTACTGCCAAAAATGCCGTACTCCGCTGAAGCTCGACGGCTCCCTTGAGTCGCTCAACCCAGCGGCTTTTGACTTGCTCGTTGGTGTGTATCTTCTATCTTTACACCGTGCCTCTTACAGAACACTGACGGATACTCGTACAGGATCTTCCGGTCGCACACTCCCAGACCACAAAACCTCCTCCCGCCCCTCCTACCCCCAAGAACGTCGAGACCTCTACGATCGCGTCTCCAAACAGAACCACTCCCCCGTCTATAGAAGATCCATCCCCGCACCTCGCCATGCCGGGATCCAGCCTAACCCCCCGCGTCTGCCCCGGGGCGACAGTGGGAACATGTCGTTCGTGATGCTTACAGAATCTCAAGTTGGGCCGCCGCACACGGGATCGGGCGACAGTCAGCGAGGGGCAGCGGGGAAAGATAGTGGGATAGAAGATGGAGGGGGGTCATTTTCGGACCAGGTTGAGCGGGCGAATCGGTTGTTTGAGATTATTTCGTCACGGTCTGATATTGATCATCCGATTTGTGTGGAGTGTACGGAGATGCTTGTGGATGGGTTACAGAAGAGGTTGGTGGGTGCTACGAAGGAGCGGGATGCTTATATTTCGTTTCAGAGGAATTTGAATTCGTCTGTTCCGACGGCGGAGGAGATTGAGGGTGCGGAGGAGTCGCTCAAGGGGACGTTAGAGGCTGAGGAGACTGCATTTGCGGAGCTCGTGGAGTTGGAGAAAGAGAAGGCTACGTTGGATGAGGAGATTGCTGGCTTGGAGGAAGAGTCGCGGCAGTTGGATATCGATGAGGAGGCGTTCTGGCGGGATCGGAACTCTTTCGCCTTGACGCTGTCGGAATTTCAGAACGAGAGGGATGCTTTGAATATGCGATACGATCATGATTCACGCCAGCTCGAACGACTACAACGAACCAATGTTTACAACGACGCCTTCTGTATCGGTCATGACGGCTACTTTGGAACCATCAATGGGTTGCGGCTGGGCCGTTTGACCAATCCATCAGTGGAGTGGCCGGAGATTAACGCAGCCTGGGGTCAAACGGCATTGCTGTTATCCACGATTGCGGAAAAGCTAAACTTTCAATTCCAAGGCTATCGACTGAAACCGCTGGGCTCGACGTCTCGAATTGAAAAGATAGAATACCCACAATCCCCCGCGCAATCCACCCTGGGAGGCAACGGGAACGGGACCGGGGTACCATCTGGATCCCCCAAGATCACCGTGTTGGACCTGTTCTCCTCGGGGGATCTTCCGTTGAACCTACCTTGGATACACCGCCGCTTCGATGCAGGGATGGTCGCATTCCTCGAATGCTTACGACAGCTAGGGGATTATGTTGAGAAGACCCCTGCGGCGGGCCGTCGCGGCAGTAGTGCCGGTCATGGGGCTATGGTTCCCGGACTAAAACTGCCGTACACGATCTCACGCGACAAAATCGGCGACGCAAGCATCAAACTTGGGTTCAACCAGAACGACGAGACGTGGACGCGGGCATGTAAGTACACGCTAACGTGCTGTAAGTTTCTATTGGCACACGTGAGCAACGTTGCCAGCGCGGGATCTGGCAGCCAGTCTGCAGCCGTTGCAACGGCGGGGGAAGTAGTCCGGAGTCCGTAAGTCAAGTAAGGTTGGGCATGGACGGTCTCGAATTCAACGATTAAGTCGAGTCGGTGTTCTTTTCGGAAAGGGACAGATGTGGCAGCATCCGGGAGTGACGTGTTGTTGGGACAGGAATTCAATAATGGCAGGCGTTTCACGGTGGAGTCACGAAGGAACTAAACTTTCAAATTTTTGTTAATTTGTTTTCTTTTTTTTTTTTTTTTTTTTTTTTTTTTTTTTTTGGGGGGGGGGGGCCATTTACCCAACTGGATCAATACTGGATTACTGGATCAATGCCGGTTGGACGAATCACTAAGAGACATCATGTACATGCCCGCTGTCACGACTAGCTATGGGCGCACGATGATACATAATCTGCACGGTTTCCTTCCTTTTCAGACAATAGTGCACAGTCCACCCTAATTTCACAATTCCAAAATCAATCAAATCAATTCCCTCGACCGGGGGGGGGGGGGGTTTACCATTAACAATCAACTGGCCCCTGCAACCCCTGCAACGACTCTCACTTTCCGAAGAGTAGTACAGAGTAGTAAGGTTCAAGTCAGGGACCACGGGAGATCATCCCCCTGAACCAGCATACCGTGAGTGAACTGGGATTAGGTATGGACGTCTGTCTTCGGAAGCCCCGTGCACACTCCACGTTTTAGTATCCGCTACAGAGCACCTAAAGAGTAGTCTTATTATGAAGGACATGAATAAAGAAAGTTCAACTGGCGTGGAGTCCACCTGCTCCACCAACGGCAGGGATACTGTTTTTGGAGTGAGTGTCAGGAGTTTGTCCGGGAGGAGGCGTAACGGTTGATAGACTGACAGTTGATGTGTAGATTCCAGGGTACTGGTACTCATACTTATATGTATACCGGAGTACTTGACCGGAGTACCCTGGTTCTACAACATATTTAATTATCTCCTTTACTGTACTCCGATACAAATACAGTGAACGGGACTAGAACGGGCATACCCGATCGGGTCCACCAACGGGCCGAGGTCTTTCCATTAAAGGCCCCGGTACAAAAAGCCATGGTACTCTACTAAGTACGGAGTACCCGTATCTCTAAGTACCTAGGCTAGACTACGTTTCATCCCTGGCTATACTACGGGAATTAAGCAGCACATTGCACTATCAGCGCCGGAAATGCGCCATCTGACCCGGCGCGTCAAACTCAAACGGTGCATCCGTGCAGAAGTACGTGCATTCATCTTCAGTGGTCTTTAGTACGGCAGTACTAAAGACTACTGGAGGTGGCTCTACTTGTATGATGTTGTCTACGGAGTATGCCCAACGGTAGTTCCCAATGTACTCAAGTACTCTTGTATACTTGTACTTTGTAGGTACCTGTACTTGTACAGTGTCTGTATTGGTGTATTGTATTGTATGCGCACAGACAAAAGACCCGCCAAAGTACGCGCCCCCACTATTATGTTTATTGTTATTGGCTCGGGGAAACACCCCCCGACCGACCCGCGGGCGCTTCCATCGGCAGGTCGCCGCATAGGGAAAGCGCAGACTGTGATTGGTCGGAGTGAAAAGCAGAATTCATCATTTGATTTATTTTTATCGGCGACCAAGCAAGTTAACAAAACGGATATAGGAGGGGAAAGGAAAACAAAATATTGCAATTATAGGAGAGAAAATGGAATTAGGAAAAATTAATATCAATGTTTGAATAATTGTGTTGTTGCTGTTGTTGTTGTTGTTGTTGTTGTTGTTGTTGTTGTTGTTGTATGTCCTAGTACTATGTGGGATTGCTGTACATCATCGCCCACTCCTCCATATTAAGTTCGCTTCATCCTTCTTTCTCACTTCATTCTCTCTTTCTCTTCCTTCAACCTCTCTCTGTCTCTTACTCTCCATTTATCCTCGATCAATGTCAGACTATGACTGACAACGATCCTCCAGCCGAATGTTCATGATGGGTGGTTCCATCCCTCCGTCGTCCTCCAGGCCCATTCCCTCCATTCCTCCTTCGTCTTCGTCATCTTCGTCGTCTACGATCCGTCCAACTACTGCCGTCACCTCTACGCCTTCCTCCTCTTCCTCCTCTGCCGTGTTTCGTCCCCGCCGTTCGGAAGATTGGCAGCAATACCGACCCATTATCGAACGCCTCTATCTGAATAACCAGTTGAAACTGCGGGATGTTAAAATAATTATGGAGCGAGAGCATCGTTTTGTTGCTTCGTATGTTGTTCTTTTATCCTATGTTGCGATGGGGGATCTGACTAGAGCAGGGAAAAACAGTACAAAGACCGCCTCGCAGCATGGCACATCCGCAAAAACATCAAAGCCAAAGAAGTCCAGGTCATGATTCGGAAACAGCAAAAACGGGCTGCTCGTGGGAAACAAACGGCTTTTCGTGTTGGGGGGCAGGAAGTCGATTCCAAACGCATCTCTCGTTTTCTCCGCAGATACGGTTCTTCGTGGGAAAATTCGCGCAATGATCCCAAGTCGCCGCCGCAGACCAACAGTCCAGAGCCAGGTATTTTCTCCTTTATTTTTCTGATTGTAACGAAAATCTGACTTTGTAGAAACCCCCACCGATATGAGTTGCTATACACCCGAACCAGAAGACAGATCCCCAGCACTATCGCCCAGGCCAGAAATTCCATCAAATCCCCGTGAGACCCCCCGTAGTCCGGTCTGGGCCATGGCAACAAACACTGAGTATGTGTTAGGAGCCCTCAATGCTTCGCCGCTACACCCCAATCACTCCATTCCATTGCATCATCCTCATCCTGCTGGAATGCCCGATGACCAATCTCTCTCGACCACGCTGAGTCCGAGTTTAACGAATGATACGCCCAAACCACTAGACGATCTTAATGAGAAAGATCCGTGGCGCGATGTTGTCTCTTTTCAAAACCGACTTCTTGCGCTCGATCAGACGCTGGAGAAGTCCATGTCGGATTTTATCTCTCCTCCGGATGATTACCAGTTATTATGATGCTTTCGTTTATCCACTGCTACTTTTTTTTGTTTGTACAGAGCAAGCAAGCTGTCTGTTTTTGCATTTTGTCCATATGTATCATGTTAGCCTTGTTTTATTCCCATGGATATCCCGATTGAGCTGTTGAGCATTCATTGGCACTCTGGAGACGCAGACGATCATGTAGCATAGGAGGTGTACGAGCAGACAGACCGACGGGCTATCTGTCCGTTACTGACACGCTTATGCAAGGCTCGACCAGCCGCATCCTGGCTAAGACAGCCGGCAACCAGGCAATCCATCCCCGACAGCCTCCTCAGCCACCGATACTGAGTCAGACACGGTTGGCGTACCAGGGTCTGGACGCCTATTATCGTGAAGTGGCCACTTGCATTGCATGTACATACATACACATACAAATACAATACTGTACATTCACATTCCAACCGAATGACACTCATGGACAATAGCAGCTGAACTGACACCAGCACAGCCACCACGCTTATCATCGCGGCTCAGGCCAGGCAGTACTATTTCCGAGATCCTTGGCTTGGGTACAAAAGTACCAGTACCGATACATCCTTGTGCAACTTGCTGTGCTCAGATAGATTAACCACCCACTAATCCCACGAACCCTACTCTACTCTCCCGTCCTGCGCCCACGATACAAACATACTCGCAATTCCAAATCCCATCCATCCTACACACACATACACATACATACATAGCACAACCAACTATCCAACAAAACAAAACCAAAACCAAAGACCAACGCAGACCAACCCGGCCCATCTCCGGATCGTCACCACTAACGACTTAGTCCTGTCCACTGTTCTCCTTCCTACACACACACACACACATCCTTCCTACCTTTTCCGGTCTAGTCCAGCCTGAGAGAGGATCGGACTCCGAATATCCGAGCCACATTGCATCGCGCATCAATGAATCAGGGAGAACGGGTTCGGGTACGGGTACGGGCATTCCGTGAACTTACTTAATGTAGGCGTGATCGTAGATAATATTAGATAATGTGATTGGGACAACAGGGCGGAAAATAAATCCGGTTGAGGTTATTGGGGGGGGTGCGTGGTTCCGCCTAGTTAGTTGGGTGAATGATTCGTGATTGAACTTTGTCTAGGGTAGCTTGGCGTGGTGTGGCGTATGGAGGAAACGGACTATGGAGAATGGGGTTAAGGGACGGACGGGAGGGAGTGGATAGACGGGAGCTAGCTAAGCTAAAGATATATTTGTATTTTTCAAAATGGAATGAAGGTTTGTGTTGTCGGGTTTTGTCTTTGTTGCTGTTTCTTTTTCCGTTTTGGGTTGTGTTGATAGCTTTATCATACTCCGTACGGAGTACCCTTCTACTAAATGCTGATTGACGGGATAATATCCCATAGCAATAGCAGATATGCACGCGTACAAAGAGAGAGAATGATACTGTTTCATCAACGTCATACAGAAACCGTTATGCTTCCAAATCATTCTGTAGATCTATGTGAACAAAGGCGCGATACTCAAGACTTGAGAAGGATATTTGGAAGACTCGATGCGTGAAAAGAGAAATGATTTGGAATGCGCTTTGCTTTTTGCTTGAGAGATTCGCCACTGCTACTGCATGGATTGGAGATAGTAGGCTGGACTGCACAAAAAGGAATTATAACAAATATATCTTTATCTTAATTCTCCGAGGTCCTGAATCCTAATCATCTACTGCCGTTATAGGTATATGTACACATGTTCTAGTAACTAGCAGAAATACTTATACAAACATTATCATAGCTAGCCTCAATTATGCACAACTATCCTAGTCTTGCTTGTAAAGATCAAACCTTCGAGAAATATATTCTTCGCTTAGGGTTTGTACATGTCACATTACATACAACCAAACGACTCCCATCACGCTGCATATATATCTTATCTATCAATCAGCCACACTCAGCCGCAGTAATAAGTCGTTTACCGTTCATTCCCGACTATCCTAGTCTCTCACAGGGCATGACAAGGCTGGAACTACTAACCTAGCCCCAACGTACTCCTATATACAAGGTAGCAGTTCACGAGATACATCCCTGTCTATAACATCATATCATAAGACCTATGTACTAGCACATACCCAAAACAGAAAATAAACGGAGGAAGCAATATCAATATACCCCTCCTAGTTCCTACGTCCTAGTTTCCCAGATCTAATGCACGAGTACGAAAGCGTACAATTCGCCAAAGTACGCTGTACTTAGTGCTTATTCCTATGGAGTATGGAGTATGGAGACGGAGTACTCCGTGGGCGAAACGATACTTGTACGTGCATTGCAGCAACAGCTGCGATTTATGCGAGACGGGCAAGGGTGGCAAAAGTACTTATGCTATGCAGTTATGGGGGTGTGTTCTGTACGACGTAGATTGTAATGAGGAAGGAAAGCGCAGACTGCATGCCATCGTACTAAGTAATAAGTGCAAGTAAAGATACAAGAAATAAACAATAACTCGGTATCCATCAAGGATCCATCCATCCATATCCAACCATAATTAACCATGTAACAGTAACCCATAAACAAAAACGAAACGTAAACACTATGTAAGTATGCAGGTGAGTAGGTAAAGGAGTCAGGTATCATGAATAAAAGGTACTCTTTTGAAAACTCTCCGGCGCAATGTCGCCCATCTTCCCCTTGATCTCCGGCTTCTTCTCCTCCTCGTTAGTTCCCGTCTTCACCTGCACGTTGCCGCTGTCGCTGCCGCTGCTGCTGCCCGAGGTGATCGCCTGCGGGGTCGGGCGACGCTGGATCGTCTCCAAGTACGGCCCTGGGAGATACCCAACGCGGCCGTCCCGTGCCCGACATCGCCACCATTCAGATGCATTGCCCATGGGATCCGATTTGCCCAGCACGGCGACGATGTCGCCCTTCTTCACGGCTAGGTCGATCCCCGCGCCTTCCTGCGACTCCGGGGTGTAGTCGTACAGCAGGCGACAAAAGTCCAGCTTGGAGGGGTCGAGTGGCGCGGACTGGGCGCCGCCGGCGGGCTCCCCGTTCGCACCCACCATGAGTTGGCGGCGCTGCTCCTGCGAGCGTGCAAGGGTTTTGATGAGTTTACCCATCAAATAGGGAAGGCCAAACACGGCGACTAGGAACATGAAAAACGGCTTCCTGGACATTTTAGGAGGCGCAGCGGTTCCATCAGGAAGCGTAGCTGGAGCCGAGCGGCCATTCATAAAGGCCGCAAATGCAGACGGCGTCAAAGCCGTAGCATCCGCCGGCGGAGGACGACCGGTTATTTTCGCGATCAGCGTCCTAAACCATCGCATTATAGTAAAGATCCCCAGCGCCGAGCCAAGCGTGTTTCGCAAATTACCCAACTGCTCTGCCACAGAGACCATGGCTTCATTTTGTCAGCATCCCACTCATTTCACTCAAAAAAAAAAAAAAAAAAAAAGGCAAACATACCAAAAAAAGAACTATGCGTGGCCATATAAGTACTCTCCAGCATCTGAGCAAACCCCCCAAATGCACCCACAATACTCTCAATCATCTGAAATGTCGCCTGCGTGCTCTGCCCAAACGAATTCGTCAAGCTGTTAGGATCATTCGGATCCCCATTCGGCATACCCCCATACATTCCTCCCATTCCTCCCATCCCCATGCCCCCCATGCCCATCCCACCATAACCACCATAACCGCCATACATCGATCCCATCGAACCCATGCCGCCGAGACGAGAGTACGGCGACGAGTATGGCGAGGAGTATGGTGATGAGTATGCGCCGTAGGGACTGCCTCCTAATCGGGAGCCACCGTAGGGAGAGTAATTCGAGGCGGTACGGTTAACCACTGCGTTGAGGGCGTCTGGTCGGGATGGTAAATTGGGCGCTGCTGCGGTTGATGTGGATGCTGGTATAGTGGTCGCGGTCGGGGAGGTTGTTGCGGTGGAGTTGGTCATGGCAGAAGCGGCCGTGCTAGTGGTGGGAGTGGATAGAGCGGTACCTGGTGAGCGATCTAGTGAGCAGGAGTCACTTAAAAAGAGAACGACGATAAAGGAGATGGATGAAGGAACATACCCCCAGCCGCGCCGGCTCTCTCCCACGGCTTGGGTGGCGAGACGGACGCCATGACTTACGAGGAGATAAAACTAACAGCCTCGCATGTAGTAATCAGTCCGACTGGCGGAGAGAGCAGTGTTCTCTACTCCGGATTTCGTAGTGTAGATGCGATATGGATAGGGACAACTGGATGGTAGTAGGAGCAACGAGAGCGACCGGAGATGGTGATGAGGAGGCGGTGGAGTTCGGTCACGAGAGGCGTACGCTCGGTGCATGTGCCGGAAATGCCGAGGTGCTTAAGGCTTTTGCCGAATTTTGGAAATGCGCCGACAGTATGGATTCAGGGATACAATTAACTTGTGAGAGTTATTTTACTATGTATAGCGAGAGAATGCATTCCGGTCTATGCTAGATACGATGTGAAATCTCCAATGCCCAACCATAACACCAAGCCCAGGCCATCTATGATACAAATTCACCCAGTAAAAACAGAAAAAAGAACAAGATCATAGCTCATCTCGTGAAGGAAGCTTAATCTTCCATGTCCGCGGTGGTACTGGAAGACCAAGCCAGTAGTTCCAGAGCCGGTTCACCTCGAGCACTCCGATTTCGAACCTGTACCCGTTAGTATCCCGATTTAGTGGTGAAAAGAAGGAAGAGAACTTACACTGTCTGCGGAATGCGAGCCCAAGACCCCAGGACGAACATGTACGTATCCCAAACAACTTCAAACTCGGCCTTAAAGTCATCTAGGAACCCGTCATCGGGCCGACGGGGCCGCCGCTCCCACGGCAATCGCTGTCGCTCGGCTCGGTAGGAAAATTCCTCCTCATCACCTTCGTAATAGAACGTAGAACCACCGTCCTTGAACAAACGTCTTGACTTCTGTGCGCCCAATTGACCACCGGCGGGAATTGCAAAGGTCTCGCCCTGTCCCAGGTCCATGGCGCGGTGGAAACTGCGCACCGCGGCTAAACTGTGCGAAATGCGACCGAGGGTGTTCATCAACGCGACCAATTCCAGTCGTCGCAAGGGAGGGTTCTCGCCGTTCTTGGTCTCGTCGTAGTCGAAGAGGACCTTCAATGCGGTGCCGTAGCCGTTGACCTGGAGTTTACCCCAGAGGCGGCACTTGTCGCAACCCACGCAGTCCATAAGACGGCTGACGTTGCGGAAGCGGTTGCGGAAGTCCTCCTTCAGACCCGGGGAGCTGGGATCCTGGAACATCAGGTGCTCATCGAAGATTTGAGGCCGCTTCGACAGGGTCTGAGTCAACTGGGTGACCTTGTCCTTGGTGTCCATATCCTGCGCCGGGTCGCTCGTACAGTAGGTGTAACCCTGAAGGTGCTTCTGCAGCTTGGCCACAGCCCGCGAGACCAGGGCGTAGTTGAAGTACAGGTTCGAGATCCGCTCGGGGTGGTCGTGCAGACGCTCCTGGAAGCATTGCAGGTTCGGGTGCCACTGTCCAGTCGTCTGGTTGAGATAGTCCCAGCACAGATGCGTCGAGATAGACGCATGCATTCCGCTAATAACCCGATGGAACACCCGCTTCTCCAAACACTCGTTATCCAACGGATACCCATCCGGCCGCTTCATCTCCATCTGCAACACGTTCCGGAAATCGTTCATAGCCTGCAATCCACCCAACTCCTGCGCCGGCGACACACTAAGCCCAGGAGTCGGCTTCAAGAAACAATTCTCCCGATAAATAGCATCCCAAACCTGATGCGCCCCTGGTCCGGCATACCCTGTAAACCTCTCTGGGTTATCAACCAGACTCACATAATCACCCTTCCCACTAGCCCCCTCATCCTCAGGAACACAGTAGTCGCGCTCGTCGCATTCATCATCATACTCAACCACACAACTCTCCCCAACATTATCACCCAACATCCCCTGCAACGGCCTATCCCGCGGTCTCTCCGCCTGTTGCTTGCGACCCGGGTGTCCGGCCTTGGGACCTTCGAGTTTACTCAGTTCCTCGGCTCGCCACGTCAACGGGATATCCTCTTCCAAGTCAATGGTATTCACGGAACACGCGATGTTCCCACACATGCTTTCCGAGTCGGCCCAGAAGGGACATTCTTTGTTGAAGAGGTTGAGACGGTAATGGGAGAAGAAATCGGTTTCTTGGGTGATGGAGTGGAGGAGGGTGTAGACTTCATCGTTTAGATGGTCGATGGTCGCGTATGAGACGCAGGCGTCGGTGACTGTGGCTTTGGGGTCGATCTGGTTTATTAGTGGGCTTTCTTTTGGTTCCTGGTGGTTGGGACTTACAGCGCAGGTGTTCGAGTCGTGGTGCTCGGCTTGCGCTTCATCATTGGCGCTGGTGAGTCGTAAAAAGGCGAAAAGGGCCAAATAGAAGACCCTGGCTGAGCGCATTTTGCTCAATGTGAATGTATAAATGTGCGAAAGTAGAGTTACTGTACAGAGCACGGAGTAAACTCAGACGCTGTAAACAAAATGCGGCGTTGATCAGCAGTCTGATCTCATCCTTGTCCGCGACTGCGACGCGAAGAAAAGCAGAACAGCAGAACAGAACACTATGGCAAGACGCAAGTGACAGGTGTCAAAGAATGAACGTGTTAAGCCCTGGCAAGTGTGATTAGAAAGAAAGAAAGAATGTGGATGAGTAAAGAAAGAATTCCGAAGTGGACAATCTGGCCTGAGGTGGTGGCGGAAACTATTCGAGGTCCGGATGATCGCCGGGCTGTGAGGGTCCGTAAGCAGGGCTTGTCTGTGTTGTGCCTGGTCAGAAATCGGTTGCAAATATATTACTTTCTCTGATATACATAGTTATCTTCATACGTGTTACTCCATACTTGTTGTATGATATCTGACTTCACCACAATAATGACAATGCCATGCAATTTGGAGTCGATCTCTATGATGCACTCTAACCATAACAATATATCAAACACTCAACACCTCCCCTTCCAAATCCCTCCCCTCCTCCATCTCCCTAACCCTCTCCCCCTCCCCACCCACAAAATCCTCCCCAGCAACCCCCCTGGTCTCCGGCTCGCCCAACTGCTTCTCAAACCCAAGCACCCTCCCAATAAAACCCAACAACAACCCCTCCACCTCCGGCCCCAACCCACTCAACCCATGATCCCCCCTCTCAAACAACTTAATCACCCTCTCCCCCCCATTTTCACTCTCATCCCCATACTGCCGATACAACGCCTCCGAACACTCACTCCCCAGCACATTATCCCCCAACCCATGCAGTAGCAGCAACGGCCTTGGCGCCAAACCCTTTACGCCCGCTGTTCTGGCGGTCTGCGAGGCGATGGTCGCGACGCCGCGGATTCGGTTTGGTTCTTCGGCTGCGGCTGTGAAGCAGGGGCTGCCGCCGAAGGACCAGCCGACGAGGACAAAGTTCGTGGATTTGTAGTGCTGCGAGAGATAGTTTAGGGAGGCGATGATGTCGGCGGTGCAGTGGTCTGTGTCTGCGGCGAGGCGGTAGTCGAGGCGGATGCAGGGGATGGAGAGGAGGAGGGATAGCTTGTCCGCTAGTGATGGGTAGATTCCTCGGGGATAATTAGCTTTTCATGGATATGCACATGTAGTTCGATACGGTGTAGGATGTTTACCGGCTGGTCCGCTCACGCCTCCGCCAGCACCACTGACCAATACCGCGGCTGACGCATTGGCATCGTCGACGCTGTATTTGCGTGGCTCGTGTAGAATGGCTGGGGCTGCGTGGTCCAATGGATCCTTGACACGGATGTTGATTTTCCTCGCGAGGGACGGTTTGATCGCACTCTTGTCGACTTTGGGCGGATGGATTGGGCCAAGACTGTGGAGTGGGTGACGTTGAACAGTAGCCATGATGGTTAAGCTGATAGGTCAAGCCGTATCAATTATGGGCAATACTGCAGTAAAGGTCAAAAATAGAAAACGACGTGCAGGAGTGCGTCAGATCTGTCATGATCTTCGTGTTGACGTGGATCTTTACTGCAGTTCCCCATGGCAGCTTCCCTTATAGGTAGGTGCGATGCTTCCCGTTTTGAGGTCAGGCTGACGCACATACTGAGCCAGACTTTGGACCTTACTGTGGCAATTGGAAAGTAGAAAATGGCTTGTATTAACCAGGTGAAGCTAAAACTGTATACATGATTAAAATCCTATACCCCAACAAAGTAACATCGGTTCCATCCATCTATATGGTGAACAACACAAAACCGACAACTCCAGGTTGACCAAAAAAGAACCCCAATGCCTAAACAAAAGAAAAACAAAAGAAAATACCACCCGGTATAAACACCATACTCCGAAGAGGGTATATGACCTCGTAACGTCGTGACAGCTTCAAACGAGCGACTTGAGTCAAGAGTTAGGCTTGACATATGCTTGAACGACCCGTCTAGACGGGGATGCGCTTGAATCCGCAGCGCTTGAGCACCTTGGCCACGAAAATGTAAGGCTTAGGCGGCGGTTTTGTGTAGAACGGGTCGTTCTTGAAGTCCTCTTCCCGAAATTTCTGCAGACAAAGTTAATTAGTGTGCAATATATCAAGCAAGGGGAGTGGGACTTACGAATCCAGGATTGCGCGTGAAATTCCCGAAGTCACTCATCATATTGGCTCCCTCTTCGTAGTCGTACGTGTTCCCACCGTTGTCCGTATGACCCGGCGGGTAGAAAGCGGTGCCATCCAGGGGCCGGTTGTTGCGGACACTGTCGACAATCCGCTCGCGAGGGGTGGCTCTGAGGGCCTCCTCATTCGATCGGCTGACAGCCTCCAGCGGGCTCACCTGGTTGTTGCGATTGCGCTCTCTGCACACGGCATCGTAAGGGCCCTCATGGTGGTACATGAGGTCGCCCACGTTGTCCATCCGGTCGATGACATCCGGATTGACCAGGCCAGAACCTGGGGAGTACCTTCGAGGCTCCGGGTAGCTCTTGGGGCGGGGACGGGGACGGTTGTCCTCGTAGTTGGCACTCGCCCAGTTTGTCCCGGGGTACATTGGGTGGTGTTCCAGCGTGCCCGAGAAATCGACGGAAGGCACCGAGCGGAGGGAGTCGGTACTGGGACGGCGGTAGAGCGACTCGGGAGAGTTGCAGCTGTAGGGGTTGTTGCTGCCAGCGTTCATGCTGGTGGCTTGCTCGGAGTACCAGTAGTCCTGAGGGGGACAGTCCTCAATATACTGGGCGCCACGGAGGTAGTCAGCGTAGGGAAGCTGACGGGAAGACACAGTGGTAGGCATGCTGTGCCTGTGGTCTGACTATGTCTTTCCACAAAAAAAAAAAAAAAAAAAAAGAAAAAGAAAAAGAAAAGAAAAGAAAAGAAAAGAAAAGAAAAGAAGAACTAACGGTCCAACAGGAGACTGCTTATACCAGACGGCGGGGTAAAGCAGTGCTTATAGTAAGTAAAAGCGAGACAGCAGTATGAAGAAATGCAGTATGAACAGGGAGGATGTAGGAGGGAAGAAAAGATGCTGACCGGGAGAACAGCGGACAGGATAGAAATACCTGCCCCAGCAGACAGGCGCAGTCGGAGCCAGGTAAGGCAGGCACAAGACTCACGAGGCCCAGAGTGACGTGATGACTTGCGTAGCCCAACGCTTATCGATCTAATTTTCCCATTCGGGCTTAGTTCCGGGGTAAGCGGATGCCTAAAGTGGTTAGTGTGAGGGTTGTCCGGGAGTGCTATACCCGGTTGGGACTGAAATGCATTTAAAGTTTTCTCTCGATGATGACACTGTATGGACGTGCCGGATGCCTGAGTGTCGGAATTGTATCTAGTACGATATACTACTATGTAGGAGTCAGCCGTGGAATGGTCTAGACTGACTGTTGCTGACTGTTGCTGACTGCTTGTTTGTATGTTTTGTCTGACGTCATGGATCATCGCTGAGTATACTCCACCACACACTCGAGTAACACTAGAGACGAGGTTCCTTTTTCTCGGGATTATACCGTAGGGCTGGTTTGACAGAAAGATCTACATGAAGTATGCGCAAAGGGCAAGGGGAAAATGAAGGGTTCACTTTCACTTTTCCTTGGGAATCATTGGCCATGTGTCGGCCCTGTCGATGAGCCGTGCTTTCCACTAATTTAAGCTTACCCGTAATGTCCGGTGGTCTGGACCCGTCTAGAGTAACCTGCTCGATGACTGGAAGAACCACTAGTGTGTCTAAGTAGGAGTTCTCGCTTCAAGCAGTAATTCGATGCAGCTTCTAACGTAATCGGTAAGCGAGCTGGACATGTAAGCGAGCTGGACACAACGTATTCCGTACTAAATCGCCCTTTTGAGACTTCAATATCTCAACAACAAAGCTTTTACTTGAACTGAGATTTCAAATAAAGCATTATAGTATATATTTATAACACATAATAAGTGATCAGGTTGTTGGGATGTCTGTGTGGCCAGGTAATATAAATTACGTTGTAATTATATATATTTTAGATATTGTATATTCGAATATAGCGAATAAAATTAAAAAAAAAATCCTAGAAAATGAAAAACATATGCTGTAGTACAGTAGAGTGTAGACCTGTCTCTAGTATATCATACTACTTACAGGCCTCCATATTTAAAAGTGGTGAATATTGCAGTTCTAAAAATGGCGATTTAGTATGGAATACATTGATGTCCAGCTCGCTTACATTTCCAGCTCGCTTACCGATTAGTTAACTACGTTAATTAACTAACTAGCAGTTTTGCTACAGCATCATGGTGGTAGTTGAACATTGAAAATAGAAAAACATGGCGTCTCTATGAAGGTATACCGGGATAGCTATTTTGTTCTATAGTAGAGTAAACATAGAAAGTTAGCGCGGTAATACAATACCCAAGCGGAGTGCTGTATTACCAATAAAACCACCATCACCAACAACACCGCTCCCCATATCCAACTCTACCATGTCCCTAGTCCAATACTCAGATTCAGAATCTGACTCAGACACCCAAACACCACCTTCCCCACCAGCCAAGCGAATCCGCCCAAATACCCAGCGCCAGCGCCGCAGTAATCAAGGCTCATCACTTCCCCCATTACCAACAACCTTCTACGACCTCTACGCCACCAGCACTCGCGTCAGCGTCCAAGATGACCCAAGCCTCCATGGAGGGCGAAAACGGGTGATCCCGCATGTTGAAGGGAACTGGCCTACGCATTTGTATCTTGAGTGTAAGCTGCTTTGCTCCCAAATTCCATTTGTTTACGTGTTCTGGCTGGCTGACATAGGTGAACAGGGTTCCCGAACAAGAGTGAGCTGGGGGTATTAGAAAACCTCGTCCAAAAATCCGAGAGTAAGCTAGGAGATAAGCCCAGGGTCATACATAGCCTCCTGCGAAGTGACCTGGGTGCACAGCTCCCGCTACACATAAGCTTATCCAGGCCGGTTGTTCTGCGGACTGAACAGAGACAATCTTTCATCGATGCATGTCAGACTGCGGTTAGGGATTCAAATGTGTCACCGTGAGTATCTAACCCTCTTTTATTTGAAATATGCAGTGTTCTGACATCATTCAGGTTCGACATCACGCCAGGGAGCCTGCATTGGGTATCCAACTACGAGAAAACGCGCTGGTTCCTTGTCTTACGTGCGCAGAAACCTGCGAACGATGGATTGAATCGCCTACTCACGCTCTCCAATCGCTCGCTTGCTTTATTTGATCAACCCCCTCTTTACGAAAAGACTGTCCAGACTGGTTCTGGTGGAGGACGGCGGAAGCAGACGAACGGCGCAGATGAAGATTATTCGCATTGTTTCCATATCTCTATTGCGTGGAGTCTGATTGAGCCTTCTCCGGACGACAACGAGCGAGTGGCGAGTATTGATTTACAGGATTTGAACGGTCTCAGTGTTCGTTTTGATTGTGTCAAGGCGAAGATTGGGAATAATATATCTAGCATACCGCTGCTGAGTGGGATTGTTGAGCAGAAAGGAATTGGGGGATTGTGATTGCAGATCTGCACATATAGACTATGATACCGTATTTAACAATACTAACAGGTTTATTTTCTCTTTTTTTACGTATTTCCTCACTCATATTGCTGATTGAATAGCTGTTGTCGTGTAATTTATGTAATATTACAGGTAACGTGACCACATCGCGCTATTCTACGCGTTTCCGCACTCCGACTCATCTTCTTTGGTGACAACCAGCATCATGGCCCAACTACAAATCCCACCAGTGACTCTAGTAAGCTTTACCCCTTTTCCCTCCGTCTAAAAAGACCCCGACTAACATATTTGCACCCAGGACGACCTTCAAACCTTCCAAGCCAAGCATTTCCTCGGCCACCAAACACCAGCATGTGACAACCCGACCGCCCCAGCCGAAGACGCTTACTACCCCTACGAAGAAGAAGAATACTATGACGATGGCGATGATCTCGGATTCTACCCAGATGGCGTAGAACGTACTCTCACAGACGAGCAGATCAGGATATTCCGGCATAGCGAGATACACGCAATACTGCGGGAGAGACAATTAAGAGAAGAGGAGGCGGAGTATGAGGGGTCTGATGAGCAGGCTCAGGCTCAGGCTCAGGGTCCGGCTCAGACTGGGAATGCGAAGCGGAAACGTGAGGACGAAGATAATGATGAGGGCGGGTTGAAGCGGGTCGGTTCGAAGCTGGCCGAATCGGCTGGTGTCGGTACTGGGTCGACGGCACTGGATTATGATGATGAGCAGGAACCTCGTGAGATTCAGAGACCTGCTGCCAGTGCTCCGTTTGCTGGACGGAGGATTATTTCGTATGAGGATTGAGAAGTTGGTTTTGTTCAAGGATATTCATCACTGCTGGTGTCTTGCTCATGGTAAGTTTGTCTCTGTTTTGTTGTTATTACTGCAAATGATGAGAATCTTCTTGTCATCCTTAGGCTTAACGCCACACCATCTTAGCTCGATGTGTGAGGTTATGAGGACCGTAATCTTCTCTCTGATGCACTTGTTCTTGCTTATCTTGCCGCATACTTTGTGTTGCCCAGCAGCTAACTCGAGTTGTCAGAAGTATAGTCACAACACACAACTCTCTCCGGAACAAAAAACCGCTGCGTAAATCGCCTGATCCTATCAAGAACTGACGTTATGAAGATAGGCCGTTGATAAGCAAGCTCCGTGTCTGGGGTCTGGGAATAAAGGCCCGATCATCGTGGCCCCGAAAATAAGCGACCTGCGCTGTTTTTGCTCACGTTATGACCTCACCGTCCTCCAGATTAATGCGGAGTGATAAGATCCTTGCATGACGATTTGCTGAAGGCGAGAACATCCGTTCGCCACGGTCGACATACCCACTTTTCAGTCTCATAAGCTGATTTAATGTTGAGCCCGTAATACATAGCAGGCCATGCCATTTCGACCGTAACATTAAGAATTTGAAAAAAAAAAAAAAAAAAAAAAAAAAAAAAAGGAAAGAAAGAAATGCATCGTCCGTGAATCGAACACGGGCCTCGTCGATGGCAACGACGAATTCTACCACTAGACCAACGATGCTAGACCGCTTGACTATCTTGTCAGGTGATTGGTCAATGGTTCATCTTTTTGAATTGTGAGCTAACTAGCCAAGTCCTCGGCAGCTAGACGGCATCTCGCGGTTTCTCGGCGTCATTTTGGAGGGTGCCGCTAAGAAGTAGAGTCTGTCATATCGCGTTACCCCAGACCCAGACACAAATAACCTCATGGCGACCAGCGGCCCAACTCCACCCCTAGCGGATATTATGTGTAATAGCAACCCATTGTGCTGGACTCTCCGCAAACAGTGGATTTCATTACACGAGAAAAACAGCGGACTGACTGCGCTATTTATTCTCGAGAATGCGGGGGATCCGGGGTTGGAGAATCTGGGGATTAGGATTCATCTGCATGGATTATGCATGGGATCCTGCATAAGTCTCTTCTTGTCTTATTGTGTATGCATGAGTGCCTCACTGGCAGTCTACCCCAACGCTGATCTCAGCGAGCTGAAACCGTTTATATTGCCTGTTTGGATGCCGCGGAAATGCAGAACTTGTACATACGGACACTGACTCGATGTGGCAGTCTAGAACGGTTTCTCACTCCTTCCCATAAGCTTACTATATACATTAGATTCTCGCTAGGGGTGTCTAGCCCCATCTCACTCAGCAGCCAAGCTGCTCATGCGGTGTCCCCGTAAGATGTAACCCTGTCATTCACTCACTCGTAATTGGGCCCGTATTCCCTGTCAACATCTAAGTCAACGCCCTGACCAATTGGATAATGAGGAATATTCAGACAATTGCCTTGTCTGGCGACGCGAGATAAAATAATTACTGGAAACGGCAATGATCTGACGATTCCATAACTTAATTACTGATAAAGAGTTATCAATGCTCTACACAGGTCAATGTAGATACTAGAATGTAGATAGGATTGTAGTCGCGGTGTTTATACTCTCCCGTGGATTCTTTTATTGCACCTGCAGCTGTGGCGCCAGAGGCAAAACAATCCAGTATCATCCGGACCTGACACGATAAGCGATATCCGCCCAGAGAGAGAGAGAGTGAGTGAGTGAGTGAGTGAGTGAGTGTGTGTGTGTGCGTTACACAGGGAGGGGCGGAGCTGTCATCCTGGAGTGCTGGATTGGGATATAGCACAAAGCTTGATGTTATTGATCCTGTTACTTGCTTATTATTATGGTATAGGGTATAGTATAGTACAAGTAGTACGGAGTACATGTATGTACATAGAGTAGTGACAGCTTACCCCAATATGTATATCAACGGGCCGTGACCGTGAAGAGGATATCCTGACTGTTGATTGGTCGGGAGCTCCGATCCGAACCACCCAGGCTTTTTGTTTTACTTTCTTCGGTGACATTTACTTGTGCTTGTAGAGGCCAGCCGGGGGGAAGCCATCCTAGAAGGTGCTAGCTTGCCGGGCTCTCTTTAAAGTTCCCTTGTTCCCCGTTGTTTTGTTCTCCATCTCTTTCCACTTTTCTACCTTATTGTCTTTTAATTTATAGTACCTTCATCTGTGCCATTGTCCGGTACTATTGTCCAGTTCATTATGGCTCCTCAGATTGTCGACGCCCCTCCTACCACCATCGACCTGGAAACAGGCCACGAGAGCGAAAACAAGAAGAACACTGGCCCGGACGAGATCTCCGCCATTGACGAGAAGAAAGACGACCAGATCCCAGCCTACCAGCAGGATGCCTTTGGTAACGAGGAGTTTGCGGAGGTCAAATACAAGGTCTTGAAGTGGTGGTACGTTCTGGGATTCATTACACTATTGTCTAACGGTCATTGAGACCCCACCTGGACACATCCCAACTGACACGTTCTTTGTACCACAGGCAATGCGGGTTACTCATGGTCGCCGAAACCGTCTCCCTGGGTGTCCTCTCGCTGCCCAAGGCCGTCGCAGGTCTAGGTCTGGTCCCCGCTATCATCATCCTCATCGGGCTGGGTATCATGGCAACATACACGGGCTATGTCATCGGTCAGTTCAAGTGGAAGTATCCGCACATCACCAACATGGCGGATGCGGGTGAGGTCTTGATGGGGCGGTTTGGGCGTGAGTTGCTGGGGATTGGACAAATGCTGTTCCTGGTTTTTATCATGGCAAGCCATATTCTCACGTTTACGGTGGCTATGAACACGATTACCAACAATGGGACTTGCTCGATTGTGTTTGGGGTTGTGGGGACGATTATTTCGTTTATTTGCTCGCTGCCTAGGACGTTGGAGAAGATGTCGTGGCTTTCGTTGGTTTGTGAGTGACTCCCTGTGTCCCGGGAGCAAGTCCGATGGCTAACTAAGTACAGCGTTCATCAGTATTCTCTCTGCGGTGATGATCACCATGGTTGCGGTTGGTGTCCAGGATGATGGAGCTGCTGTTGAGGCTACTGTGAAGACTAACCTCTTCCACGGTTTCACTGCAGTGACCAACATTGTATTTGCTTTCTGTAAGTTCTCTGGCTCATAACGACGATCACAAGCTAACCATCTTTAGCCGGACACGCCGCCTTCTTCGGTCTCATGGCTGAACTCAAGGATCCTCGCGACTACCCCAAGGCCCTGTGCTTGCTCCAGGGTATCGATATCTCGCTGTACATTATCGCTGCCATTGTCATCTACCGCTACACCGGTGCCGAAGTCGCCTCTCCCGCTCTTGGATCAGCTGGTACTCTGGTTTCCAAGATTGCCTACGGAATTGCGCTGCCAACTGTAGGTCTACTATTCTCTTATGAGACTGAACTCTGCTAACGGTTTAGATCATCATCGCCGGTGTCATCAACGGTCACGTCGCTTTCAAGTACGTCTACATTCGGCTCTTCCGCGGTACAGACCGCATGCACAAGCGTGACTTGGTCGCCGTTGGCACCTGGATCGGTATTGGCCTGGTCCTCTGGATCATCGCCTGGATCATTGCCTCTGCCATTCCAGTCTTCAGCAACCTCCTGAGCTTGATTGTACGTTATCTCGCCGCCGCATAGTGGATCATACTGACTAGTTCAGACTGCATTGTTCGCAAGTTGGTTCACCTACGGCCTGAGCGGGATCTTCTGGCTGTACATGAACAAGGGCTTGTACTTCTCTTCACCCCGGAAAATCGCCTTGACACTTCTTAATGTCATCATCGTCGGAATTGGCGCTATCCTGGTATGTTTCCTCACCTTTAAACCATCAGTCCAAATTAATAATGTGAACAGTGCGGCCTCGGTCTCTACGTCTCCGGAAAAGCCATCCACGATAATCCCAGCAGCGCGAGTTTCTCGTGTGCTGCGAGCAACTAATCTCTTTTTCTCTTTTTCTCTTCTTGTTGATTACTTTTTCTGATACTTGATACTGCATCTGCATAATGCTGTGCATTGCATGATGGCATGTGTTTCCGAATCATGGGCTGGGTTGCAGGTTATGACGTTCGGGGGTGGGCTAAACAAGCTATTTCTGTAATATCTACGGAGTATTTGATACCATATTCGTACTGGTAACGTTAGAGAAAATTATGATGTTGTATTCTATTGACCTCATACTCGCTTGGTTTTTGCATGTTAACCCTATGCGATTACAACCGGTTGACGAAAATCAACCTTCTGTTGAAACGTAACTCGCGTCAAACGAGAGCTAGTTCTCGTTCGTGACCCTGTATGCTGCCACATCTGCGTCGTGCTGGAAGCGTGCAATATCAGCTCCGGCTCCGTTTATAGTATCCTGCTTCCCTACATACGAGCCCTAACCACCCCTGGTGACCATTCTAGAACTCGATTTCCTAGTCCTGGATTGACTCCACTCTCATCATCTCGTTGGAGCTCCGCATGGATCGCGGAGGATCAATCCCAGGGCAGATTAACCTTGCAGAGACAAAAGCCATCCGAAAGAATAACGGATCCATCTCACGGGGCTCAGACGAGGGAGAAACAAATAGGTTTCTGTTTCCAACAACTTAGTTAAACAGACGAGCAAAGCATTTGTCTTTTCCGAAATCGCCACAAGAATAAGGCGCGGGTCTAGGACATGGCATAGCAACTGTCATATTCATCAACTCAATCTTGTGACCCAACGTCCGGAATAGCCAAGGCACTGCGTACTGGATCCCCGAATTATCAGATTGGTCCCGCAAAATCTTCCCTTTTTCCAGGCGCCGTGCATAGACAGGCCTCGGAAAGATAGTCTCAAAATCCGTTGTGTACTGTGCGCAGGGCATGCAGACATGCTCGCAGATGGGGTTGAGGACAACATATGCGTCTCTTTGACCACATTTTCTGTATAACATGAAGGTTTTTTTTTTTTTTTTTTTTTTTTTTTTTTTTTTTTAGCGAATTCCGTCGTCTCGTGCTATTTCAAGCGACGTAGCTAGGGTAAGTTTTCGGAAGGAAAAGTGCTTGCGAAATTGGTTGTTTCGTTAACATTGGCGTGAGGAATTCAGTGATTGCACAGGCTTGTTGCCTGCGTTCCATATCTGATAATATCACTCTGGAGCAATGACTCGAGACCGTCCTTAGATCCTTTCTTGTACTTACCGATATTACTAATGTCGAAGTCACGGGTACGATCATACAGAAGGCAATTGTCACTTATCCTTATCGCGTTTATCAAAGGCATTGGGATGTCCAGTTTACCCGAAAAAAGAGAATAGTGGGTTCGTTGGTTAGTATATATCGGCCTTTTTTGAAAATCCGCTATAATATCGCCGGGGTAAGGCCTTAGTCTGGGATGTAGACAGCAGCCGCTATATTTGTTAAAGTTAGTTTAGTGACCAAGCGTCCGCGGTAACATAGGCATTGAGGGCTCTGTCTGTAGAGCTATCGGTGAGACTGTGCGGTCTCTGGCGTTCCTTCAGGTGTCGTACATTGGAAGGTATCGGAGAAGCTCTCCCAAAATGTGTTGCTTATTGTGTGCAGGGCATGTATACATACTTGGACTGGTTTGTAGACAGCAGATGTCGTCAATGGGCAAATAATGCGCATCTGTATATCACACCAAAGCTGTTACGCCTTGCTGGCTTATTTGATTCCATAATCTTCTATTGGTGCATCAGCGCAACGGTGTTTGGAGGATGTACAGTCCAATCCCAGCCTTGATTTGTATGCTATATTCTTTCAAGGTTTCCAAGGGTCATGAAGCTGCTTGCTCACATTATTAGCCACGGTGCTGGAAGAATCACTCTCTTAATCCCCATCATCTGGGCGAGAACGCTTGGATCTGCCGGAAATGGATCGTCTCGTAATCCTGCCTGAAGTATACCCGCAGCGAGCTGCGCGCTTGCTCTCCTGCTGCAGTCAAAGACGCCTACCAGAAGACGCTCCTCATTGACGCCGTCACGTCCCCAATCCGCTTTGCTTTTTTATTTTGGGGGGATAAGTGACTGGTCAATTCATGTTAGATGGATTCGGGCTGGCGAGCGTACTTTGATGATTCCTCACCGAGGGATATTTCTCTGCGTTCCTAATTGCGGCCATGCTTGTTCTTAGAGCGTAAGTATTATCAAACGGAGGAAATGCTCGATTGGCTGGTCAGCGTCTTCTCTGCCTTTTTCAAAAAATTCCCGCACCACGCCCAGGGTAAGGCGCGCGTCCGGAATATAGAAAGCAGTCGCTGTATTTGTTTAAGCCAGTTTAGTGACCCAATGTGCGCAATAATCTAGGCATTGAGCACGGGATCTGCCGAACTACTGGAGTGATTCTGCAAGATCTCCCCTTCTTCCAAGCGTCGTACGTAGACAAATCTCGGAGAAGTATTCACGAAATTTGTTGTGTATGCCATTGCATCTTTTTGCCCGATCTGATGTATGGGGCCTGCGCCTCTACCTTCTGTATCCACTCTGGCCCCATCAATACCAGTTGGAATGCTATTACGCATGTATATTTTGTGCAAGACATGCGGACATCCTCGGACATGGGTCTGCAAGCTGCAGATACATCGTGCGTACCAGTCCGCCTGTATATCACACCAAATATTCTTTTCCCTTGTCTGATGGCTTCCTACTGGCTTACTTGATCATGTCGCCTTATAGCGGGTCAAGGGTGATCCGATGGCGTATAGATCTCTGAAAGCATAGCTTTGAATATTTTGTTTCCGTAAACTTTTCAAGAATGATAGGTGAATGTGGTGGTTGCCGTATATAGCTTGTTAATCCATTTTGGCTTGAGACTAAGTTGGCAAGCGGACCCTTCACTGAGGCGAATGTCCCTCTGTGTCCCTGGTTGTGGGATCGTTCGTGTTGAAGGCATTGGGACACCCCATTTACCGAACAGAAGTGGTGTATTCAGTGGCCATCGTCTTTTGTTTATAAGACAGAACCACGAGAGCCTTTCGCGGAGGAAGCAAAAAGCCTTCCGAGATATCCGTGGTATCTTCCTTTTATCACAGAGGCTGATGACAGCGTTAAAAAATTCGGTCCAATACTCGGGCCAAGGAAGTCATAGCCATGTAGAGCATGGCTTGTTGTGTGCCTATTGCCGAGTTTGATCGGACTCGCAAGAGACACGGCGATTGACTCAAGGCTTCCGACTTGTTTATACATGAACACAGGTCGTATATCACGAGTCCTCAAGCTCGATGAAATACCTCTGTTCTTAGCCAGGCACGCGACAGGGCACTGCTCCATGTAATGATTCAGCCGTTACAGTTTTAGGGCCACGATAAGTGTTCCTTCTTCGTTGAATGGATGATGCCATGAAGCCGTGGGTTTTGTTTGTAACGTCGGTTTACCTTCTTCGTATATTCAATCAATGTCAGTGTTCCATTTCGGTGAGCATTTCATGTCTCCTGGATCCCGACTGCGGTTGTGTACACCCGTCACTGATACCGGATTTACCACAGAGTGGTCTATCAGGTCCACCCAATGAAAGCAGCTCCTCTAGCTTCTATCATGATGTTGAAGTTCGAAGTTCAAGATAGCCACCCAGTTTGCCGGATCCACGGGAGAAGGCAAGTAAATCTTGCTGGTAAATTTGGCAGTGTCGGGCAGGATATTGCGCCGGTCGAGGCTTTCTGAGCGTTGGATCTTGGTTTGTATGGCTCAATGTACCATAGGGGATATAGCGCGCGCGCGGATGTTGAATTAAGTCCTGCGTAGTGTCCCAGACATAAAAAAAGCCCATCGATAGTGGACAAAACATAACTCTTATCAACTCGTCTGCTGCAAGCATGCCCAGGTACGAGAGTCCTAGTAAGACTGGGAAACGAATGCGTGTGCTGCCTTTTGGCAGCGTGCACAGTCCACATTTTCTGTCTTGTACATGGCGAGCGTGGTATTTTGGAGAAAAAACGACGTTTCTAGTATTCTAGTTCTCGAAGTATCGACAAACACTGGCGCCAGTATGTGAGAATGCAAAGGACGTATAATGCCTGCCTGATCTGGTAGACTTCTGTTAGGTCGCCGATTGGGTGCGTACTCTTCTCGGGGTTGTTCCGTAGTACCTCTGAGGGCTAATACCCTATAATGCAGAGCTTCGCTTGTATTCGCCTGACGTTTCCAGCGATGTCTTTCGGTAAGTATCCAGTTCTTTTCTTCTTGATATTGGTCTCTGGTTCAATTAATCGTTAACATTTTGCGCATTTTCACTGATAGCTCCGCCTGGCCTCAAATTTGTTCACCTCACTGTCCCTGGCATCGGAGAGGAAGGGGCTTGTCATTTTGCTCTCTTGACCTCATCTTAAAGAGTATTAGTCAACTCTTGTGACGGCTGATGACAACTTTCTCTTGATGTTCACGTCAACTTCCTGAAATTTAGAAATATGTCAGCATGTTCTTGTTTTATCATTTCGTAAGATCTTTTTCATCACCAGCCAACTGCCATATTTGCAGAAAAGCGAGTCACCGGCGCTCGGAAAAGTACATAGGCGAATACTTCACGTTCCAGCTCCGTGGTGTCCGTTGTACTTTAGCTTGAGATTTGTTTGAAATCGTGACAATCGCCATTCAAAAGTCCTACTTCCTTATAAAGGGCATCGTTGAGGGTGGATTTGGCAGGGTAGTCCACGGCATACAATCCCAACCAGTTGCTTTCAAACCACCTTCCTCGCACCAGGCGTCCCACTCGGACCATTTTGTTAACAAACGAGCTCAGGTTTTAAGATGTAGAAGGTGAAAAATGGAGCTCGCGAGAGTTAGTTATGGTAGCTGCTGGAAAGGTAGGAACAGTCCAAATGTCAGGTGGTCGTTCTCAATCGGTCACTTGAAGTGACCATTTCTGTGGAGTGAATAACTTGTACCTCAAATCGTACTTCTGCATGTATAACCCGTTCTCCTCAGGGCGAAGATCATTGCATTCATTCCTGGTGACTGTTTGTGGGATCATGCGTGAGTTCTCTTGACGCAGCGAAGATTCATTTCGTGCTGAAGAAAGAAGCCGAGGAAGGTCCCCCAGGTAGTGAGATTTCGGCATCAGACCATGCCAAGAATTGGTTGCCGTCCCATGCGCGCGAAGGTACAATGTCCCCAATTTGGTAAGTCGGATGGCCGTCTAGTGAGTATATTTCCAGACATAAAAAGAAGATCGATATTGCTATCCCTAATCTAAACGATGCTATGCTAGCCCAGTAATGTCACAACGAGATAAAAAAAAAAAAAAAAAAATTAATAGAAACGGCATGATCTGGACCCAGTCCAGGAAGAAAGAAGTAAGAGATAAAAGGAATATGAACTAACGAAGGACGATAATATACTATACTGCGCTACCCCTGTCCTCTTCTGCTATCCCTCCTCATCCGCCTCTGTTTCCGCTGGCTCGCCAGAATTGCGTCTTCGGTGAGGATCTCAGGCGGCAATTCGAACTCTTGCTCTTCCATCTCTGGAATTGGATGGCCAAAGGCGAGCGTTTGATGTTGAAGACGGTTGGTTCGGCGGTTGGTAGGGGGTGTTCCCTTCCCCAGAGAGATGGCGCGAACTTGAGGATCGGAGTAGAACGAGGTGAAGGTTTTATTCTCAACAGTTGGAAGAAGTTCGGGAGCAAGAGGAGGTGATGATTGTGGAGGTTGTTGAGAGGGCTGTAGCTCTGATGAATCCTGGTCAGCAGTAGATGGTGCGGTTTTGGATTTGCGGCGTTTCTCGGATGATGCTGAGGGTTTGGGTTTCTTGCCCGATGTGGCGGTTCGGGCTTCGCGATGGAGTTGTCGGGCTGCTTGGACATCGACGTCGTTGGGATCAGCGGGTTCGCCATTACTCTGGACATCGATGCTATCCCGAATGGTATCGTTCTCGGGAGGAACATCTGGTGAGGACGGCTTGTCCTTGGCTAGTTTCCGACGCTTCTCCTCTTCTTTCCAGATTCTGAACTTCTCAATCAAAGCCGAGAGTTCTTTGACGAAAAAGTCGCGCTTCGGCTCGTAGACTTTCTTGTTATCTGTGGCTGTAATACCCATCACGCGAAGCCAGTCGTGACCTCGTAGCTCCTCTAGGAGACGGTCTACCTGGAGCTTTTCATGCTGGGCACGCTCACGCTCGATATTCCGAAGTTGTTTCTCCTGTCGTTCGACTCTGCGGTGCGCGCGGAAATAGGCTCCCTCGTTCAAGGGGTCTTCTTCGCCAGCATCGTGGTCCTCCTTGGGTTCCGGTAATTGTACTACCTTGCAACTGTGGAACTTCAAAAGAGGGTTGCCAAAGGGCAATTCCGGATCAGGAGGCAGGTATGTCGACGGAGGTTTGGTGAGATCGTCAATCAACTGGATCGCCGTATCTCCGGTCAGGAATTCTACGATCCCGTCAGTTCCACGCCGATACAAAAGACACAATTGGCACGCAGCATACCCGTTTTCTGCGGTTCCAGACTCAGCAATTGATCGTAGTTCGGGAAATAAGCAGCCAATTCGCTTCTAAACTTGGGTCCGCTGTCATGAGATCGCAAGGACCGCCGTTCCCGTCCCGCGGAGGGGGCGGGAGCTGGAGCTGGAGCTGGCGGCGGTTGCGATTCCGGCGGCGGAACGCTGTTATTCCTCTGCAAAGTCCGACTGACATTGTTCCGGGATGTCTTGTCTGACCCCACTGGATTTTCCGCAGGCTTGTCTTCAACCTTGTGTTGCTGTTTGGGTTGTTGTGGGTGATGGTGGCGGCTCTCACGCACAGCGGGAGGCGGACGTGGTCGGGGGGAGGAAATCGCGGGAGCGGGAGATATGGTATCTAGCGGATCGGGGGATTCGCGCGGATCTGGGATGGGGGTAGTGGACGGGACATCATGGCGATTTCTGAAATGCGGAGTTTTCGGGTTATTAGAAGATGAGGGAGGAGGAGAACGGTGGTTATATGTGGATGACGAGGCCGAGGATATGAGTCGTGGTCGTCGCGCCGATGCGCGCGGTAGCGGAGCAGCAGTAGCGGCCGAAAGGGGTGAGTTGGCGGGACGGACAGCGAGAGGTTTAGGGGTGGTAGCGGGCTCGATGGTGGTATCTAGCAGATCGGGCGAACTGCCGCGACGACGAAGACGGCGCGAAGAAGACGAAGGAAGGGGATTGAGATGTTGTATACGAGGGCGTTTGGAGGGCGGAGGAAGCAGACTCAGATCGGAATCCTGTCGCACATGCAGAGACGACCTGGACCGGACAGCCATGGTGAATTACATCTGGAGGGTTTCTGGGTATAGGGCAACCGATAATGGAGGAATAAAGGAGTTCAGCCGGGATTGAAGCTGCTGGTCGCCGGCGAAGAGCGAGAGAGAAAAGTTGAGGCCGAAGGAGCAGTTGGCGATGTTACGGTACGGAACGATACAGGGAGACGGGCGTGTTAAGGTGGGTGCGTACGGTAACTTTGGTAATTGGCATACATGGCATGACTTCTATTCAACACATCACTTTCATCTTTTCTTCCCCTCAATCTATATCATTTTCTCTATATTAATTCTGCATCTATATAGAACGACAGTGCATACATAAATATGTGCCGAGTGAAGAAGACAGCTGAGTCATCATCCCACGCAACCCCGGATTTGGCAGCGTGGGGGTTCGGCCAGTGACGGAGCATCTTTACTATCGCGATACACTCGTGGGGGCGGGGTTGCATCGGTGCTTCTCCGGATCTATACTGCTATATAAACCTGTCCTTCCGACCGTAGCTAATTGTCAATTGTTTCAGAATCTACAAAATGACGAGACAACTTGTCCCCGGCGTTTACGTTCCTACCGTCGCCTTCTTCCAAGAGAATGAAGACCTAGACCTGCCAACCGTCGAAGCCCATGCGGTTTACCTTGCCCAAGCTGGTGTCACCGGAATTGTCACACAGGGAAGCAATGGCGAGGCCGTCCACCTCGATCGGGAGGAGCGCAAACTTGTCACAGCTCACACTCGTAAAGCTCTCGACGCTGCCGGCTTCACCTCCGTGCCCGTGATTGTGGGCTGCGGATCCTCGTCTACCAGAGAAACGATTCGGTTCTGTCAAGACGCTGCAGAGGCCGGAGGAGACTGCACCATTATTCTTCCGCCATGCTACTACAAGGGCCAGGTGTCTAACGAGGCCCTGCTCGACCACTTCCGTATCGCCGCAGACGCTTCGCCCCTCCCTGTCCTCATCTACAACTTCCCCGGTGCCTCGGGTGGTATCGATCTCACGTCCGATGATATCCTTGTGCTCTCTCAGCACCCCAACATTGTTGGCACCAAGCTCACATGCGGCAACACTGGCAAACTCGCCCGTATTACATCGCAGGTCAAGCCCTCCTTCCTTACCTTTGGCGGTTCTTCGGACTTTACCCTGCAGACGCTTATCGCCGGTGGCGCTGGTGTGATTGCTGGTATTGCCAACTTGATTCCCCGCTCCTGCGTGAAGGTCATGGAGCTTTACAACAGCGGCAATGTGGCGGAGGCGCAGAAGCTCCAAGCGATTGTGGCCCGTGCGGATTGGCTTGCTATCAAGGGAGGATTTGTGGGGGTGAAGAGCGCGTTGCAGACATATCGGGGGTACGGGAAATACCCGCGACGGCCCTGCGTGGCGCCGTCTGACCAGGAAGCAGAGGCAATCAAGGAGAGCATTCGCGAGGGAATAGAGACGGAAAAATCGTTGGAAAATTGATTTAAGTTATCATTGGTCGATATAATGTACCATAACTTGTACTATGTAACTAGGTACAGTAACGAACCGAGCTTTACCCGGAGTATAGCGTGTATACTTGTAGTACGGAGTACTCCACAAACAAAGTAAACAAACATTCTCAATACAACCAGGTATGAACTGCAGTCTCCCCAACGGCTCTATTATGGTCACACATGAATTTCTCGCTGTAAAAAGCCGTTCTGGTGTCTCTCAATGGCATGTCTGGACTGTACTGTGGAATGTTGGGAAAGTGCTAAAGCTCAGCTTCCCTCGCTGATCACCAGCTGATCTCCCTCGCCTTCCTCCTTTATTTCTCCGCACCTCCCCATCTACTCTTCTTCAACATCTTCCATCTCCATGCACTATTAATCCATCATTTTCCGCCATGAAGCTTTCTATACTGACTCTGGCTGCGGCTGTCTCATCAGTCGCAGCAATCAGCGTCAACCCCTTGCCAGCTCCACGCAAGATCACCTGGGGATCGTCCGGCCCCAAACATCTGGACGGCCGCATCTCGCTCCGTGCAACACGTGACACCCACACTCAGCTTCTGGCCAACGCTTGGGATCGAGCCTGGCACGCTGTTTCTTCGCTGCATTGGGTTCCTGCCGCTACAGAGGCCCCTATCGCTTCATATCCTGCATTTCCCACTCCCTCCGCTCGCAAGGCCAAACGAGCACCTTCCCCGTCGTTGACCTATGTTGATGTCAGGGTTGAGGATACTCATGCTGATTTGCAACATGGTGTCGATGAGTATTACTCGTTGAATGTTACGGAGAGCTCCAGCAGTGTTTCCATTTCCGCCAAGACTGTCTGGGGTGCTCTCCATGCGTTTACCACTTTGCAGCAGTTGATCATTTCCGACGGTCATGGAGGATTGATTATTGAGCAGCCTGTCGAAATTTGGGATGCACCCTTGTATCCGTACCGTGGTATCATGATCGACACTGGTCGTAACTTCATCACGGTCCCCAAACTGCTCGAGCAGATCGATGGTCTGGCCCTGTCCAAGCTCAATGTCCTGCACTGGCACATTGGTGATGCGCAGTCGTGGCCTGCACAGATCGACGCGCATCCTAACATGACCAACGACGCTTACTCGAAACGGGAGATCTATACTCACGACGACATGCGCCACATTGTCGGCTATGCCCGTGCTCGTGGAGTCCGCATCATTCCTGAGGTTGACATGCCCAGTCATGCAGCTGCTGGATGGCAGCAGGTCGATCCGGAAATCGTGACATGCACTGACTCTTGGTGGTCCAACGATGTATGGAAGTATCACACTGCAGTCGAACCAAACCCGGGCCAGCTTGATATCTTGAACAACAAAACATACGATATCGTGGGCGATGTTTACCGTGAGCTGTCGGGCATCTTCCCTGACAAGTGGTTCCATGTTGGGGCCGACGAAATTCAGCCCAACTGCTTCAACTACAGTCGCCATGTTACCGAGTGGTTTGCTGAGGATCCTTCGCGTACCTATAATGATTTGGCGCAGTACTGGGTGGACCGTTCCATGCCCATATTCCGCAGTGTCCACAGCAATCGCCGTCTGATCATGTGGGAAGACATCGTCCTGTCCACTGAGCATGCCCACAAAGTACCCAAGGATGTGGTCATGCAGAACTGGAACAATGGACTTGAATATATCGATAAACTGACCGCACAAGGATACGACGTGATTGTGTCGTCGTCCGACTTTCTCTACCTGGATTGTGGCCAGGGCGGATTCCTTGGCAATGACCCTCGATACAATGTCATGGACAATCCAGATCCCGACACTCCTAACTTCAACTACGGAGGCAACGGTGGATCGTGGTGCGCACCGTACAAGTCGTGGCAGCGAATCTACGACTACGACTTTACGACCAACCTCACCGAAACGCAAGCGAAGCATGTTATCGGAGCAGCCGCTGCCTTGTGGACTGAGCAGACCGACGACGTGACAGTGTCGAGCAAGATCTGGCCTCGTGCTGCTGCGCTGGCGGAGCTGGTGTGGTCTGGCAACCGCGATGACAAGGGACACAAGCGGACGACCTCGATGACGCAGCGGATTTTGAACTTCCGGGAGTATTTGGTTGCAAATGGAGTGCAGGCTGAAGCATTGATGCCGAAGTACTGCTTGAAGAATCCGCATGCGTGTGATCTGAACTACGATCAGACTGCGGTTCATTGACTGAATGGCCGGAATGGATCTGGTTCAATTAGGTTTCGGGGGGTGTATATATTATGGTGCATGATTATCCATGTGATGCTCATGATTCTTTAGCTATGCTGTTGACTTTCGTTTTGCATCAGAATGCCCGAGGTAGCATATTCAATGAATACGTATACATTGTGATAACATTATGCTTTCCATTCCTACGTATTTTAACATAGACACTAAGCTATATATGCAACGTTGTTGCAATTCCGGTACGGGGTGAACGACTGTCTAATACATCTGTCGCCTTTCGCTCTTGACTCTCCCCGTCCAATCAGAATCATTGCCGAATCGGGCTCCGCTGTGGGCTCCCGGAACCCGGGCGGACGGGGATGACTGACGCTCGGAGTTTCGCTCTGCAGACTCCGGGAAGGTAAGTAATATGATTGGCTGAAGATGATGGCTGAGAAATCAATGTGGAGAAGTTAATCCGTACCAGGGGTACGTACGGAGTATGTACAGAGTACTCCGGAGTACAATTGCAGACTGCCTATCCTATTTATATCCACCGGCATACTAGAGGATACTTACTTGTACTCAATCAATTCTTTCCTATCATTCGTTCTATACTCCAAATTAACCAACATGTCAACCTCCAAACTCTTCACCCCCCTCCGCGTGGGCCAATCAACCCTTTCCCACCGCCTAACAATGGCCCCCATGACCCGTCTCCGCGCCTCCAACACCCACGCCCCGCTCCTCCCCCTCGTCAAAGACTACTACCGCCAACGCGCCTCCGTCCCAGGCTCCCTCCTAATCACCGAAGCAACCGTGATCTCCCCGCGCCACAGCGGCTACACCAACGTCCCCGGGATCTACAGCGAGGAGCAGATCTCCGCATGGAAAGAAGTCACTAATGCAGTGCACGAGAAGGGCTCGCATATCTACATGCAGCTCTGGGCGCTGGGACGTACTGCGAACCCGGGATTTATGAAGGAGAAGGGATTGGACCTTGTGTCTAGCGGCGATGTACCCATGAAGAGCATGTTCAGCGGAGAAATGCACCACCCCAGACCGTTAAAAGAGCAAGAAATTCTCGCCGCAGTGGGCGATTACGCAGCCGCAGCAGAAAACGCAGTAAAAGCAGGCTTCGACGGCGTTGAGATCCACGGAGCAAACGGCTACCTCGTCGACCAATTCATCCAAGACACAGCCAACAATCGCACCGATAACTGGGGCAGTACTATTCCCAACCGCTCCCGCTTCGCACTAGACGTTACCCGCGCCGTCACAAAGGCCGTGGGCAACGACAAAACCGCCATCCGACTAAGTCCCTGGAGCAGATTCCAGGATATGCGCATGGAAGACCCGATTCCGCAGTTCTCGCATCTCATCGAGAACCTGTCAGACCTTAAACTCGCGTACTTGCATCTCTGCGAGTCGGAGGCTAAGACCGCTGGTGAATCCCTCCGTCCGTTGATTGATAGCTACAACAAGGCTGGTCCGGTTATGGTTGCTGCTAACTATACGGGTGAGACCGCGGTGAAGGCTGTTGAGGAGGAGTACAAGGATAATGATGTTATGGTTGCTTTTGGGAGACCGTATATTGCGAATCCGGATCTGTCGTTTAGGGTTCGGGAGGGGCTGCCATTGGCGGAGGTTAGACAGGAGGGTGTTTATGCGCAGGGTGAGGAAGGGTATACGGATTATGGGTTTAGTGAGGGGTTTAAGGCAGCTTATGAGTAACCATTTGGTGGTTGATGATTGCATGTACATATAGATACTAGACTTGTATAGCTAACCAACCTAATGCATCATCCTAGAGGAAAGATTCACTTATTATCTTCTTTCTTTGCAATAAATTTGCGCTTCTTGATGGGTTAGGTGCAGTGAATGTAAAATGTCATCATTTCTCATCCGTCTACTTCGTCCTTTTCTCTCTTGTTTGACTTAGCCCCGTCCCTCCCTTCTTTCGTTTTACAGCCTAATTTGAACTTGTCAGAGACATCTACTATATGGCTACGATATACGATATGCTAGCCAACATAGTGGTCCATAGGGCTATATACCAGTCCATAACACGATCCCTCGAGCGAGCCATTCGAAGATTCGAAGTCTTCATGTGACTATCTTCTTGCAACCAAGAGGATTCACAGGGTTTGAGAAAAGGATGGCTCACGAAAAAGATAACATGTCCGAATGACCATTAGGATTACTATAAAAAGAGGTATTAGGCTGCCGTTCCCGCTAACGGAATCCGCTTTTTTATCTCGCCCGGGAGAAACTCGGGGCTGGGGACCGGACTAATCTCATCCTCCCCGGATGCGTTTCGCTTCACTTGGTGAATACATTGCTGGCGCCGGCAAATTTAAGACAAGCCCTAGTCTTATACGATACACTCGCGTTGACGACCAGATCATACATATAGCGGTAGGGGCATATACTATGTCTCCTCAATTAATATTAGCGCAACACACAAAGGGCCACCCTTTTTTCGTCTTACGGCTCACGTTCCACCTCATATAAGGAGGTCTATAATTTTTGCTGTGGTCTCTGCCGAAATTCTAAGTCGTGTTGCCCATTTTGCGCTCTTGTCTACGTCTCTGGGAATTATTTCAAGCGTGTGGTAATATCTGTCCGTCACAGACCCAGAGATACTTTCTCAATCTATACCCTTGGGGCTAAGGGAGATTCAATAAGCAGGTCTCTTTTCGAGGCCACAGCATATGCATAACGGTGCGATAACGACTTATGCTACGCAATCTTCGATGTGCCGGAGCACTCGATGTTGATGATAAGTTGCTAAATGCAATTGTCCTCAACAAGACATTTCTTTAGGGGACTAATATTCCTTTGGGTTACATGAATCAACTCATAGGCAAGGGGTAAGAACCGCACCGCCTAGGCTACAACTATATTTGATAACATGAATATCAAGTTAAATAATCGTCAGCTGGAACCCCATCCCATGTTCGAGAAAGGGATAATCGGAGCACGTGAGGCAGCTTGCGCTCTTGCAGTGTGTTAATCCTGCAGGAGCACATTGATTTCACACGAGAGAGGGTGACTCAGGTTTCAGCGAGGCACTTTCATGAAACAGGCCAGCCCGGAAAATTACAGGCGTCCTCGAATCTTAAAATAGAACTTATCAATTTACAGTACCGACTCGAAGAATTGAGCAAAAGCGCGCTTGTATTTGTTTGGGGCCTCCTTGCACTGAGTGCGGACGACCATAAGAGATCCCATCTTCCAGCCCTTAGATCTATGTGCTAAACCGACGAGGAGCTGATGAGAATCCCTAATATGGACTATTGCCTAATCCAAACAGAGCGTTTCTCTTTGCAGCGGGATACCTCTGCTCGACACAAGCCAGACGCTGACTTATGTTCTCACCCACGGTTTGTATAGAAATGAATTTTGCTTTTGCTGTATGGGTATTTCGCCAAGGACAAGATCACAGCCCTAGAAATGTGGTATGGGAAAAAGCCATTTAATATAGATGCCGCATTTCTCAACGGCGATGAATATGTTGATGACCATTGACAAATTAGAGCCACCGTCAATACAGCTTGCAAGATGCATTGAGCAGAGCTGTACTTGGTTGGTATACAAGTTGGGCACCTCTTTTCTTCGCTTTGAGCATTCGGACATTGGTTTTAAGCTGTTCTTTGCTCGGCACAGTCAACCATTTCTATAGGATATCTCGGCTTCCGGTATGGGTTCATGAGCACATACGAGACTATTTTTCTAGAAACTGTTAGTGGCGCTTAAATATACTTATGTGCACTATGGATCATTGTGCTTGTTTGAACCTAGTAATGGCCCTGGTTGGAATACATACCAAGTGGCTTTTATATCAGGTCTACCTGTAACTTTCTAGGGTTTCTTTTTTCATTATATGTTTGAGATAAGCCGTCCATATTTGCTGGTACAGGCTGTCGGATGCCGTTATGCATGAGTGGCCGCCCCAGTCTAGCATGTGTTGTGGATCATTTTCACCATCTCATGCTGATATCGTGCTGGTACAGAGTGATAATGATGATAATAACTAAACACCTGGTGTGAATCAATAACTCATGATATTAAGCACGACGGTAATTAATAAATCAAGGTACAGCAATTCTAAAAGAACATCCAAGGGAACTGGAACTAGCCCTTAGAATTTCCAATTCGACATATCTGGAGAGGTCACTTCGCTATTCATCCCATTGGTACCCTTTGGAGGATAAGCCAAAACCCAGGAGGCGAAGAAGAAGTCGTTCCAATCAGCTTTTGCCTCCATCAGGTGTGTAACTGTAAAATCGACAATGTAGCTATTATGACACATGTTAGCAAGATACGCAAAGATGGTTAAGAGACAGGTACACTCACATTTTCTTAGATCCCTTGTGCCCAACCAAATGATGAATCCCACGCAACCAAGGCTTCAGCCTGACAGAGCACATCTCATTGAGTTGGTACAATTTAAGTCAGTAAGTCTTGACATGCAAAAGGAAATTTCATGGCAACTTGTTTGAATGCCGAAATAAAGCATTGCCGGATCTCCTCGCGCTCATCGCCATCCAGCGACCAGAACTTTTCTTTGCTCAGACGGAGACCCGGAAATTTAGTGTACACCATATACTCGATAAACCCAGCTGGGACCAGATCGTATTCATCCTGACGTTCAGACTTGTGTGCCAGGCAGATGGGTAGGTGTGTCGCTTGTCTCGCGGCAAACTTCATGTACGCTTCAATATCGCAAAAGGTACCCGTTCCCGCTTGCTGTGCTCTGATAGTGTGAGGCTCGCCTTCGGTTGCCACGTGTGGTATCTGTCGGTAGACCTTCAAGAAGGCTTCCTCGGTGGTTTTATTGACGTTTTCGCAGATGAATATCGCCTCGCTGTAGGAGAGCGTGGGACCACCAATCGTTTCGAGTAAGTCGAATTGCCGGACGGTCTCCGAGTATTTTTTTTTTCTTGATTCGCCATTTCGAGGGCTGCGGGTTGGTAAATTATACCTCTTTATCGATCCAAGGGTTGCCAAAAAACAAAAAAAAAAAAAAAAAAAAAAAAATCGTCCCGTTTGTTCTAACATTTTGAGTCGATACGGGCTCGAGATAACTAAGGTACAGAGGAAAGTAATGAGAAAAGTTTACATCTAATGAACACAATTACATCATGTGATCTATCGTTTAGGGCACCTGTATAGCAAGGTAGTAGTATCTAATGCTAATACCAAGAGTCCTGGTATCAATATGCTTCTATTATTTCCTCGGCGCAGTCGTGATTATAAGGGAAACATGACTATTGTATGAAAACAGCGTGGAGACTAATACAATTCCAGTCATTTACATATCTCAACTCCCAACAACTTCCCACAAATCTCCAGGCTCTCTCGCTGCATCTGCTCGTATAAATCAAACTCATCCTTTATGGAATCACCCAGTGCTCGTTGGAATTCCTTCAGATCTGAGCCCGCGTCTCGAATCAGTTGCTGTGACTGGGACTGATTTCCGAGGTTCGAGTTGAAGATTCCTCCCGCAGATAACGGTAGAAAGTCTTCGTAAATAATGGGTTCGTATTCGAGAATACCCTGTTTCAACAGTTCACTCAATTTTGCACTTGCCTGGGGTTTCTGTTTTCCATTGATGACTGCTGATGATTCCAGTCTATAGCAGAAATACGCCAGCTTCTGAGATCGCAACTGGTCCAGATCATCCGGGAACTCCAGAAACCGTCTTTGCAAGATCTCCTCATACTGAGCCGCAGACGCCTTCACCTCTGCTGTCTCCGCATTTACTCGTTCCAGAATCTCATCGTACAACTGACGACCCTGACGCGTCAGGGCGTAGCCCCGCTGTTCGACTTCCCCGAATCTCGCCGTATGAGATCCCTTGATATATACACCCGACGACGCATCCCGGAAATAAACCGTCTCTTCCAGTGCCTTGAAACTCGTCTGCCGTAAGAGAATCGGGCACTTCCGCTGCGGAGGTCCTTCAATGCGTTCCTTTGCAGGCATCCCACGGTCTTGCATCAATTTCTGCACGAGGTCGATATCGATCGTCCGCGGTGTGAGATGGTTGATATGACAGTTCGGGAACGAGACAATATCAGCAACCAGTGGATGCTCGTCTTTCAGAATTTGATACTCCTCCAACGTAACCGTCGCCTGTGAATGCCAACGAAACGTCTCCAGCCCTTCCTTGATAAACTCCTTACACTCCTCCTCACTCAACGACCCCTGTTCCTCAACCCGACCAATAAGCTCAACCAACCTCTCCGTAAAAACCCTCCTCTGCCTCAGCGCCCTGACTGCTAACTCCCTCGTCCTCTCTGTCAACAACTCCATCCTCAACAGCGTCGTAAACACCCGAAACGGGTTGTTATCAAGCGCTTCCCTCTTCCTCGGCCGGAATGCAGTCGCGTGCATTGGGAACCCCACGACACTGAGATCGTAGTATCCCACTGGATACATGCCCATGGTGGCGAACATGCGGCGGATAGTGGATAGTTCGTGTGGTGTACCGAGGCGGATTGCGCCGTGTCTTTCGACGCGGTTTCGGGAGGGAAGGATCGTATCTGGGTCGAGGTCGATGTGGTTGTGGTTGTCTTTGCATCGCGTTTTCTGGGACTTGAGGGCTGTAGCGTCTGCTTCATAGACTAGGTCGACTAGGTCGCCGTATAACGGGACTTCGGTTCTGTACATTTCGGAGAGGGCATGGCAGAAGCGGGCGCGGAGGGTGTCTTGGTCGAAGGACATTTTGACTTTGGAAGGGCAATAACTTTGCATTGTATACAGATTAGCACAGAGACGTAGTCGGGCTATATACAAATTTTTATCTATCATAGTCATACTTGTAGATATAGTTATCTATCAGTGTACTACACCGATAAACCCCTCACATCATGCTTATCCGTTATCTGCTTGGCTTATCCGTCGGGACACGGGCCTCCATGGACAAAGGATATCCTCGGTCAAAGAGTTCATGTTATGTAAAATATCTCATAGTGTTTAGGGCATCCTGGTTGCTATTCTTGTTGTTGTTGTTATGTCCGATGTCCCGACGGATGCTGCTCCGCTCCGACGGATTCGGTAACCGCGAACACCTGGAGTATACTACACCTCCGCAAAACTTCGTAGTAATTGTTAGTTCCCCGGACGCATAATGCGGGGATGGAGTAAGTTAGCAGTATCACTGAATGGATATTCCCGAAAATCCGTCTCAGACAAGGTATAAGAAGTAGCAGGCCCGCGGTAGAGAACCAGAACCAAGACAACCACAACAGCCACCATCATCCCACATCCATTCCCATAACCCAATCGAATAAACCATGTCTGAGAACATGTCCAATGGCAGTACTCGCCCAACAATCAGCGAAGCCACCCGCGCAAAATGGTCCGGCAACCCCGAAGCAATCGCCGCAACCTTGCCCTCAATGCTCGACCTAACCATCGAAAACATCACGGAGAACGTTATGAAGATCAACTCGATGTGTGATAACCCGCGTTTGCGTTTTCTGATTATGAAGTTGGTCAAAGCGTCGCATGATTATATCAGAGATGTGGGACTGCAGTTTGATGAGTGGGAGCAGGCGTGGCAGTTTTTGACTAAGGTGCGTTTCCTTTACCCCAAGCCGCGTTTTGAATCAAAAGAGGACGAACTCTGATGCTTTGAGTAACAGGTCGGCCAGATCTCCACGGACGTCCGTCACGAATTCGTCCTCCTGTCTGACATCCTAGGAATCTCTGCTCTGGTGGACGCCATCTCATACCCGTCTGTCCCAGGCGCAACAGAGTCCTCTGTCCTTGGCCCGTTCCACGATGAGGAGGCGCATTCATTCCAATACGGTGAATCTATCACCACATCCGGCACACCTGGCGAACCGACAATCGTGCAAGGATACGTCAAAGATACGGACGGCAATCCCGTGAGCAAGGCTCTGATTGACGTGTGGGAAACCGACGGTGATGGGGTATACGACCTCGAATATGAAGTGCAAGAAAGTGCAGATCCGAACTGTCGTGGGAAGGTAGCCACCAATGAGGATGGCCATTATCTGTTCTCGTGTGTGAAGCCGGTGGCGTATCCGATTTCCAATGATGGGCCTGTCGGAGAGCTGCTGAGGACGCTGAAGAGGCATTGGTATCGGCCTGCTCATATGGTAAGTACTTTTCCCTGCCCTGGCTTGGTTCTTTATCATTCAATTGCTGATGGGTTGGTAGCATTTTATGATCGAGCATCCGCAATATTCCAGGTTGATTACTGCTCTGTATTCTCGAGACAGCAAGTTTGTGGAGAGTGATACGGTCTTTGGGGTCAAGCAGAGTTTGATTGTGGATTATCGCTGGTGTAAAGACATGGAGCTTGCAGAGAAGCATAATGTTGAGCCCGTTCTGAAGACCATTGATGGACAGGAGAGTCAAGGGTTCTGGTTGCTGGAGCGGGACTTCATTCTTGTGAAGAAAAGTCCTTTTGCGCCAAGGAAGACGCAGGATGAGGTGGTTCGTTGAGTTTTCGGGTCTCTATAAACGTATAATAGAATGAACCGTTCTTGGATGGCTCTATACACGCGAAATTTGAACTGGATCCAATCACCTCTGATCCCTGGGAGGTTCTGGTAAATTATACATCAGTTCAGGGTCATCACCGTGCCACCAGTGCTCAGCATTAGGAATGAGTTTGTCGATGCCTTCAATTTCTAATCTCAGGGCACCTGACTCCTTGAATTATATCAATCGATCTATTTGAGCGTCGTACTTTTTATTTTTCCCTTTCTAGTATCCGCGAATACACAGATGCTCCAGGCTATCCGGTAAACAGTCGACCGGGTCGATCTGTCTTAGGTCATGGTTGTTGACTCGTATAAAGTACATCAAAATGTTGACACCTAGGCTCAGTCGCTTCAAGGCCGAAAAGTTCTTGAGCGATCCGCTTTGTTCTCACATCGATACCGGGTGTGTGCTATTCCTCTCAACCATTGCATGACGCCTGTCATAGTCAAACAAGGCATTCAAAGCTTAGTCTATTTCCTTTTCAATCTCGCCATCGTCTTTACATTTGATTGTGCCTTGTTTGAGTTAGTCCAAAATAGATAAGTCGAATTCGATATTCAGGTCCAGTATCTCCAACGTCTTTCTGTGTTGGAGAAGTGCATACAGCAATGTCCTGGGGCTGAAGTTCTCGTCTTCCTCGCGAATATATATTCATCCCCCTAATGAATATTGGAATTTGCGGAGGGTCTTGCACGAGTATACAACTTTAGCAAGATAAACGGCAAATAATAATGAGTGGTTGATAGCGATTCTGCTGATATTGGACGATTCGGGCTCTAGTCGGGGTTTCCCATTTGTGGTCTTCTTGCAGAACATCTATGCCCACGCACTCAATGGACGGAAGACAGTCGGTAATCGCCAGAAAACCTAGAAAATCCATGTCTTGGTATTCGTCGGGGGTCACCCAAATACCAGGACTATTGACGAAATATATCCTGCTGATATTTCGCAGATATGGCTTATCACTGGGGTCCGCGTTGGTTCGACGAAACATCTCGTAGAGAGGGAATAGAACAGGTTGAACTTTTCCCTTCTTCCTTCCTTCAGGCCAGTAGAATCCTGTATAGTTAGCAAATTTCGGTGCCATTTTCATGCTCTCCAGGTCTGGTGAGACCGAAATCAGCAAAGCAGCCAGGGCTTGCAAGATAAACGCTCCACGAGTGCCACTGCTGCTGAAGTATCCATCTTTTGTTTGCCGATGCATTGAATTCTAACCAAGCTCTGTCAAGCTTGATTTCTGCATCAACATATTAACCACTCGCTCCTCCTCGGAATTCACAAACCCTGCTCGTCGAGTCGCAGCCCGGAGAAACCGCATCTCATCCTCGCTCAGTTCCCGTTGGCATTCTTTTTCAGCATAATCCTTGTGTTCCAACACTCTCCCAGTACCCAATATGGCGTACATAGCGCCCCAGAGTTGGTCTTCTCAGGATATCCATGGCAGGTTAAATGCACGGTCCACACTGCAATCCGTGCCCCGGATATCAATTCGATGAAACTTTTTGCGTGCTGCCATGACGCAAAGAGAGTCAAGAGCTCGGGATTGAACGGATGGTGCTTCCACATCATGATTCGATGGTAGGAAGGAAATTATGTGTATTAGAGTGTCGATGGGGAGACTGGTCAAGGTTGTCATTCTGATCAATTGAATGGAACATCAGGGGTAAGTAACAACTATCACCATGGATGAGAAACTCGAGAACCGTGGCCGCTTTGGCAGTCACGTGGTTACAAACGAAGCCTCAATTTTCCATACTAAGTTTCACTATAATTCTTGTCTTCTTTCTGAATACTTGCGACTTTGTGGTCTATAGAAAATACTTGGTGTACTTAGGTGTCGATCGTCCGGATACATATCCTGGCACGCGATCGACGAACTGCGGAGTGTAGAATAGATGGTTGATATATATATATCCGTTCTCAATATTTGTCATTGTTTTCAGGATTCTTAGATTCTTTTCAATGCCTAGAGATGGATATCATATATGGAAAATTGTCCATTTGAATTATTATGCCAGTATCGTATAGCAAAGCCAGCAAAGACCGACTCGCTAAGTCCGTACCCAGGGGTGTTATGACAATCCTTTGTTACTTTTGTAGCACTTCTACTATATAGGTGGCAGAGAAGCAGGATTGGAACTGCCCAGCGACCGGCTACAGCCGAGTACCAACGTCTCCGGTGTTATTTACTGGTACACGACCGCCACATGCCCCAATGCACAAGCCCAATGCACAGATCCCAAAGGAAAGGAATAATGACGAGCGTCTACATAGTACATAGTACATAATACAGATACAAGACCAGTACATACAATAAAAGTACACTTACACCCGTATCGTGTTATTTCCGTTATGATGACAACGATCAGCAAACTGCAGCGCACTAACATCCCACCAATACTAGGACATCACGGACAAATCTCTTAAGGAATTTGTTATCAATCTGTAGATTCCTGGACATACCCGAAAGAGCTCACTGCATCTACCGTCCCGTCATTTTGCGGAGATTGATATCACTTGCTTGCTCGTTACTTTCTGCCGTGTCCTAATGAACCGGAAACGCTGCATTCCAAATTTAAGCTATTATTACCGCGGCTACTCGAATATATTACTGATGAATATATAAGTATATGCAAGGATTCAGGGTATAGGATACAAGATTGCGTTCCATGCACTCCGTGTGGCTGCCATAAGCATCTTATCGCCACAAGGAAGTAATATCACAGTATGTCAGTCACAGGCTGCGCCTGTCGCATAAGCGATATGTTTAGTCAGGACGGAGAGGTTAACTAACTATCGGAGGAACTATTTACCCACACTGCGCGCGCATGTATATAGAGCCGCCCGATCGGGCATTTGTTCCTCTCTTCCCCAACGAAATCTTTTGTGCCAAACTAGTCATTAGTGTCTCCGGGCCTGGCCCCTAACACAGTACATAATACAGTAACCACACTGGTTTGCCCAGGGATTATTCACGATCTTGCTGTAATTACCTGAAACATGCTTGTACATCTACAGCCACATATGTACAAGTACGAGTACGACAAGTAGTATGTTTGTGGTGGATCATCTAATGACATCAGCGCGGCATCATCGGTCATCGGGGTGTTCGTGATGAACATTATCTTTGTTTCGAATCATGGCTACTGTCTTACTTTAGTACTGTACCTTTGACCTTACTTCTGCAGTAACCCTATCTGGCATCTGTATACGAAATCCAATCCAACATTCTTCACTCTACACCACAAACACTCCCAACAGAAAAACATAAACAAAAACCCAAAACACGGAAGATCAGGTTCAAACCATTTCCCCAACTCATGGCCCGCAGATCCCCTCTTAGTTTAGGTTCCCACCAGCATGGTAAATTACGCGCACAGCATTCATGTGTGCTGTCGATACTTACATACCATTACCATGCTAAGTTCTTAGTACATACGCACCAGCCACGATCTCTGTATCTCTCGGTATACTTCGGGCCGCGGATCCTTCCGCTGTACGGAGTCTCGGACACACGGCACGATTACTAGTAAACTCGTCTCTGCTTTATTAGGTTATCGGATCTGAATCGGTGGGGACTGTTTCTACAGGAATTTTCACGAATAGTTTGTGTGGTTGGACGAATTAGAATATGTAGACGTGTGCCTGTGCCTGAAGCCTGGATGGTGGCTTTTACTCTGATTTATTTTATTTATTTATTTATTTTTTTTGAGTTCTGAAGATAGTCCTGGACAGAGTGGAGTGCATACTATGTGCAGAGTAGAGACCTGTGTTTATCCGGTGCAGTGGTTAATCGGCAATTGCTGTATATTCCTTTCTGCAGAGTGAGTGCAGAGTAGTACATAGCACATAATGTGCAAGTACAAACACGCACAGACCAGAGAAGATTGCTTCCGATCGAATGGTTCAGATCCTTTCCTACAGTATAGCTCTTTCCGGTACAGAGTACTGAGCACAGAGTATGCGGAGTACCGTACGAACTTCGTACGTACCATGACACATTTTGCCTACGAATTTAATCTTTTTAGCATATTTACAAACTTCTTCAGACCTTACAAGATCCCACAGCGGCAGAAAGCTCGGCCATGGCATTGGTAAATTAGCGCAATGACCAAGGAAAATCTCTTAACCCGAGTTCCTTCCGAATTTCGGTAGAGACAATCGATCGCAAACACACTAAGTCTAGCTCTGTACCAGACTACCAGCCATTAGCGTCCACTCAGAATTAAAAAATCAAATATATTCAAAAGCTATCATTCGTCAAAACAAATGGGGCAGGAGCCCATAGCCCCTATATTATGGGGACAGCTCTGAAAGAGAGCTCTTGGAAAGCCATATCCGTAACGAATAGCGGGAGAATGGTGTTCATTTTCGCTGACTCGGCTTGAAGCTAATTCCGAACGGGAAAGTACCCACTTGGTTCCAAAATTAAAGTTTATAATTGTTATCCAGCCTATCAGAGTAAGTATACGTGTCGATCGATCTCTGAAGGTAAACATTGCTTATAGATTAATAAAAGCAAAAATAATCTATTTGTGATTAGCTTGCATTTATTGATCGGTGGGAGGGGATGTTAATTTATTTACACGCTAACGTGTCCCGTCGGTAAGTAAGTATGTTTTGTTTGCTTCGTAGGAAGGCTATGTCGAGTCAGTCGCTTCGAGCTTGACGTGTGGTATTATCCCGAACTTGCCACCCCCAGATTCAGATCGAGCCGAGCCATTTTCCCTCGGAAAGGACGGAACACGGTCCAATTATCTATGGAGGAATAGGTATGTGTGATAGAGATCAAGCAAATATCTCCGCACAGGGTACTCTGTAGACAAGCAAGCAAACAAGCAGGAATCGATTACGTGGCGCATGAGCTCTGCATTAAGGCCAATGCAGGGGTACGCCATGTGACCCTGATTTACTTGCTAGAGGCAGAGGAGGGGAAGACATGTGCGGGGCTCCATGGCGCTTATTTGCGTATTTGGGACGAGGGCTGGCTGGATCGCGGTTAGGGGAAAAAATCAATTCGAATCGAGCTATGCTACTAACTGTCTCTTATGCAGAATTAGCAAGTATGTTTTTGGAGTGGACATGGTGCTCCGAGCAATGCAATTCAACTAAGTCCCTTTTTATCATTGATGCTCGGTCGATCATCCGATCATGAATACCGAGGCGTAGAGACTCCATATGGCTGCACAGATGACCAACAATGCATAGACCAACAATGCATAGACCAACAATGCATAGACCAAAAATGCATAGTGGATTAATACTAACCTCACGGTTAGTTTGAGCCTATGACCAAGTCCTAGCATGGAAGGCAATGAAGTATTCCAACATTATCAATGACATTTAAAATAGAACTGAGTCATGGTCGACTCCGCATCCCACCAGACTAACTCAATCTTAGTCACTATCTAAACTGCAGCCCTGCGCATATGCGTAACCAAACAGTACAGACATACAGATTAACATTCCAATAACCTCGTCATGCAGCCTGGTCGAAAAACTAACCACACAAACCTATCTGTACAGATTACACAGCATCCTGCATACAAATCAGACAGCATACGCATTACAGTAAGCAAACCGACAAATCAGGAAACAAATTACGAACACAACCGACCACAGCGCCTCATTCCAAAGAGCAAAGCCGCCCCGAAAACATGGAAACGATGGTCCATTTCCGGTTGAATGTACGTCACCCTCGCCCTGCGGTAGACATACATATGTCACTCTTGGTTACAGTGTGACACCTCCTTGCAGAGGAGGAGGGAGGTCCAAGCAGTAGTTCGACAGGCAGCAAGAGGTTCGCGATACAGTAAAACAAAGTCACGGATGGTAAATGGTGAATGGTAGTAGAGTTTTGCGGGGAAAGACGAATAGATCCACGGAGAACAGGTTTCACAGAGCGAAATCGATGGGGGTGTCAGCGAATGAGGGAATTCGGATTGGGGAGGTTCGAGATGATGGAGTGTTACATTGGATCTGGATCATGTTTGTGATGGGATGTGATTATCGATTCGGATGGTGGTTCCGCCGAGTTTTGTGTTCCGTAAATATAGTTCTGACCAGGATCTATCTATTATGATCTGAGGAGTTCATTCCATGGAACGGACGCGATAGACTTTGAGTCTATCGAGATGGCACATGGAAACGGGGATCTGGATGTCATGTCAACTTGCACAAGATGATCGTAAGCGCCAAAAGTACTACAATGTAATTTTGATAGCATAAATTCTTCACCCTCAGATAATGAATATTATGCAGCGGATTATCAAGCAGTCTGGTAGCGTCGGAGAGCCCGATCATGCATATCTACCTGATTTACTGGTATGTATTTGGACGTCAAAGTATTTGTACAAGTAATACGGGGTAATCCGTGATATGCGCACATACTGCAATATCATGTACCCTGTAGATCCAAATAATGACAGGTGGCCTGTGGAGGTTTAATATATTCTGTCTCAGTACATACTCCTATTCAACTCATCTGTCTCGGTGTTCTGTAGGGAAATCCAGAATATTCCTTAGCGGGTCCGGCTGTCATATTGACAGATTCATAAGATAGTCCAGTCCATCGAGAGAGAACACCCCGTATCCAGGGATAAGGAGAACATTTCCGTATGTCTAGACTCAACTAAACTAGCACATGGGTCGGAATCAGTTGACCCGCATTTTGACGGAAAATTGTGGCCCAACGTATATCGTATCTATTTGATTGATATATCATATGTACCAGCGTTGGCCGGCCCGTCAAAGAATGCAGCGCAGCCGTCACCGCCAGGAGACAGGAAAGTAGGAGCGATGCGACCGAGGCAAGTGAGGCTAGTGGCCGAGATATTCGGTCAGGGCGCATGATACAGTAGACGAACAGTAATAAAAAAATTTTCATTTCTGTTTATATCTTTCCAGAATAGTAGATCCGATCGCGATATGACATCTTCAGCATCAAAACAACAGCTGCGCCACACGGGGATGCTCGGATGCCGGAAACACCGATGACAGGACGATCCACAAGAGACAAGACTATTTTTGTGGCGCAGTGAAAATGTGGCTGTTAATGTTTTCTTTTTTTTTTTTTTTTTAACCGAGCGAAGGATTTGCCGAAACGGAGAAGAGCGTCGGTACTCGGTACAGTAATCTGTATGTCGATGGGCCTGCAGAGAAAAAAAAAAAAAAAAAAGTATGATGCAAGTGTCAAATTTTTGGGCAATCGGCTGTGAAGATTGACATGATATTCGCTGCTAGTTTTGTTAGCGTCTCTTTTTGAGAATACTAACCACATGTTTGTCGGGTAACGCCATAACAAGATGATATCTCGCCCGAAATCTGATGGAGATCGATTATATCGTATCCGGACTTTTTTGAACCGGATGACCTGCACAACAACAGGAGGTTGGCTCGACTCTGAACAGATCTGAACAGGATGGTGAATGTTGTGTTGTACAAGAATTCATCCTTACAGAGTATCAACAAGGTCATGTGAGACGATAGACTGGAGGGAGCTATGGTACTGTAATCCTCAAACACAAAGTAAATATGACAGTCGCACGGGCTTCCCGCCATTACACCCGCTGATTGGCACGAGCATCCTGGAGGCCCGTCACGTCCGTCACGGCCTCTCCGCCAATAGTTCCAGTGCTTTGTGGATCGGACCCATTTAGGATACTGAAAGGGGAGTACGTAGGGAGGAACCTCGGAGTGGAGACTTGAGTGGGAACAGAGCCCCTCCGATCGGCACCCAGGCCCATGGTGAAGTTGCTCGGGATGGACGGTCCATCGGAGGGAAATCAAGATCTCTACCGTATTGAGTCTAGTTCGGAGCCTTGATTTGCTCCATACATACATACATAGTACGAGTAATGACGACGGAGGTGATGAATCGGGTGAGGATCGGTTGAGGCCCATGCTTCTTCTTCAGCCAGCCACTGTCAGAACCGAAGTGATGGGACGTTCCCGCCAAGTCGATAAACACACACCCTTATTACTTTTACAAATAATGTGTATTATTCTGGAATATAGTTGTGATATTGCGTCAATAGATGTAATAAGGATGGTTACATTTGATTTTTCATGTTTATTTGTAGAAGTACTGGACTCTGTTATGGTAGATGGCGTTCACTGCCCTGTCCCTGCCCCTCCGGCATCTCCACATCCCTTGTTCATTTCGGGCTAACCTGTGGGGTGGCTTTTTATTTACACAAGGTCCATCGATACGATACCGTACGGACATAGATACATACATACACTAAAATAAATCAAAAAATAAAAAATAACACGGTCAGCACTGAACCCGCATTGATCATCCACTCTGATTGGCCTCCAGTAGACTGGATAAGAGTGGCTTTGAGTCAGGCTCCGCGCCCGTCACAAAGCTTCCAGATCTCATACAAATACAATACCAACACCCGCCCGAAAAGAGTAGGTCCTCTCTCTTATGGGTATCATTTTAATACTGCTTCCCTCCTCCACTTCTCACCTTTCTTTTTAACCTCCTCATCTTCCTCTCTGTATCTCTTTTTTCTCTCACTCACATATCACTGCATTCCTGTCTTCCTAACCGCCTAATTCTCCGTCCTTGCATACTTCTTTTCTTCCTGACCAGAGCTACCTCGTCAATTGTCTCTATTTGTCCTTCCTCTTCCTTAGTCCTGCCCCTCAATTTCCTCCAAATTCCAAATTAGACAACTTCCTTGACCTTCTGTTGTCCTTTGAAACACTCCACTAGCAGTCGTCCACGCCAATTCTTCTATTTAGAGCTTCTGACATTCCTGCTGCACCCGATCCCTTGCTGCGTCGACGCCTTCTATATATAACGAATATCCAAGGCTTTGGCACGTTCCGCGCCCTTTCGACGGCCCGCGATTTGACGGAACCTTATCTCACGGCCAATTGGAGCAGTGGTATGCACCATTCTGTCATATTCATTACTATAGAAGACAGCAAAACTGACAAACCTTGCTTGCTGTAGGACTGCGTTTCGCACCGCTCCATTTCCGTTGCCTTCTCTCCCTCACATCCTGCATCCAAGCGCATCACCGACAGATACCCTTATAACCTACACCATGTTGGCGGTCATGCCCTCGAGACAACAGGAAGCCCCGTACTTCCAAAACCCTACGATGGACCCTTCGATGGTCGACCTCTTCACCTTCCCCATTGACAACCTGAGTGGATTCGGGCAGAGCAACGACACAACAAGAGTAACACAACCATACTACGAGCCACCATTATACGCGGAGGACATCCAGAAGCCGGGTTTCCTTTCTCTTCCGGGCTCGCCTCCGGCTACTACTACTCAGGCTCCCGAGCCTCTGCCTTCTCTGTCTAGTGCTTCAGCTCCATCAATTGCTAGTACATCCTCTTCTGCCGTTGGTTCTCCGTATTCTGCCACACAAGGCATCCAGGAAGGCTGGATGGATACAAATCACGGTCTTAGTCTTACTGGTGCTATGGGTGATCTATTCTCCAACGACCAAATGGTCAACACCTTGGACGCAGACGCCTACTACCAGAAGAAGGGCGTAGATAACTTCGTCGGTCAGTTTCCCCGTCATGTATTGAAATTGATAAGACCTTGCTAATGATAAGCAGACCCTTCCTGGATCCAACCCATTTCTCACCAACCTAACGACTCCTCGCCCGTCATCTATTCTGAGCAACCCAGCTACGCCATGGGTCAGCCTGTCTTTGCGCAACAATCACCAGAGGCATCTCCTCTCCCCACCCTGGAGAGCCTCGATCAAAACGATACGGAAGAGCCAAAACAGCCCTTTTCATCACAAGCCACGCTGTCTGCCAATCCCCCCCATCATCCCACGTCCAACCGACGATCCTCTGCCTCTTCCACCCACAGCCGCGGCTCTCGCCGTAGTCCTTCTGCCAGTAGTGTTGACGATGATACCAAGGGGCGGTGTCCTCATCCCGAGTGCGGTCGGCCCTTCAAAGACTTGAAGGCCCACATGCTCACGCATCAGGCTGAGAGACCCGAGAAGTGCCCGATTGTCAACTGCGAGTACCACATGAAAGGTTTCGCTCGGAAGTACGACAAGAACCGCCACACCCTTACCCACTACAAAGGCACCATGGTCTGCGGGTTCTGCCCGGGATCAGGATCCCCCGCAGAGAAGAGTTTCAACCGGGCCGATGTCTTCAAGCGCCATTTGACCTCTGTGCATGGTGTCGAGCAGACCCCTCCCAACTGTCGCAGAAAGAACTCGAACTCGAAGAGTACCATGGCGTACAGCAGTGACTCCACTGGCAAATGCTCGACCTGCACGGGTACTTTCAGCAACCCGCAGGAATTCTACGAGCACTTGGACGACTGTGTGCTCCGCGTGGTGCAGCAGGAGGAACCCAGCGAAGCCATTAACCAGAAACGGTTGGCGGAGATGGACTCGGACGAGGAGGTCAAGAAGACCATGGAGAAGCACAAATTGGTTGACAACCTGGCTGGTACCAGTTCTCAATCTGAAGATGATGGCTCTCCTACCTCGAATCAGAAGTCTGGCAAGGGCAGCATCAATTCCACAAAAGGCAACCCCAGCTCGCGTTCCATCCTGGGAAAGAACGCCGTCACCAAGCACTCGACACAAAGTACCAACAGCGGCAACAACAAGCTTCGCCCAATGGTCTCGCGGCGGCGGAATAACCGGGACTTCTACCCTCAGTCCTGGGGGTGTCCGGCGAGCAGCATGAAGACGAAGAAGCGCGTTCTCTGCGTCTTCGACGGTCCGCGCCGTCTGTGGAAGGACGAGATGATGCTCGACAACGAGTTCGAGGTCCGCGTCAAGCTCCCTGGCGGAGCAGGCGATGGCACCAACCGCGATGCATACATCACCGACCTGGACATTGAGACTATGAAACGCGCCGAGGGCGTCTTCAGTGCTACCACTGAGGAGCGGGGGCCATGGTCCAATGGCCTTTCGACGCGACTCATCGGGCAACCGGCGATGCTCTTGCCCGGACTCAGTCGACCTGAAGAAGAGGTTGATTTGGAAGAGATAATGAGGACTTGATTTTTCTTTTCTTTTTGTTTTTTTCCTTTGTTGCATTATATTATGTTCGACTTGCATATTGTATTATGAGAAATCTGTGCATTGGGGAAATTGATACCACTGAGTTTTGCTTGTGAGAAAATGGTTTACTTCACATGTCGGTGTTTGGCGTTGGTGATTCGAGGAAAATACAAGGAAAATATTTTGGTCCGAATAATGAAAAGTCTATCATTTGCTTATACATGATTTTTGAGTAACTGTAATATGTAGAATTGAGCTATACTCATTATACTTTGACAGCTACACCTCGTGCCATAGAATCATCACATGCCCCGCATTCCCTCCGCAACCTTGTCCCAACTTCACACTACCTCAATTATTCAGCCCAGTACAGTCTATCCATTGAGAATATACCCGAATAAACAGCGAACATGCAACAAGCCCTCTCAGAACCCCTCTCCACCCTCGTCGCCAAACGCTTCGCAGCAGCCAAAGAAGGCGGCCATCTCATCTTCTCCCCGACCCAGGTCACCACCATCCAGACCTCTGGGATATCGGTACTTCCCCAGCACCAGCATCCAAAAATACCTAAACAAAACACTTAACTAACAATACCTTTGGTAATTGTATAGTACCAACTCCGCTACTGCCCCTCCCTCGCCAAAAAACCCTCCGCCCTCCCTAAACCCGCCGACTCCGCACAAACCGAAGCACAACGACAGGGTAAAAAGCCTGATCCGTTTGATAGTCCGTCTCCGGAGCTACTTGTCACAGATATACCGGGGCAGAATGGTAATGCGGATCAGGGGTACTGGGTTGTGTTGAATAAGTTCCCGATTATAAAGAACCATTTCATCCTCGCGACGAAGGAGTGGAAGAGTCAGACGGATTTGTTGGAGAGGGGAGATTTGGAGGCTTGTTATGCTTGTATTCGCTCTTGGAAGAATAATGGTGATAATGGGCAGGAGGATGGAGGGAGGTTATTCGCGTTCTTCAACTCCGGGCCTGAAAGTGGTGCGAGCCAACCACATCGACATATACAGTTTCTGCCGGTGGAGGATATGAAGCGGACGTATGAGGGGGGTGGTATTGAGGGATGGAGGCCGTTGATTGATATTGTTGTTGAGCGCGGTCAGAACAAGGGTCAGGGACAATCGCAGTCGCAGGATGAAGGGTTCTTGACAGATGACAGACTGCCATTCGCGCATTTTGTCCTGCCGATACCGACTGATCCATCTGCGGAGACGTTGCATTCTATATATATCTCGCTGTACAGGGCTGCTGTGTCAGCTGCTATCGAGGGCTCTGAGAACCCTGCGGAGTTGAGTATACAAGACCACGGCCCTGCGGCTATCAGTCATAATCTTGCTATGACCGAGACTGTGATGATGATTTGTCCGCGGCGGAGCGAGAATGCTACGATTCCTATACAAGGGAAGGAAGAGGCGAAGGGGGAGAGGATCGTTGAGCCGGGGGTTATTGCGCTGAATGGGACGGTTTTGGGGGGTACGTTGATGGTGAAGATGGAGGGGGAGTGGGAGGAGTTGAAGAGGAGGCCGGATGTGTTGGGGGGAGTGCTGGGGAAGGTTGGGTTTCCGGTTGGGGGGAGGGCTTCGTTGTAGATACCCCAGAGTCTGTTGGAATTAGGTATATTCGTGTGATGTAGATACATGACTTATTATTACTTTTATCTAATAGAGAATGATCCTCCCAAACATGTTTTAAAAAAAAAAAAAAAAAAAGGGACAAACTCCACCAAACTCCACCCGCCCCAGACAAAGGGAATTCCGCTCGCTATGACAATGGCAACCACAAGAATGATCACGATCACAGTCATGATCGCTGTTATTTCAGTTCAATGTTGTGAACATCACACCACTTTTTTTTGCAAGTGGCGTTGCCAAAATGATACGATCCCCCGTGTAACCAAATATAACCCGCCACTTTCTTCCACGACACTTTGGGAACTCCACTCTCGGAGTCTGCACCTGCATCTGCATCCGCAGTATGAAGATGGACAGGACAACCACATCCCTGTCCTCGACACAGAGAGTTATGCTTGAAGCCCCGTCGGTACGTGTGGCGTCCCCTTTCGGAAGAGAGGATGTTCACTGCTTCACAAAGCAGTTGAACCTGTCGTCTGTTAGCTAACAGCTCAGTCTAGTATACTGGGGAAAGGCAAGGCTTACATCTCTCTCTTCCCACTGAGGCCTGCGGACTCGTTGATCCTTCGTCTTGGTCAAGGTGCGGAAGCGGCCACGCAGGGTTGACTCTGCCTCTTTGAACCCTCCCAGTCGCTTGATGTCTTTATAAGACAGGCCACGACGCTTACACTCTATCAAAAAGGCATTTCGGGTGCTTGAAGGAGTTGAAGCCGTTGGTCGGGGCGCAGCGGTGGTGGTGGTGGTGGTGGCTGGGGTCGTGGTGTAGAACTGAGGTTGGAGCTGCGGCTGGAATGGTTGCGGTTGAACGTGCTGGTGCTGATGAGTGAATAAAGGGTAGGACGCCGCTTTGTGGTCTGTAACTTCAGGGACAGGACTGGTGAAGTATGTGGGGATCTCGTCCGTGTTGAAGTCCAGCCACGGCAAGCCGTTAAACATCATCATATCCTCGTTTGTCGGCTGAGCTACATCCCACGTTGCGTCGATAGCTTGAGGAAGGTGCTGGCTCGAGGGTTGCAGGTAGTGAGGGATGTTGGCCCAGGTTCCCATTGTCGCTGCGTCTGATGCTTGATGATAATTCTGCGAAGGAAAAGAGGAAGAGGTCGAGGAAGCTGAGGATAACGACGACGAAGCCCACGACGCGGGGTTCATGGTGCCGAATGTGCTAGACATTGGAGTGAAACAAGGTTCATCGAAAGTCGTTACGGAGCTATTGGGAGAGCTCTGTGTGTTGAAGAGATTGAGGTCTTCTGTGCTGTGGTTGGATCCTGAGTATCGTTAGTATCAATATGCTCTTGAAACAGGGATTAACGACTCACCTGTCATAGGGGAAACAACTTCACTTTTTGGGTAGATGTTGCTTTCTTCGTACCCGAAAGAAGAAAAATTACTGTTCTGGAGATGCAACGCTTTAGGTACAGGGTGGGAGAGGGTATGATCATTTGGAAGAGGCGAAGATGGAAATTTCTGTTGTTGCTGGTGGACGGCAAACGATTCAGGCCAGTATTGAATCTGGTCCTGTTCCATTGGTTGTCCCGTCGCGTTGTCCATGTTGTTGATGGATGAAAACGTTGACTGTTGATGAATGTCAGAGACCATTCAAGCGATGAAGAAGTTGTCAGGTAAACAGAAAATTGAAGACGAACGAACCTGATATAAGCAGGCGACTTCACCGCTCTTGATCAATGAATTGTATACAAGATGTCTTTGCTAATCGATCTCCGTCGTTGAATTCTGCTGATTCCCGGGTCTTCACTGCACGTTGCTGTCAAGCTTAACGGATGACCTGCATGTTTTGGGTTGTCAGCATTCTATTCTAAAACTTGACGAAATGGCAGATGCAGATGGAGATGTTTCACCTGTTGATTCGGATGGTTGAGTGAGACTGTGGTTAGCGACCGTTTTGTTGGTAGGTGGGTTGCTGATGGTGGTTGATTTCTTAATGAACGAGAGATCTGATTCAGATGCAATGCAGGTAAGGATGGGAACGACTGAAGGGATGCACCATTGGCTAACGAGAGGAAAAGAAAAGAAAGAATGATAAAGTTGAAGATGATGGAGCGATGGAGAACTAAAGTCTACAGAGCAGTACAGGCGAGGCCTTTTATTATCCACACTCTCTCTATCATAACCCCGGATGATCACCCACTACTATCTCTCATCTCCTATACATATCAAAGCTCAGATCCCCTCGAGTCAAGAAACAGACAGGACCCCAAACTATCGAACGGAAGTAGATCCCCCCTCGTTCCATACCAAATCCCGAGCAATATTGACCCGGGGAAGTATGGAAACAGACAAGGAAGTTCTCGACGGAACCACAGATCTGGGACCCGTCGAAACACAAATGCGGCAATGCTAGGGGTAAGAGTATTTCTCTCTCTACGAAAATAGCAGGGACCTCTACCGGGAACCGGGGTGACTGATTGAAGCGACGGGATCTACTGTGCTTTAGTTGGCCATTCTATCGGTGGCTGATCAATTGACGAGTCGCATCATGTTTCATGTGTTGTCTGTGTGTTGTATCTATGTATCTGGCGACCTGTCTCTCTGCCTTCTACCCTGTGTAAATGACAAAACATAAAATCTACCGGAAATCTGGAATCGTTGATCAACTCTTGGCATGAAGAGACCGATGAACGACGATTCACCGCGGGTGTCGGGAGATATGCACGGATTTCCTAGTCTAGAAGTACTGAGACAAAATAAAACAATCAAAACCATAGAAAAAATCATATATAATGGCGAAACGGAGAAAAAAGTCCCCCGATCAGACAGAAAGAAAAAATAAATTGTGGCCATCGGATAGCGACAGATGCCGGTGGAGCCCCCGATAATATGCATGTACAGAGTACACAAGTAGGGTTTTGTTCTCTTAATGACCTATTCGGGGTGGCTGCATTTACCGCCATATTTACTTTTTTTTCTTTGGGCTCTCTCTATTCCCTTCTGTTGGTTATTGTCTCTACTTTAGTAGCCAAAGAGTATTATAAATAAATAATTTTGAACTCCGAGCTTATGTTTTATTGACAGACGTTTGTCGGAGAATTCATTCGACTCGGGCCTTTCCGGAAAAATCGGAGCCGTTGTGCCAATTTTCTACCTCTGATTTGTTTTTTTTTTTTCTCAGTTGACCGGTCAACTTGCAGATTCATGCATATGCTGGTTGTTGGAACTCCTCAGTACCTCGTGTAGTGTGTGTCAGAGTCAACGCTGACAGGTTACTCCATATTCCATATACGCCCTGCGTATCTGCATACTAATTCTCATTGCATTCTACATACAGATGTCGCCTCCTGCCAACTCAACCCGTAACCCCATAATAATACATATAATAATACCTATAATAATACCTGCATATACCAGGATGTTTGCCTCCTGCATCGATCAAGCAATCAGGCATATCGTCCCATCCCCGGATCCCCTCCCCCGAAGGCTACCTGCTTGCACCACAAAGAAAATGGAAGGCGATACATCGGAAAAAGCAAAATAAAACATAACACGAGCCAATAGCATGTTGAGCCTATATCAAATTCATGCCCGGATGATATATATTCTTCCCAACTACGTACAAGTACATGCATCCGGAATTCCCGCACCGCAGTAAGTACGGATGTATGTACAGAGGGGACGTATGGCGCGATCGCATTATCCAATAATTTCCCGGAATTGGTGAAGATTTCGGTTTGAACTGCTTGTACATGATCAGATACTCTCGTTATCTGCCACGAGCCGCCTCAACTGGTTTGCAGCAGCAGCAGCGCACGCGGAAGCAAGTGACCAGCTTCCGGTTCCAGACAATTGAAAACGAAACGAATAAATTCTTCAGTCTGTAAAAAGAAAAGAAAAACAACATTGGCCGCTGGAAATGACCCGTCATTCTGGAAGGGTACGTTTGTCTGAAGTCAAATCCGGCTTTATTGTTTCTCCTTTGCTGTCTCTGTATACAAGTATGCTAATTGAAATGCCCTAGAAGCTTGGCCGCCAGTCTAGATACTCATAGTTTCAATCCTCCGCGAATCATTAACACGACCCTAGGGTGACATGTCACTTCAAGTAGGTGCTTCTAGACTTAATTGATCCTGCCGTTCACTAAGCCGTGCTCTGACTGATGGCGGACAGGATGGTGGTCGTGAATCAATAATCACCCCTCCGGACGTCGCCGGTATCAGTGTCGCCTCCCGTCCAGATTCCCCTTCACTTCCCCGTTCACCCGGTTGCATCCACCGGCCCATTGTCTCCTTACTACTCAAGTAATCCAATAGTCGGTCGACCAAAAGTACTATGATCCGTTAGAATCATTGGATGAAGAAACATGGCAGACGAAACATACCGAACAATAAAACAAATGTAAAAGCGTAGAGTATAGTCGGAGAAGTCATAAAGGAGTACGCCAACCGGAAATGGCTCGCAAAGGAGATCAACCCGCAAAGGAAAATGGCCAAGACAATGCGGACAACAACCCCAACGGCGACATACGCCTTGCGAGTGTGGCGGCGAGCTAGTACCACAAAAGCCGCAAAGAGAAACATTGCCAACGAGGCGACGATAAAGTAGTACACATACACAAATCCCAGCACTTCCATATACATCCGTAGGAGTTGAGCATTGTTCAGCTGGCTGATATCCGTTCCTTCGGCCGGATTAAGCCCCATACTGGAGAACAGGGCCGCCGTGACATTTCCCACAAGATCGTCGATCCGATCATCCGTCAAAGAGTAGAGAGTCACAGCGGTACTGTTTGGACATAACGGCCGGCTCGGTAGATCCTCCAAAATGGCCGAGATCACCGCTTTTTCTTTAATGGCCCCACGATTGTAATCGATTTCCATATCCGCAATAGTACTTCGCAGAAGCTTAATGGCCCGTTCAGCGTTGGGCCGCGGTTCCTCGCAGGCGAACAGGATCGTCTCTGTCAGGTAAGTGATTTTCAACGTTATGTCCAGCGTCAAAACAAGAATACCCGCTCCCTCAAGCAGGAGAATCAGCACCACGTGAAAGGGATAGTGAAGCTGTGCCCACAGTTGCTGTGCGATCTTTCCAAGGGCATCTCGTGGCGTAACATCGAAATATGCCTGCCACAAAACATACTAAAAATAAGAAAGAGAGACATCAGTATAAAGGTTATTCAGCGGAAAATGCCATCCGAGACATACAACATTGCTAGTGACACCCAAAATGTGGACAAACGACCACTTGGTCCAGCCGCCAGGGCGCACTGTCTTGTTCACAATTCTGGTGATGGTTATGACGCCTTCTCCAATGATGATCAACGTAAGGAGTCCCATTCGCACGTTGAGATGTGTGTCTTGGAGTCCTATACGGGGAGTGGCGCCGGATATCCCCATCACCATCCACATCTCGAACCCAAATACCGCAAACCAAACGGTCCATATGTAGGTCTGAACTCCGTTTCGTTCCTTGAAGGCAAAGAACAGCTGCAAACAGTTTGCAATATGAGCAAGATATCATGGCGATAGGGTGGTAATAGGCTTACTCCGAGATAGACAACGCTGGAAATTCCAAGAATTGCGACGATATGTTTCATGCCTTTGGCAGTATCTTCCATCCTCCTACGAAAAAAGCGACGGTTGAAGGTATATTGTATCGCCAATAGCGTCCGACTTCCGGCCAACAACAGACTCAGCGACTGGAATGCCCAGACATTATCACCCTGGACTCGAGTCGTAAACCGTGTCCCGGCCGAAGCAAATCCGACCATGACAGCTAATTGCGCCGCTTTACAAACTCGTTCGAAAACCGAATCTCGTGCAAACCGTACGTCGAAGAGCGTCACTTGGAGCCAGGTAAACCAGATCACCCCGAGAAAACCGATATATGCCCCTAAAGCTGGCCTTGTAGTTAGAACTTTCCGTTGGTAAGAGATCTTTCCAGTAGAGCGATCACGTACCCTCCACATTGTTGATTTCGTGCGTAGCAGTAAAGGTCGATAGATTCGCGACAAAGAACAAGTCAAAGAATAGTTCGATTGGAGTGGCGTCCGAATGTCGATATAGTTGTCCCTTTTCGTCAATTGGGCTCTCGAACCAGCGCAGACCGTACTGCTGTCTTGAGGTTTGATGAGTTTGCGAGATACTCCCCGGTGGCTTCTTGACGCACCTTCTCGTATGATCTTTGTGCGTAGTTCTACGCCGGGGCTTCCGAAAAAGAGAAAAGAAAGGTGACCCGGGCATATTAAGAGGAACCCAAGAAGTCAAAAGGTAAGATCAGTTCATTGGGGTATCATATCAAAACAATTGGTTTCTGCGATTAATGTTTTGCTGGCGGTCATGAAGATGTTCCTGTAGAGCCGGCCGGAACCAAGCAAGCCCGCAGTCCCAACCGGGAAAGAGCCAAGTTGAGAACCCAAGAGGCAACTGCGATGGACAGAGAATCCTCCAGCCTATCAAGATTCGCTTTCGGAATTTCCCGCAGTTATTGCCATTGGCGCACCGATATTCTCCAGTCCTCTCGAATTTTGCATCTCAGACGTTTCGTCGGGCGTGAGTCCAGCTTCCAACCTGAGTTTCTCATAGTTGTCCCCGGCCTCCTTAATCAGAGCCTGTATTTCCACTTCTCGTGCAGCTATATCTGCCTTCTCCTTCCTCAGGTCTTCCATGCGGTTGATCATCTGAGTTCTTGACTTCTCCATTACAACAAGGTTGGTACGGAAACGATCCATGCTGTTCGAGAGACGCGGAATCGCAGCCATTTTAGGCGGAGTCCTTGGTCGATCTACTCGATCACGTCCTCCATTACCCATCGCCGCCCTTGTCTGGTGGGCCTCATAGGCAGCCTTCTCCTCGAGATCCGAATCCTCCTCGTCGGAAGGTACCTCAGCTTCGTTGATCAGTTCCCTCATTTCTTCACGTTGTTTCCGCTTCTGCTCGCGCTCTGCTTTCTTCCCAAGAGAAATTCGACCATCCTCCACGAATTCATCGAAACCTTCCGCAAAGTCTTCGTCGTCTCTGAGCAATCGGGTGTCCCTCTCCTCTCCCAAGCTTTCTGGATCCCACTCATCAACCTGCGCGGCATCGTCTAATGCAATATAATCTTCCTCTTTTGCCCCGTAGCCGTGTTCCTTAGCTAGCCGCGAGCGCCTTTCCTTCTTCTCCCTGATCTCCGCTTCGCTGGGAATAGCCGATGGTGCTGACACCTTCATGACCTCTCCAAACTTCGCAGCCACATCAACCGTCTTCTCCTTCTCCTTTTCTGTCATGCTTTTCGGCGTCACCGGCGTCGAATCCCGGAGCTCCTTCAAGTAATCTTCACTGTAGCTTGGCCTCTCCTGTTCTGACCCGACCTTGAATTGGACTTTATCGGATAACCCAGACGGTGTGAGACCTCGTTGAGCCGCGCTTTTTTCCACTGCTCGTCTTCCCAGACCGGAACGTTTAGGCAAGACGACTTCGCTTTCTTGTTCGGCATCGTCGTTCATCGATGTCCCTCCGGGACCGAAAGATAAGCGCGATTTCGACTTCTGCTTCGTTTTTGAGTGTAGTGGCCGCTTGACAGCTGGTTCTGATTATGTATTCCGTTAGCTTCTAGCTCATATCTTCCTCCTGCTAGTTTCTAGAGATCAACCAACCTTGTCCGCCACCTTCATCGTGTTCTTCATCGTCGCCGCCAATCTTGCGAGGCTTTCTCCGGTTTGCAAACGCAGAGCTCATCGTAAATATAATAAAAACACAGCTCAATGAGAAATATCAACAATAATAACACAAAAGAGTAGCAATCCCATTCTCTGTCGTCACCGAAGCTCCGCGTTTTTGGAGCTTGCGGGAACATCCTTTCTCCGACCCAACCTATTCCACCGCACGTCTCAAAGTCCGCGGCGCGACAAGAAACAGCAACCAGATTCATTCAGCACCGGCTAGTCAAGATGCCTCAAGCTCAGCCAGAATTGAAGAAAGTATGTCGCGATTCCATTATTTCCGGTTGATAGGAGAGAGCTGACTGTTTGCGTGCGATTAGTACATGGAGAAGCGGGTCTTCTGTCAACTTAACGGCGACCGCAAAGTCATTGGCATTCTCAGAGGTTACGATGTACGTGAAACTCCTATCGCTCCGGCATTGCTTTGTTCGATATATCGTCTGCGGGATTTGGAATAGTGCCGGGAATACATACTGGACTGAGGACTGATATCGGGTATCACAGGTCTTCATGAACCTTGTCCTGGACGAGACTTTCGAGGAGAAGCCGGGTGGTGAGAAGGTCGCAGCCGGCATGGTGGTAAGGACAAGACACCCCTCATTAGACGGCTCATAGGGAAAATGCTAAGGAACTACAGGTCATCCGCGGTAACTCCATCGTTATGCTCGAGGCCCTGGAACGGATAAGCGAGAAATAAACACGCACACCAGTACGGTTAGAGGATGAACGCTATTCGAGTTCTTATACCTTTTCTATTTTTCTCCTGGCGAGGGTTGTTTTAATGCAATAAGGAGTTCACGGGTTGGTTGCTCATAATGGGACGATCAAAATATTTTACTTGGTTTCAGTACATTGTCTTACGGGAAGAATAAAAGGCTCACTTAGAGAGCGTCGGTTTTTGTCCCTTGCGGTCACGGTTCGCTTCGAGAATGGTTTTTATTATTTGTCGATGCAAGACATGAAGCGCAAAGGATATCGATTGCATCAGCGAAGAATGAGCCCTGAAACCAAATGCAGAATAAAAGCGAACGCCAGAACAAGAGCTATGAATGTCAAAAATAACTCGAGAAATATAATTCATTCCCACTCCACGCCTTGAAAAGCCCTCATTTAGAAACCCCACCGTCTACCGTCATGATATGGAAGAAGAAAAAAATAGAGGAAAAGAAACGACCAAAATATAAGATACAGATATAAAAGGAAACAAAACGGCAGTTGGGACTCGGATTAGTTTGATTATTTCGGCTTTTGTCCGATTTTCAGCTTCAACTTCAACCCGCCGCCTGGAGTGGTGGCCGGGGTTGACGGTGTGCCCGGTGTAGCTGGAGCGGGAGAAGAGGACATCTTGGGGATGTGTAATTTCGGTTTAGGCTGCGGGGTTGACGTGGAGGTCGCGGATGGGGTCCCCGAGCCAACTTTGGTTTGCTTGAATGTAATGCGAGGGCCGGGAGGTGGCATTCCCTGGTCCTCTCGCTTGCGTTTTGCGGGTGCGGAGGTAGCGTCTTTTGTGAGGGTTGTTCGAACACGGTCTGATTTGTAAAAGTGCAAGCGTCCCTGCGGATAATGTTAGTATCCATGAAGAGATCCCTGACGATGGTGGGCCGCGATGGCTTACCTTTCCGAGATTCTTGACTTTCCAGTACCGTGGGTATCTGAGCGAAACCCTCAGGGACGTGATCGGCTCGTACAAGACCCGGCAGAGGTCCGTGAACTCGGAGAGCTCAAGTAACCCAATACATGGCGAATTGCAGGCAGCCCAAAGAGATTCCTTCAAAATCTGATCACCAGAAAGCTCACTCCTGAGGCCCTCCATAGCGCCGGGCACGGTCTGACGTCGTGCAAGATCTGCTTGACGGACCTCCGTACTGGATTCTTGCTCGATAATCAGGCCATCATTCTGAGCGGGTGGTTCATTGGTCGGCCCACGGCCAAACGCAATTGGGCCAAGAGCCCTGCCGAAGGCGTCATGCAGTCGATGCCGAAGCCAGGCAGAAGAGTCGCTTGACATTGTGAAAATGAACCATTTCAAGAGTTCAATACTACCTAAAATGTCCATTTCGACGAGGCACTCGAAAGCATCCAGGCGGAGTAGATCGTAGGTCCCGGCACGAGTGTACGGCAGGAACTGCATGTAATCAAACTCCAATAGATTAGCTTGCATGAGTTGCCTCTGACACCGTAATGCTGCCCGCGAATAGACGTTCTGATATGAGCTGGACCATTCGTCCATTCGTCGATATCGATCGATTTCGGCAATGGCGTCCTGCTCCAGTTGCTCTTCAGCTTGGGTCTCGAGGACTCGTTCCATGTCGAAGTCATCGAAGTTGTCATGAGGGACCTCGGCCCTCCCCAGCATCGCGTCACATAACGATCGCATGAGAGTCGCAACATAGAAGTTGTCGGAGTACTGTTCAGTGTCAGAATGATCCTGACTGCAATGGCGAGCTTACCAAATGACCTACCTCATTGTTCGAATTATCATTGAACTTAAGCTTCTCAAAAAGGAAGCGCTTCACTCTCATCGGCGTCCGGCCACCATTGTCGCGCACCTTAGATATGGACTCGGGAATGACCAACTGTAGAATGTATGCAGCGCGATCGGAGAAATCATTGGAACGGGTCATGGGTGACCCTGGAAGACAGAACATTTCCTGGAATGCCCTCTCCAAATGGTACAACCCCAACCAATTGATTTCCTCCTTGGCATGTTTCACCAAAGCCCGAGCTGCTGCTGCACGTATCCCGTAGAAATACCTGCGATCCATCAACGTTCGAACGAATATTGTCGAGATCAGCTGATGCTCTTTCTGCGCCGCCATGTACTGGAGGGACTAGGTCACGGTTAGTTATGCCAACCACAAGAAAGACACCGAAACGACTAACCTCCAACTGAGCTATGACATCTCGATCTTGCTGAAGCTGGGAGAGATACATGTAACCCGGCATCACCAAGGAAAGCTTGCAAATCCACTCGAGATCTGCATCCATGCGAATCCATTCGTATGATTCCTGGCCCATCCGTTCCTCATCCTCTTTAGTCCAGTCAGCCAGCCTCCAGTCTTGCACTTCATCCTCGGATTGTAGGACATCTCCCAGGCAATAAAGAAGAACATCCTCTTGGGTTTCCGCAATGGGGTCTGTCCCTGTGGCAGCTGCGGCACGTTCCTTTTGTCGCTTATTCCTCTTTAAGCGCTTGTATTTCGTGTTATACGGAATCTCGAATTTTGTAACACCCTCCTTTATCTCGACTATGTGTTCGTAGGGAGTTCCATCGGCTTCGTGAATACGGATCGTCATGGAGCCCGTGAAAACAGGTTGCACAGTACCAGCGTACACCTGACGGATCTCTTCTTTCACGTCACGCATAAATGTGTCTTTTGACAAATCACGCGTGGTTGGCTGCTCCGACTGCACCTGTTTGATCATCATTTCGACGACCAATTTCTTTTTGTTGAACCTTTGCGTAGCCTGAAAGCGCGGACAACCGGCGCCATAAACCCATTGCTGGAAAAATTGGTCAAGTTTCGCGTGTCCGAGCTTCTCGCATGTCTTCTGAAAGTAAGCGCTGGTGATAGCGCTATTAGGAATGTCACCCGCTCGAGCAGATATAAAGAGTCGAGAGACAATACGGGCCATAGTGGCCTTTCCACTGGCCTTGGTAAGACGGCGATCCAGGATGAACAAAATCAGAGGAGCTTTGAGCGCGATGAATTCGACTTCAGAAGGGTCCAGCTTCAGAATGTTTCCCATATCATAAAGAGATGGACGTTCATAATCCATCTCACAGACTCTATCCGACATTTGCTTTAACTGAAATCGGTACTCATTGTTTCCGGAGAGAGTTTTCATGAATATGTCCGTGATATACCATGCCATACCGATCGTGACCCAGGCATCAGCGGGCTCCTTGGGAATAAGATTAACGCCGGTCCATTGACAAGATAAAGCATAGACTAGTTTTCTTGTAGTGTCCTGTATCGTGTCGATTACCTCTTCAGGGAAGAGTAGATGGCTGCTACAAATGGATAAGTACGCTGTTGGAAATGTAGCCTCAGGCGAATCATCCACGAAGACCAACTTATAGCTCGAAAACGGGTAGGAGCCACAGTTGATTGAGAAGTAGTCAATAGCTCTTGGCAGGGGGAAACATGTATTCCTAACTTCGTCGGACCTTCCTGGGAGGCAAAACGCATGCACCGGAGTAGATGCCTGAATAAGCCGCTCATCTTGGTCGCTCTCCCGAAAACCAGAGAGGTCTACACACTCGAAGGGGCCGACTGCGAATCCAACCTGTTGGGCTGAAAGGGAGGAATAGCATGCGAAAGAAACCGTTTTCTTGCTTGGATCTTTCGGGTCGACAATCTCATCAGTCAGGTCTCCGGAGCAAACCACTGTCAGATCCAGAGCTTCATCATCGGGAGAGATATATCGACCACTCCCAGATGCGGTGCTCGATCGGCCTGCGGTGGTTGCTGCAGACTGATCACGATTTTTATCAAACATATCACCAAGAGAGCACGGACACTTGATCGAAAACTCCCACGTGCAGCGAGCGGAGGGATCATCAACACACGGAAAAAGAGGGCATCCGACACCATAGCCTAACGGATTGGTCGTATACGCATGCGGATAGCGCCTGTCACCATTCCCCACGCCCACAAACTGCAAGCCATCTCGTATTTGGTCGATCACGAATTCCACGTACACGGTCAAACCCGTAAATCTCGGAAGCACTGTTTCGGCCGCTTTAGAGCTTAAAGGTCCTTCTGGGTCATCGGAGGCACCAGTTGCCCTTAGGGCCATCTGGTTTTGTGCCTCGATTGAAAAAGGATCGAGCTCATCGATGCGAACATTCTTCGGGATACTAACGAGCAGGTCGGGCTGCGGCGGAGTGTGCACGATCTCATCGATTTTAGTCGCCAGGCGTCCGTGGTAGTGAGAACCGTACAGTTGAAGCGAGTCATATGGATCCGTATGTTTAACCGCGGGCGTCTTTCCGTTGACAGTCAACCGTTTCACCTCTCCTTGTCGAAAGTTCAACCCAATAACTCTCAGATCCTTGTAATGCGGGTGGATGGTGATCTCTGTCTTTCCCTTGAGACTCCGATTTGCGAAATCTACCTCCAGTTCAACTTTCTGGTGTGCGATGGAATAGCCCAACCCCGGCCAGACGGGCCCGGCTGGTGTGTCAACGACGCCTGGCATCGCGCAAGATACTCAGTCGTAAACTGCGCTGTGAGCGCTGCGCGAACCATCCACCGTCATGTCCGGGCTCACTGAGCAACCATAGTACCGCCTTATATCACTTCGTACCGACGCAGAAAGGACGGGTCGCGATCGTAAGACGAGTAGAAGATGGCACCTGGGAAAAGCTTGGAGGGTCGACGGTGCGGGGAGGTGGAATAAACGACCAAAGTTGGGAGCTTTCGTCAAAATTACCGTTCGGTAGGAACAATAGAATGTCTTATTGTGTCCTTCTCCTGGAAAAAAGTTGTTTTGGTGATAGCGATCAACGGTCAGAGTCCAACATTCACTCTTTTTTGGGCTTGTCGCGTCTCGATGCGGCGAAAGCTTGCGGAGCTTCGCAGGACGGCACGTGACCCGCGATCGCCGAGGACAGCGGACTCCTTTCGGACTTTAACCGGCAGTTTTGCGCTCTTCTGTTTCTCACTCTTTCTCCGGGTCGAATTTTTGTTGTTTTATTTAAAGGACGCTGGTGTTCTCATCGACAAAATACTATTAATTCCACGTGAACTCTCGGTATCTTTCTCCTTGTTATCGCGCGATGAACTGAGTCTGCGATTGGAACACCCTGTACTCTACGACCTTCACATTTCGCGGTTATACGGACTGGACATATTCAGCGGTAGGAAAGATGAGCGGGTTATTTAGAAAGGCCCAAGGTCAGTCGTTCAAGACCCTGAGAAGACTTTGTTGTTGAGACTGACTGTTTTGTGTCTTGTAGCGGCCCAAGATTCGCTTTCGGACGATGCCCTGATGCCCCTCAAGAGCTATAAATACTCCAGCGTGGACAAGTCGTTCATTTCGAGATATGTGTTGAAGCACTATGTATGGCGCCCATAAACGTGGAACTCGCACTACATTTTCGATGCTAATAAATCTGTGTTCAGTGGAATGCATTCGTCGAAGTACTGCCGCTTTGGTTGGCTCCTAACATGGTTACTCTTCTGGGGTTCTTCTTCATTATCGGAAACGTGCTCCTCATTGAAATTTATATGCCCGATCTTGTGGGACCGGTAAGGATAATCTTCCGACTCAGGATATTTCTGGGACTACATGCTAAGATTTCCGTGGCTTTTTAAGGGCCCTTCCTGGGTGTATTACAGCTTTGCACTTGGCATGTGGATGTATTCCACTTTGGACAATGTTGATGGTAAACAAGCACGCCGGACAGGTACATCTAGTGGCTTGGGAGAGCTTTTCGAGTTAGTTTATAGTCACCAAATGTTTCTTGCACAACACGCTAACAGCATGCAGCCACGGAATTGACTCGCTCAATTGCACCTTGGCCAGTTTGTTGGAAACTGCAGCAATGGGCTTCGGTTCAACGCAACTTGGTGCATGGACGGCCCTGGTTCCTTGCTTGGCAATGTACTTTTCGACGTGGGAGACCTATCACACACATACGCTGTACCTGGGCTACTTCAACGGACCTACTGAAGGTCTTCTTATCGCTATCGGGATCATGATCGCCTCTGGGATCTATGGGCCCCAGATCTGGTCTCGTCCCATCACCGACCTACTGCCGTACCCGCAAATCTTTGGAAACAACTCCATGAAGGACCTTTGGGTTCCAATTTTACTTGCTGGTTTTTTCCTGGGACACCTTCCAGGCTGCGTCTATAACGTGATTGATGCTCGGAAGAAGCAGAATCTGCCTCTGAAGCCTCTTTTCAAGGAAATTCTACCGATGGTCGTGTTTACCGTCAGCAACGTTGCTTGGCTATTCTCGCCATACTCTTCGCTGTTGGCCGACAACCGGTTGGTTCTGTACTGCATAACAATCTCGTTTGTCTTTGGGCGTATGACCACCAAGATCATCCTCGCCCACTTGTTGCACCAGCCGTTCCCATTCTGGACGGTGCTCCTTACTCCGCTCGTTGGTGGTGCTGTTCTCATTAACTTGCCACTGATTGGGCTTCCTGCGATCGGTGCGTGGGTGGAGGTGTTTTACCTCCGTGCTTATCTCTTGTTCGCCTTTGTTTTGTACATGTACTGGGCAGTCTTGGTCATTAACAGGATTACCACATTCCTGGGAATCAACTGTCTGACGATCCGGAAGGACAAGTCTGCCGCCAGGGAGAGGGTTTACCACGAACTTGCAGAAATCAGACCGGAGGAACCCGGATTGAAGAATCATTGATTCTCGTCCTGCATCAGTATGTTCCGAATCAGGACTCCTTCAGTCGCCAAGGAACACTCGACAGAGTCTGAGTCTTCATTCTGGGTCTGATACCAAACCATTTGACATTGCCGGACATGTCTAAATGCTCAGTGCAAATGAGCCTTGAACCTTTAAAGCCGGCAGGGTTTGGTTTTATACGATTTCTTTTTGTCTATAGAGTTTTGGTGTCTTGTAATTATGCTCTTGCTTGATCTGGATATATGGGGTTCTCTTGTGGATAGATATGTGGATGGCTTTTATGAGACAAGCCTGCAGATATACAGGACAGGTTCACGATGTTGAATATGCTTTTGCTTTATATAGACCTAATCATTAATGTCACAATACTGATGCAATCAATATGCATTCCGTCTATTAGGATAAGGAAATATATTTTATCGAATCGTCATATGACGCTGCTTTGTACATCACCCACCCTGTGTTGCCATTCACTTCAAAGCGATTTTTATACCTCAAACGGACGCCTCAAACTCATGTTCAATGCTCTCCTAGGCCCGTACACTCGCTGTGTACTTTATTCGATGCCCGGGTACAAACTGATAAGCCTGAACGAACACCCTCGGACAACGAACCGGTAACATGAAACGGTATATATACAGAGCAACTCCAGCCGTCGATTTTAATCTTAAAGACCCCGCTTCTCTGTGTGGGGTAAGGTGATATACATTCCTATCGATGGTTATCTCGTATAGCCACGAGACAGACGTATCTGCCCCGGAAAAGATAACCAATCAGTCTGACTCTACATCTCGGTCTGTTTTATCACACATGCTTTCCGGTTCAGCCCCTCCCGGATAATATCTGGAACATTTCCGATGCGAGGGATGGCTTCATCAGATAAGGGTGGTATGGGTGATAAGGGTTCATATAAGCCATCTTGTCCCATCAAGTAGTAACCCACTAAGAAGTACGGAATACTTATTTTTATCTAGAAGATGGGAACCAAAAGTCCGGCTCAAGATGCCATTTCGTTGGCGAACGATGAAACAGGCAACAAGGGACTTCAGAATGCAGATGAACTACGGTTAGCACAGATGGGTAAGTGGATTGGAATTCTCCTTTATAATAGGCACTCAATACTTCTTAAATAGGGCACAAGCAGGAGCTAAAGCGTCACTTTTCGGTATGGAGCTTGATTGGACTGGCTGCCAACTGTACAATTTCCTGGACCGGTATGTTGACCAGGTTATATGTTATAGCGCAACAGATTTGACGTTTTTTAGGCCTTGGACTCGGTCTTATTACTGCGATTGATGCTGGTGGTCCTGGTGCACGTAGGTACAATTATATTGTGCTGAAAAAACCCTGAAAACTGACCATTCTAGTCATCTACGGGTTTATTCTTGTCTTCGTTCTCCAAGCCTTTCTTGCAACATCGCTGGCCGAATTCGTATCTGCGTATCCTGTCGAGGGCGGAATGTACCACTGGATTGCAGCTATCGCTCCAAAACGCTATAATAGCGTCTTGAGTTTCGCAACTGGTTGGAGTACGGTATTTGGATGTGAGTTCCTGTTGTATCTAGACATCTTTACAGGAAGCTAACATGCCACAGGGATATTTACAACTGCATCTACAAACTTGATATACGCAACGAACTTCATGGCTCTCATAGCATTGTACAAAACAGACCTAATCATACAGCCATGGATGACCTTCATCGCGTATCAAGGGTTGAATATCCTCACGTCAAACATTGTCATGTTCGGAAATCGATTCATTCCCATGATCAATAAGTTCTCTTGTGAGATGAAATTCTCAATTCGTCATTGAAATTAATCCGGATACTAACCACTCACTTGGCCATTGCTCAGTATGCTACCTGCAGCTGGCATGGTTTGTTATCATGATCACTGTTGCAGCTTCGGCTCCAACCCATAACGACACCAAGTTCGTTTTCAAAACTTGGATCAATAACACAGGCTGGGAGAACAACGTGGTTTGTTTCATAACGGGCCTAGTGAATCCATTATACTCCCTAGGAGGCCTGGATGGAATTACGGTAGGCTTTCTGCTTGACATCTTGAGATCCATGCTAATTTGTGGCTGCAGCATGTCACCGAGGAAATACCAAACGTAAGTTCCTAGCAGGACTACTTCTCTTGAACATTGACATTGACCGTCTTCCCAATAGCCCGGAAGAAATGCGCCAATTGCACTTGGTAAAACAAACCCGTACCCTAATCACTTAGCACGAAGAGCTCACGCTTGCAGCCTCCTCAATCACCATAGCATTTATAACTGGCCTCTCCTACCTCCTCAGTCTCATGTTCTCCGTGCAGGATTACAAAAGCCTCGCAGACTCTCCAACCGGCCTTCCATTAGCGGAGATCTTTCGCCAGGCGACCCAAAGCCGCGGTGGGACATTTGCCTTGGTTTTCCTGCTTTGGGTTGCGTTAGGACCTTGTATGATTGGATCGCAGCTCAGTAAGTTGGCACTAGGTTATTCATCTGTGGTACTTGGCTAACGTTTGGATAGGTACCGGGAGAGTATTCTGGGCTTTTTCTCGAGATGGAGGGCTTCCGTTTTCGAAAATGTAAGAGTTCGAATAGGTCATTTGGCATCGCGCTATCTTCTCGATGCTAAAAATGCTCAGCTGGGCCAAAGTAAACCCCAAATTTGGGTCTCCATTCAACGCCCAATTAGCAGTGACCATCATTATGGCTTTATTGGGCTGCATCTACCTCGGATCCAGCACAGCTTTTAACGCCATGATGAGTTCCGCAGTGTAATCCTCCCCTCACCCTTCTTGGTAGTCCCAAACTAACAATCAAGAACAATAAACAACATCGCCTACCTTATTCCAATCCTAACGAACGTCCTCCGTCGTCGAAAGACGATGCATAGGGGACCGTTTGCTCTTCCGTACATCGTCGGGATGATGGTGAATATCGTTACTGTTGCCTGGCTGGTCTTTGCGATTGTTTTCTTCTCGTTTCCGTATTATATGCCTGTTACTGGTATGCTTACTCCCCCCCCATTCTTGAAGGGGACGAGGGTGAGGCTGGTGCTGATGATAAATAGCGTCGAATATGAACTATACCTGTGCTTGCGTTGGGGGATTCTTGATGATTGAGGTTATGTGGTGGGTGGTGGCTGGGAAGGAGTATTCGAGGAGTATGCAGAAGGCGAGAGAGGGTCAGAATCGGGATGCTGATGTGGCTACAATGACCGGAAAGGGTGGGGAGTAAACATAATAGAGTCTGCCATGCGAGAATTCAAATTGATGTCTGTATTTTGCACAATTTTAAACTTGAAATGCTCCCTTGTAGCATACTAAATACCCACAGATGGTAAAACATTATCTATCAACGAAAAGCGAACGAATCCCCAAACACTTGCTCCAATCACACCCATGCAATATTACAATAAGAACAGACAATATAACGTAACATCATGACACAAAGAGACTCTCTCGAATGTATGCTCAATCTACCCCACTCGACCGAAGAGAAAGTCCTTGACGATGGGGGAACCGGAGAATTCCGGGTTCAGAAGGACGCAGCTGTAGTTGCGTCAGAATAAATGCAGAACAAGACTTGGTTGATGCACTCACTTGAGGAAATATTCTAATCCGATGCGGCGAGATTCAAGGAATGATGGTCGGAACCGGACTGTATCTTTGGTCAGTCGCTGTACAAGACATGGCAGGTTTGGGGGCGTACAAAGGACGCTCTTTGGTGGTAGAGCGGGTAGTGCATTCTTTGCATGTGGGAATGCCAGCAACAGCTGTCGCCGTAAGGTATCAAATTCCGAATATCTAAACCCAAGCAATCAGCGCGAGTCTGGAGACCAAGAGTATCGTATGTGACCTACCTCATGCGAATGACAATCGGGCCTCCCTATAACACGACTATAGTCAGCACAAACAGAAACCAACCCCGGGAGGGTAGATTGCACACATCTAATGTCTGTATCCTACAATGCCACACGACATAGTCCCCAACTCCGCTCTTCCCATGTACAACCGCATGATCCTCGACAGAAACGCTCTGCGCCCATAGCCCTCGACTCGTCTCCGAATTCGGGTCCTCCGTATGATCCTCCAATGTAATCCCCAATGGCTGCTCGACCGACATCTGTGATGACCGCGACGGATTCCGATAATGAGTCCAGTATGGCGGAACTACTCCAGACACGCTGCGGTCCCTGGTCGTCGGCGGAGAAGAGGTTGTCTTGTCCGGTTGTGGGAGGACGGTGCCATTACTGACGCTAATACCGGTGTTGAATGAGGTCGCTAGCACAGAATCTGGCATTGTGGGGATGTCATTGTTGGCGACGTTGTTGTCGATGCCGGTGACGTGGTCGTCGTTCGTGATATCGGAGGGTGTAGGGGAGACGGAGCGGAGTGGTTGCGGCCGAGATTCCGGACCGGACTCCTCATGCGCTGGCTCCATCCATTAGACGATTGCCGGTAAATGCGTTGGAAGCGGTTCCTGCAAGAGTTGCAGTTGGGTTAGTTTAGCGGATACGAGGGACTCGATAAGCGTTGATGGGTGCTTGATAACTGAACCGTGTAGGTGGAGCGATGACGACGTGTATACCTGGCGGTGGAGCGTCCCACGAGGAACCTTGTCGATAGTTCTAGATGAGACGGCAAGGATAAGGGCTGATACTTCTCAGCGATAACCAGTATCAATGTCAATCGATTTTGATCGTTGTAGGCGGAAAATCGACTGACAGCTTATCTGGGAAATGTGGCTGTTCATGTGTTGTGGCGGTGGTGGCTGGTATAACACCTTCCGTTTTGGGAGGTAGATTACGGTCCTTCGATATAGATATTTGAGTATGGTATTCAGAGTTTGTTTTAAATTTGGAAACCTATGTAGGTGAGAGATACAGAGCCTATTCAGCAATGGTAGCACGTATCATGGTTCCCTGAGGAGAATGGACCGCACGAACAACCTCCACTGCATGCAGCATGATTGACAACTTCCGTGAGCAGAAAAGGTCGAAAAAGATACAATCCAGAGAACTTGTCGGCAATCTTAGCGCATGATACTTTCCCCGGCCTGTCACCCAAGTCACCCCAGTTAGATCCTTGGATCTTGGGATATCGAGTGCCGGCACAATCATCAAGGTCGTAGAAATCAAACAAAATGTAAATGCCATTTGCCCTACCAATCCAGTCTATCCTCATGGCTGCAACAAATCGATTTCTCATCCATTCTGCCTTTCCTGAATCCTCAAGGGTCTGCAAATCCTCCTCCTCCCCAGAGCAGGTCTCCAAGATGCCAAATTGATGGAATATGAATCCGCCGTTGTCAGAGTCATCTGACTCATTCACAACGGTGCTTTTCCTGGGCAGGTGACTGACGTGGTGATTGATACCAAGAGATTGGACGTTAATGTTCACTCCTAGGCCATTATCCGAGACAAGAGGGCGTACGGATGCAGGGTGATGCGATAGAAGTCACCATACTCGTCCATACCGACCGGAAGCCATGGCGTAATCTGACAAGCCATTGCCGACGTTATTTGGGCCCGGTTAGAACGCTCATTGTAATTCACCGTGTCCAGCATCTGAATGGCCTCCTTCCGGGACATAGAAGTCCTCTCGGCAACTCGCTCTTCATGTAAGTTCTCGAAATTCCAGAGAAGATACTTCAATCTATTATCCTTTTCCGGGAATATCTCGTGTAAATGCCGCATAAATTCTTCCAGGGTCCAAGACGCAGCAAGACTTTCTTGCTCGAAGGCCTCATAGCGTTGAATGAGCTCTGCCATCCTTTTGAATTAGGTGATTGATTCCACGACTAAATATGATACTGACGGTCATAGCAAAAGATAGATGACTTGGCACACATAAATCTCTCTGCTTGGGAGGTTGATATTACCGTGCTGATGGGGATATAAGAGAGAAAAAAAAAAAAAAAACAAAGTAATAATATAACCAACAGGCTGTCGCCTTGGACGTAATAGATTCCTAGAGTTCATATTAAGCACACAGCAGCTAACTTATTTTCAGGGAGGATAGTGAATTGTATGCTTTGGGTCTTGGTATTTCTTCACGTTCATGCAATAAACCTGGCGAGTGCAAGGGAGTTTCTGCCATAGGAGAATATATTCTATTTGCAATACCATGAAGCCTTTGGTATCATCGAACCTAACGTAGCGCAATTGAAAATATATATTTGGTCATAGTAGTGTCAATTGCCAGGAAGGTGGCATGACAATCATTCACTCTGCTGTAGCTCTGCCATGTCAGGTGACAGGGGCTCTTTCCCAGACTTTCTCCCACAACCCTTTCATCCTCTCCTCCGTCCACCGTCAAGGTCATCTATCTAACCCAATTTCATCGACAACTATGATTTATACTGACTTCATTTCTAAATCTCTTCCCTTATCATGGTCCGTTCGCGTGTATGTACTAAACAGACGCTCTCCCAGATGCAACAAGCTACAACGTGAGGGCCCAATTGACTGATATTCTCTAGGATTGGAGGACCTGCTACTTCTATAGCGAAATCGGTCACGTCATGTTTCGCTGTCCCCTCCGTGAAGGGCTTAAAACGGTGGTATGTCGTTTGTCTTGATTCTTTCCACGTCTGTGCTAATGCTATTTAAAAGGGTCGTATTGTGGTAAGCCACCCGCACTAGAAGAGTCCTGTCATCATTCACCTCTCGTCACTCTCGATGCGTGATCGTCAACGGGCCCGGTTGTATCGTCGAAGGAAAAGTCGCTTCGAGGCGTCGGATAGATACCGGGGTGCTGCATACTATGACATCGAGCCGGGTGAAGTGCTGGAATTGGTCAGTACCCTGGAATATCCCTTCGTCTGCGATTCATGCTGATATATTTTCTTTCCTATAGGATGAGAAATCCAATGTCGACATGAAGAGCAGCGACCGCACCTCTCCATACTTTCAGCAGGTTGCCGGGTGAGATTCTCTTAGTTTTTCTTGAGATCATCCATTGATTATTTTCAGAGGTACTGTAGCGACTTCCATTGTCGTGTCGCCTTCTGCCCTGGTCAAAGATTCACCGCAGTAAGCTATGTTGCCCGGTAAATGGATTATATTCGGAGTATTCTAACCGTCGAGAAAGTCTTCGCAAATGGAGAGGCCAATTTTCAGTTCCGAGTAAGTTTACATAGCTACCAACACATTGACTTCGAAATTCTTGCTGATGTGAAGTTCAAGCATTTTCCAGTTGGGTATGAACATTCTATGCTGTCTTTTTTTGCCAGATTCGAATAACTGACGCCAGCCTTAGCCACTCGGGATTTACGGACACGGCGTAGTAAGTATCTTTTCCCTATCTTTAGAGGCCGCAATTGGCTCACAAGCTACAGTGCCTTATCTCTAACCGAATATACGATCACGCCGACGCCAAAAGCCCGGAGAGCCACAGGTATAGAGTATAACTCGGCTGAGGTGATTGGAAAGTACTGTGATGAGATTTTCGCAATTCTATGACACGACCAAGCAAGCATATTTAGCTGCAAGTTTCATCTTTTCCAAATGGGTTCTCGCGTGGCGACGAAAATCCAATTTCAGTCTCTATTGATATATGCACTTTATGCAAAATAATATTAGATTGAAAATGATACGTCAGACATGTTCCATCAAGAGATCGACTCCGCATATTTCCTTATTGTTTAGCAGCTCAACAACCTCTTTCCTGTGCGAAACTGTGCCCCCAGGTCTGCCGAGAGCAGAAGCAACGCCAAAATTTCCTTATTCAAATTGCACAAACGGGACATATGGACCGCATTGCTAGTCCTAAGTTAGGGCCGCCACCAAGACAGCAAACAAGGATCCCGATCATGATCGCGGATGAGAAGGAATCGAATATATTTTTTTTTTTTTTTTTTTTTTGGCAATTTGATATTCAATACGTCATAAAATCCATTTTTTGACATTTCTTTCTGGTTTCCCCTGAAGTTGGCTTCGCGTAACAAGGATATCCCCGACTGGCAAATAAATGTATGTTAGGGTTCTGTTTGCTATGGTGATCAATGCCCACTGGCGGTGAGGAGGGCGGTGAGTAGAAATAAGATTGATCGGGCCAAATCCTGATGATGACCGCGTGCTTGTCCGCTCTCCACTCCAACATCCTCTCATAGCATTGCAATTTTGAGCCTGTCGCTCTTCCCAGAGACCATATATCGAAATACAGTCAAACAGAACTTGAGATATCATTTTTCTAGGCTTAAAACCCGCCAAAAAACGGCACAACCGCCTCGTTGACGAGGGGTTCTGACGTGTTGATAACCATTCGACGGGATTCTGGTGACGACTACGAAAGAGACTGATTTCGACCTTGCTTTGGTGATATACTTCATCATTAACTAGCGTTCTCACCCCATATCCATTCGAATTGAACGTCGCACGTGCCCGAGAATACGAGATGGACTCCACATTACCGGACGCTTTCGAGGCGTCACAATCGGGAGCAGGTTTGGGGCAGAAACTTGCTGGCTTTGATAGCCAAGGTCGAATCTTATCTGATACTACGCCTTATGTCAAGGTCGATGGTATGTTCGATATTGGGTGTTGCGGTTTTAGGGCGGAAAGGTGGACTGACGGCATCTTTTCTAGATCCGCCCAAATTTGAACTAGAGTCATACATCTCGAACTACACCGGTAAGTGGCATCTATTCTTCTGAGACAATAGCAGATAGCTGATGTCTTTCCGATTCACAGGCAGGACTAGATTCGATCGTTTGTACCTCATCGGCACATGTTCCACGCACCTTTCCACGGAAGCCCTCAAAGCCGCTGTCTCCGAGGCCAAGTCAGGCAAGGATATTTCGAGATATGAACGGGCGGTTACAGCACTCGCACAGGCTGCGCCGGGTGAAACTGAAGCGAAACGCGATATTAACTGGGTCGAGCACATGCATAAAGTTGTCAAGGCTGAGACGGACCGACTGGAACACGAGCTTAAAGGGTATAAGAATAATTTGATTAAGGAAAGCATTAGGGTATGGGTGACTGCTCCCTGCAGCTGAATACGTTGGTGCTAACCTGAGTGCAGATGGGCAATGAGGATCTGGGCCAGCACTATCATCAAATCGGCGATCAAGTATCTGCTTCAAAAGCATACACTCGAATGAGAGACTACTGCACGACACCTACTCACATCGCTTCGATGTTGCTCAAAATAACTAACGTGGCGATTGAACGAGGGGATTGGTTGAGTGTGCAGTCGAACGTGCAGCGACTGCGCAACCTGCAATCAAAGCCGGATGAACACACGAAGAACAAGCCCAAGATGTCCGCTGCACTCGGGCTGTCTCAACTACACTTGGATGCGTATTTGGATGCGGCAAACAGTTTTCTGTCTACCGAATCGACTCTAGGGGACTCGTACAACGAGGTCATTTCCCCGAACGATGTGGCTGTGTATGGCGGGCTGTGCGCACTTGCTTCCATGGACCGAAATGAACTCCAGCGCAAAGTGCTTGATAACACCTCGTTCCGTAATTTCCTGGAATTGGAACCCCACATCCGCCGTGCCATTTCGTTCTTTTGCAACTCCAAATTCCGGCCATGTCTTGAGATTCTCAAAGCCTACCGTGCCGACTACCTCTTGGACATTCACCTGCAGCGACATATCAACCTTTTGATCTCGCGCATCCGAACAAAGTCCATACAGCAATATGTCGTCCCGTTCAACCGTGTGACTCTCGACTCCATGGCCAAGATCTTCGCCCCCGCAGTTGTGGCTGGCGAGCCGTTACCCACAGACGCTAACTCCCCTTTCGTCAAGGAGCTCATTCGTCTAATTGAGGACGGCACGCTGGACGGTCGCATTGACCTGGAGAAGATGGTCCTTGTCTCCAACCAGATCGACCTGCGCACGGAAGTGCAAGCGGCAGCACTGGAGAGCCTGGAAAGCTACACGCGGGAAGCTCATTTGCGACTCCTCCGGACAAACATCATTCGTGCTGGACTGGAAGTCCGGCCGCCCGCAGACCATAATGTAGGGGCTGGGGGCAAGGGAAAACACGCACGGATGTAATTCGGAACCCAACAGAGTAGACTAGGTGATGACATATATGAAAACCATGGCTTATGAGATGATGAATAAATAAATTATTTGTTCCTGAAAAAGTGGAAATTTTTCTTAAAATAAAAATTGACTGACGATCATCGCCGCGTGTAATTTTGACTGGTGCTTAGCCGCCAATTCTGCTCAAAAAACCACTCTCTGCCCGTACAATTCCACGATCTCTCTTTACTTTATCTGTGGTTATTCGCTGGCTTCGTATGCTTTGACGTATGCGTCATACGTTGACTGTTAAGCCGATCTCTGCGTTGTCTTATACTTGTATGCTTATAATCCCCGAGTAAACACCGCAACCCGACCGCAGTGAAATACTCCGTCCACCATTCCTCGCTTCATCTGACTCAGATGATCAAAGATATAAAAGGAATAAAGAAACAGAAAAAGGCGGGGTCAAATGCATATTAGTCGATAATCTTACAAGCAGCATGATCGGCCAGTACTGAAAGAAAGACGACAAGAAAAAGAAACCACAGGCTATGGTGAGATGGACACTGCTGCATGCCATTTCTGCGAGTGACCTAAATTGTGTTCTTACACAAATACCAGTGTGACATACATCGGTCAGCATGGACGTTTCGATTTCAACGGTGGGAGTTGCGTTTGGCGTTAAGTCTTGGTGTATCAACCTAGCAGGGATTCTGGTAAGTATACCCATTCCATGCTTCCACCAAGGTCCACGAGTCGTTGCTAAACCACCACAGGGCCTAATCTGGATCCTCTACACAATTATCTACAACCTCTACTGGACAAGCCTGAGGCGCTTCCCAGGACCATTACTATGGAAAGTCTCACGTATTCCAGCTCAGGTGTCACTGCTGCGTGGCTTTTCTCATTTAGACGTCACTGTGCTCCATGAGCGCTACGGCCCAGTAGTGCGGATCGGACCGAATGAATTGGCATTTAACACGCCTCAGGCATTCCGCGACATCTATGGTACTCGTTCTGGGAAATGTTTTCCCAAAGCCCGGAGTTACTACCCCTTACCGGTTAACGGGGTAGAGCCTGTTTCTGTCGCGGTGGAAGATGATGTGCACGCGAGGCAGAGGAGGCTGTTGTCGTATGGATTCTCGGACCGGGCGCTGAGAGAGCAGGAGAGTTTGATTATGGAGTTTGTGAATACGCTTATTGAGCGATTGAGTGGCGAGGTTGAGAAGGGGAGTGGAGAAGCGAAAGTTGATATCAAGGAGTGGATGAATTTCGCTACGTTTGACATCACGGGTGAGCTCACGTTTGGGGAGTCGTTCAACTGTCTCCAGGATAGCGAGTTGCATCCGTGGATCGGGGTCATCTTCAAGTCCATCAAGCAGGGTTCATATCTCATTGTCGCTGGGCAGTTTCCCTGGGCACAGAAGTTGTTGGTGAAGATGATTCCGCAGCGATTAATGCAGAAAGCTTTCGATCATTTCAATTTAAGTTCGAGGAAAGCCGATCGTCGTCTTGCAAATAAGACTAGCAGGCCGGATTTTATGTCTGCGATTTTGAAAGGTGGGTTGAGTGAAGAACCAGGGGTTTATCGGGGGCCTGAGAAGATTATGAGTCGGGATGAGGTTCATTCGAATGCTTTGATGTGTGTTGCTTGAACCCTCTTTCATTCGTGTTAAATGCTGACTTCAGGACAGGTTGATCTTGGCTGGTAGTGAAACATCCGCGACTCTCCTCTCCGGGTGTGTCTACTATATCTGTCGACACCCAACCGCTTTGAGAAAGCTCACAAAGGAGGTCCGCTCATTTATCACTGGTGATCAAGATATTACCATGAGCAAAACCTCAAAACTGCCATACTTGGCTGCAGTAATTGAAGAGACATTACGATTATATCCCCCTGTCGCCGCTGGACTACGCCGTATCGTTCCAAAAGGAGGAGCGACGATCGATGAATACTTTGTTCCGGAAAATGTAGGCCCTTTTTTGCTTGCCTTTTTATGGTATAAAGCTGACAAGCCAGACCATCGTTTCATGCCATCAATACGCATCTTTCCACTCCTCATCCAACTTCGCCTGTCCCGAAGACTTCATCCCAGAGAGATGGCTGGGCATTGATCCTCGCTTCGACGATGACAAGAGGACTGCTCTCCAGCCTTTCAGCCTTGGTCCCAGGAACTGTCCGGGCAAGAAGTTTGTCACCCATCTCCTCGCAAGAATCCGCAATATGCTAACAGTGTCACAGTCTCGCATATAGTGAAGTCCGTCTGATTCTCTGCAAATTGCTGTCCAACTTCGACGTCGAACTGCGCTCTGAATGCGCCGACTGGATTGACCAAGAATCGTATTTCCTCTGGGATAAACCGGCGCTTTGGATTACTTTGAAGGAGAGGATATCGAGCACCTGAACATCGTACAGGGATTAGGCTTGGTTATCGATCCAAGTCAAGCCCTTCATGAGACATGAACGTTGAACTGATTTTCTGTGGTCTCTGTTTTGTTGTTGATGGTCCCAGGCATGTGAATAGAATGTGTATTAACTTTAGATAGACTTATGAGCCAGAATTTAAAGCGTCTTGTACTTCTTCTGTCATTCACTGTTGAATGTCAAAAGTAAACGATAGGTCGTAGCCATACGCTGAAACTTCCAAGTTTCTGCTCCGACTACTTCGTTCTATCCATCCGTCCTTTGCTATTCGCCAAACAGCCTGATTCAAAAACGAATGTCATTTCATATCAACTTGCAAGCTTTACTTACTCATAAGAGTACGCCAACTCTAGCTCCAATTCTCTCGGGGCTCTTACTTCAACTCCTGCCCTAGTTGCCGCGGCGAGTGTCAGTGCTGAAGCAGCAGAGGGAACTATCAATGACGAAGCAGAGACACAAAGATGCTTCCTTCCAAACACCGGGATGTAAAGGGTGATTCATTCGCTGAACGTGCGATGTTAAATCGTATGGGCTCAAGTTTGAAATGCCTCTTGCTTATGGGTTTTAAGGTGACCAATCTGTGAGAAAGCAAAAACAAGCACATCTGATTGTGAAGATTCGTCAACCATTCACATCACCCCTTGCACTTCGCCATTCTTACACACATTTCGACCCTCATCGACATTACTTGTCACGATGGACCGAAGTGATTGATTTCGGCCTATCGGTTAGGCAGATCCAGCGTACTGCATTAGCTAACACATTATCCTCATAGGAAGGGCCTCAAGCGTTCGACGACCTGAAGGAGAAGACGCCCATGGACCCATCACATGTGCCATTATGCTGCGAGCCATATTTTTCTTCAAATCAGCGTTAGCCCCCTGTTACCCTTTGAAAAACATTTACTTTTCAGGCCGAAAAACGTGCCTGGTCCACCTCAACTGGGGGCGGAGGGGGGACTATCTATCGACTACTACTTTATCGGTGGATCCGCCTGCATTAATGTTGGCATGACACATGACACCGAAATCCACCTCAGATCTGAACATTGCAGTATCCCCGAGTAAGAAGGGTATCCATACTTTACTGGAGATTCTGCGTTTACCTAAATTCGTCAACGATGGAAATGTTCTTCTTCGAAGCGGACTGCTTCTACTTCGAAGAACCGGGTTCCTTTGTGGAAGTCAAGGGCTTTTCGCAGGCTTTATAGCATACCAGCATACCAAAAAATACACAGTGCCGAAATCATCACGACAAAGAATCCAGTTCTATGCTTTCTGGGCCCTGAAGGCCTGCTAAAGCTCAAGTTGCAGGGATGTTTGATGCACCGGTGCATGGACAAAAGGCAGAGACATTATTCATTCGTTATTGGTATCTGATGAGCAGACTATGCAATTGGGAATAGTGCAATTGTTGCCGCAAACAGCACATACAGAAATGGTTTCGGTACGCCATTGAGCACATTATAGCAGCATGCTTTCAACATGACTACGAAGACTCATTCCCTCCCGCCACTGTTTGGAAAGCACCGACAGGGATAAGGATATTTTTGAGATAACAAAGTCGCCCACTTCGTCCGGAGAGACAGCACCTGAGAGTGATGGTAATAACGGTGCCAATGAGGATGGACCGGAGATACCATCCAGGAGGAACATATTGCATTTCCTCGTTGTTATACACCAAGAGGGATTAAGAGCCACAATTCATTCGAAAAGTGTCCAAATACTAACCAGAACATAACATTTGGATGGAAAGGTACAAATACTTCTAATGGTACAAGAAGGGCCGAGTTTTTATGCGAGAGAAAGGATGAGAGATTACTATGCAATGCAAATAAGTCCAAAGTGGCTTGATTTACTATGAAATGTAAGTGCTCTTGCAAGCCTCAAGCATACTTTGTGGATTTGAATCTTGATTAATTTTCCCATTCTGATATAAGGATATAGGCCACTTCACTACTTTCTGGGTGGATACGCATGTGTGAACGTTGGGATGAGCTGGCCTCGATGAAACTGTATCTCCAATCCTCACATATAATCCTCATGGCATTTGGCGCGAGAAACCCTGGAACATGTTTCCATCCACAATCCAGGTTTGCTCTGTGGAGTTTAACAACTCCTGTGGACTTCAAATCGACATACCGCCCCCGAAGGACCAAAGGTGAAGCCTAGAGATCCTCAAGAGTCTATGACGACCCATATCTACCGCCATGAATCTTTGGGGTTTCGACGAAGAAAGCTAGTCTTGACGAGATTAAACTAATGCAGTTCAACCGATGGGAATAAACCTGGCGTGATTAGTGTAGAGCAGCGCAACCATTCGTCATCTTCTTCTTTGTGGTAGCAAATCTACCAGAAACGCGGTATTCTGGCCATTCAAGAAAGCCCGGAACGGAATCCAGAAAGTCACCAAACGCAAAGACCAGGATTTACCATCAACTGATGAGGGCCCTTTCGGGTCGTGCTCGAAAAAACGTCATTCTTGCATCGTTTGTGGTTATTTTAGAGGACATATGGCCCAGTTAATGGTTATACTAGACATCCGGAGAACGGGCGTGTAGCTCAACGGAGAGCGCTTGCGTCTAGTGGCCCACGAGGCCCGGGTTCGACTCCCGGCCGTCCGTTTTTTTGCTTTTTTTATTTATTGTTTTCTGTCCTTGGTGGCCTGACATTGTTTGGTTGTTGCCTACCTGGGTACTATGTGTTGTGGAGGTACCAAGGCAGTACAGCACCATTTGGTCTTGTTATACATTACTAGTTCATGAATCGTAATTATCATTATGGTTTGAAGCTACACATGAGTCCTGAATGGTCACTCCACGGTAGCTGAGCGTCATTTTCATGTTCTGTCTTCCCTTCCTCCTGTTCAAGCTGACCTTCCTTGCTACCTATACCTGCAGCACACGTACCTGGCCGAATAACCTGAATATCAAAAGGCTTTAGTCCAACAAGCGCGACCTTATCCATTCGTTTCGGAGGAAATGGTGTGCCGCTATCAAGTCCCCAGGTAATCCCCTCTTTGTTCGGATGCAGCTCGGTCCAAGCATCGATGAGATTATTCTCGTTAACCAAGGTCTCGTCTTCAGGAAAAACGGGGTTGAAATCGCCAGCAACCAAGCCATGTCCCGCAACGCGTAGATAATAAGCGATTACAGAGAGTTGTCGAGGACGCAAGGAGGGAAACACGGGAAGAGAGTCCAGATGCACGTTAATCAACCGAATACGGGAGACATCCTGCGTCATATCAAGTGAAGGCAAGAGGATATCGCAGCAAAGCGCATCCCGCTGAAAGCGGCTAGGGTACTTCACCCGCCAAACAGGCCCGATAGCAGCCATATGGTTGGCAGCAGAGCCAGGGTTGCAGAACCGTGATCTTGACACGAGTGTCTTACTCGCAAAGGCTTGTTTCCCCCAGCTTGTGGTGTCCGCTTCGCTTGAATACCAATGTTCCCGAACCCATGGTGTGTCTAGTATGGTCCATAGTGCAGGTCGGGACACTTCTTGTAGGAAAATGATGTCCGGTAGCGTGGTCAGGTTCTGGATGTGCGAGAGGAGGGCAGAGATCCGGGCCTCGGGCGCAGAGGAACTGGCGTCGATATTCCACGTAATCAGCATAAATTCCGAGCCGTCTACTAGATTACTATAGTTCCTGGGGCTTCGATCCGTGGTAGGGGAAGCGGTGGAGTCGATAGGAATCCATTTGTCTGATGCTTGGTCGAAGCCATGCCAGCGCTGCGGAATTGGTGTTGCGGTCTCGTCTGCTGGCAGAGGGATGTTGTACCACCATCCGAGCGCTCTATTTCGGAATCGTAAAAGAGTCTCCATGTCTTTTCATCGTTTGACACCCAAAACCTGGAAGAAAGAGATACAATAAGGTTGCCGGTTAGATCGGGCCAAGTGGAGCTGTCATATGCCGGTTAATCTCATCGCCCCACATTACCGCCTTGGGTAATCCCTTCTACGCACCGGGACTGATCTTCTAAGCCAGCTGTCATAATGTCCTCTTCGAGCTCAAGAATCTGCGATATCCAGGACCCTGGTGTCGAGTCATCAGCAATACTAGCTACCGTTCTTTCACAAAATGGAGTACCAGCAGCTCTATGGGGACTCCACGCATCAGCTCTATACGATGGGGAGCTCGTTCCTTTGGTTCGTCTACTCTTTCAGTTCATGCCTGGTAGTGGCTAACATGCTTAATGTAGGATATTGAGCTTATCATAAAAGACGCAGATCAAGAACGCGCCTTTACCATCCTCACATCGAACGGCTTCCTTCCCTCAATCCCCGACGAGAACCCAAGACCACCTAATATGGACTTTAATATCTGGCGCGAACAATACTCTTCACCCAGTCACTATCGCGACCGTCGCAAGTTTCACCACGTCGCATCTATATACGAACTTCCACCGCGACAAACAGTCTCGAATCCCGATTCTACACACCCGTGGATCATAATCTATTCAGCCGAGTTTGCAGGTCTTGCGCCAATGCCAAGCTGGACCGATCCGACACAAGATACAAAATTCGCACCACTATCTGCACTCCCGAAAGCCATCGCCATATGTCGCGTCCCAACAGACCTAAGAAACTGCTTAGTGCCGACCTTCAAGAGTCTGGTAGAGTCGGAAATGCATGTTCTTTTGCAACATACTGAGCTCAAGTCCGCTTTATGGGCTCATCACATGGACCAATTATCAGCACTTGCTCACTCAGGGTGTTGCTATGGGGGTATGGATGGCTTGTCTGAGATTGTTTCTCCGCGGTTCAAACCGTTCACAGACTGGATTTGGCATAGTCAAAGGGGTAGGCAAGATTATGGTGCTTTGAAGAAGTTGCAGAGAGACTATAAGGATCCAGGAGGGCGGGGTAAATCTTCATTTGCAGCTGATATCATGGATTGCGTTGTGTCGATAAAGTCGAAATTTAGCCGGTGAATAAATTGCATTTGCTTGCCAGCGGTCTGGTAATGCTTAATCTGAGAATGTATCCAGCACTACATACACTGAGTCCATAATACACACATTAAAAGGGACACCACCGTTTGAAATATCAATCACGGGCTCTTGATAAGCTCCTCCAGTCACTCACATTTCTAACATAGCCCCCCCCCCCCCCCCACTTTTGAGAGCTCAAGCGAATATAGCGACATGATGTTTTCCAGCAGAAATATGTCAGATAACGGTTCGCCGCCGACCTCCCTCACAATGCCCTCCAAGCCGTCTTCGTTTGCTTCGGAGGCGGATGCCAGCCACTCCTTGAGATGCTCAAGACATCCGGGATATGAGTCAGGGCGCCTAAGGAACTTGTAAAATGCCTCCCTGGTTGTGTGAATAACGTGATCTATGTCGACAGCATCTCCGAGTTCCCTCGTGTCACCATGTGCTCCAATGCTATGGCTGTCAGGTCACTTATTTTGTATTGATCGCTGCGCAGTATGCAAGAACACTGTGTCTGTACTGTTGCTTTGTAGTGCTGTGTGAGTCGTGTACGAGCGTTTGATAGGCGCCGCTAGAGATAGCAAACCATGATATGGCCTACGTCCTCGTCTGCTTCAAAGAGAGAAATAGAGTAATTGCGACTCTCGCTCAAGAGGACGGCGAATGCTGGAACTTTTTTGACGAAGTGTTGAGGGACGGTATAGATATGCTTGCCCCTGTCGAACCGGACGGTCACGGCTCTTGTTGCATAGGACCTATTGAGGTTGGTTTCTCTATAAAAATCACTTGTGCTCCAGCCGACTAGAGATTATCTAGGGAGTGAGTGTGTATGTGGCATAAGGGGACTCACGATATCTCTTGCTGAGCATATCCACACTTGGTGATTCGATTATAGCGGAAGCCCTGTTCCTCCTCACCACCTTCTGGCTCGATTATTCCTTCCTTGCGGGCCATACCCGTTGCTATCAAGCATTTTCCCATCTTTTTGAAAGGTTGGGATCGGGTTTGGCTCGCAGAGAAGAAAAGAGCTGTTGTAAGAAAGACAGAGGGGAACTACTAAATAGCTATTACTCCCTGGTATTGTCACATAACGTCTATCTATAAACAAAGAAAAGCATATGATTATATTCTTTTATTGACTTCTACTGGAACGTAGATATCTTTGCTACCTCCCCGCTCTGCAGGAAAGGTGAGGACAAAGGTATTGCCGACATGCAAGACATGAGATCTTACCAAAGTTCATGATGCATATCCGAGTGGCTAAAACAGTATATTTTATGCAAGTAGAATAGCTCACCCAAGCCCCCAAGTTTTCATAAATTTGCCCAAAAAGGTATGGAAAACCAAAATACCTCAAGAGGCAACTGACGATGCCCTAACGTCATGATGTCAACACCAGAATGATACCCTATAACTACCCCAGTCGCCATATCTATTTCTAAAAATTTCCAGATATTATTCTTTGTATAATAGTTTGTACATTTCCACAAAAGCAACATGGCCCTCGTCGTCCAAGCATTCACATTCCTCCACCAATACATCTACACCTTCCTCCACCCAACACCCAGCAAATCCCCCGAAGCACTGAAAGTGGGAGTAATCTCCTCGGCGCAAATCAACACTGCTGCTTGTAAGTACTTTACCATCCAAATAACTAGTATCACGATTTATATATTGATAATCACTAAAGTAATCCACCCCGCCGAATCCCACCCCTCCGTAATCCTCTACGCCATCGCCTCGCGCGACCTCTCCACAGCCCAAAAAGCAAAAGAGCAGTACAAATTCACTAAAGCCTACGGCTCCTATGAAGATCTGCTCGATGACCCTGAAATTGACTTTGTGTACATCTCCACGCCAAACGGGCTGCATTATGAGTGGGCGGCGAAGTCGCTAAAGGCGGGGAAGCATGTGCTTTGCGAGAAGCCATTTACGTCGAATGCGGCGGAGGCAAAGGAATTGATGGAGTTGGCGAAGGATAGGGGGTTGGTGATTGAGGAGGCTGTATATCTTGCATTGTATCTGTGGATATGGGGTGATGAGGTGCTAACTGATGATAGTTCCATTGGCAGTTCCATCCTGCGGCACATGCATGGCGTCAGTTATTGGATTCGAAGAAATACGGCAATATCCTCCGGACTAATGCGATCATGACTGCTAGTCCTGCTGTTTCGGGTAGTGATATCCGGTGGAAGTTTGATCTAGGCGGTATTTCCATCCCCCTCTCTTAGTTATGAACAAAGCTAATAAAAACAGGCGGCTCATTAATGGACATGACATACGCGCTATCTTTCACGCGCTATGCTCTCCACGCCTCAACACCTAAGCAAATTGTATCCGTCAGCGTACGTCCCTCAAGAGGCGACCCTCGCGTCGACGAGGCAATGTATGCACATGTCGACTTCGAAGCGCCAAATGGCGGCGACGTCCACAGTCGCATCTACACAGACATGGCGCGCCACAAATTTGGCTACATAATCCCTCGCGTCTGGGAACTACCCTCCATCGAAGTCGAGACTGAGAAGGCAATCATCCTCTTTTACAACGCCATTATGCCGCACTTGTACCACTACATCACTATCGTTGAGAAGACGACAGGCGAGACAAAGACCATCAAACAGTACTCCGGAGGTCCGCTGTGGGGCAAAGTAACTACGAGTACGGGGGAGAAGGGTGGAAATTATTATTGGAGTACGTATCGGTGGCAATTGGAGGCGTTTGTGGATGCGGTTAAGGGGAAGACGCCGGCTTTTTGGGTCGCGAATCAGGATAGTGTTTGGCAAATGGAGTGTATTGATTCTATGTATCGGGCGGCTGGGTTGCCGGTTAGACCGGGTAAGGAGGTGAGTGAGAAGGGTAAATAGATTCAGGATTTTGAGGTAGTTCAATGTGAATAGTCATCAGTCATAATAGCTAGTGTATTGATAACCAAAGGTTCAACCAAAGAAGTAAATTTCTATCTCCACTAAATGGTGCAATGCCAAAGACATGGAATCAAGGAGCCACTTGGGGTTGGGTCGATCTCGCCTTGTTGACCAAACCGCAAATTATCCCCGTCGCGAATAGGACGACGTTGAATGCAGCCATGAGATAGAATGGAGACCCCGAGTCCAGAGTGTCAAAGAGATACCCACCAAGCTTGGTGAGCAAAAGGATACCAGCTCCACCGTAAAGAGAATACACGCCAGCAATCGAGCCTTTGAGTTGAGAATACTGCTGTTGCATATTTTGGTTCCCAGATCCTTCCAGCAGGGGCTGATCCTCATTTGAATTTCTGTCCGCCTCGTCGACTGGTTGGTCGTCACGGTCCTGCCCATAGTGCTCTCCGGGGGGCTTTTCTCCAGCATTAATCTTCAGAATCCCATTGCTCAAGACAGCCAAGCTGCAAACGATGGCCCCAATTTGGCTGATACCAATCAAGGCCATCAGAACGAACACTCCCGCGCTCCCATCAGGGCCTTTGAATTGGGGATTGGGTACCAAAGCGAACGCCAAGTAACCAACGATACCAGACAACGCGGAAGTGAGAAGGGGCAGATGATACCGCCGTGACTTTTCAGACAAAAAGCCAAACGCTGGAGCAGCTAACAATGCGACTAGCTGCGAAACTCCGGTCAAGATCGACGCCAAGATATACGCCTCTGAGCAAGACTTTTTGATGTCACTCATGTCAGATGCGGATATCTCCTTTGGAGGATCGTTGTTGCAGAGGCCTGTCGCTCGGTAATAGTGGTTGACGAAAAGGGGAATGAAGAGCGAAATTCCCACTGAAGAAGCCCGTGCGACAAATCCGCCAACATATCCCAAGAGTATTTCTTGGTTTTGAACCCCTAAAGCAACGGCGGTCCTCAGTTGTCTCCAATAGGATAGTGGGGAGAGACTATCGTCCTGGAATCTCTGGCTTTGTCTATTCTCGGGCGATTGATGCCGGAAAGTCGACAGAAACGATTTCCATCCCTTTCCTTCTTCTCCGGGAAGGTCCCGCAAGCCAAAAAGACAACAAATGCTGATTGAAACAGCTACCGCGGCGACGACGTAGTAGCTACTCCGTATGGCCTCGGGAGGCGATAGGCCTGATTTCTGAAAGCGTTCCGGGAGAGGAAGGAAAAGGACCAGAGACACGAGGGCACCGCATCCAGCGCAGGTGCCCACAAAGCCTGCTAGTCGAGAAGACGAGCCTGTCACGGTCTTCGGCTCGTTTGCAGCATCGGGGCTCGTTGGCTGGTCAGATGTAAGTGTTGAATCAGAAGACAGTGACCTCTGGTATTCCTGCGGTCCGCTAGTACTACCAGTGACAACTGGTAGGACAGCAGTAACCATTGTCGAGACCGCAGAGCCTCCAACGCTAAACAACAATCTTCCCAGCAGTAACTGTGGGTAGATATTTTTTGCCTGTACGAACACGACCAACGCGAGAGCTACGATGGCGTATCCAGCGACGCAAACCTACGAAAATGACGATGTGAGCGTTTCGAATGCTGATATTTAAGCGGATATCTACTTACATGGCGGACACCAACACGATCGGACAAAACCCCCCATATCGGGCATGCTGCTAGTGCGAGCAGCTCATCTGCAAATCCCAAGGTCCCGACCACATCGCCTTCGCCCTCATGGAGCCCAATTAGATCAGTCACCACAAAGGAGATCGATGAATTGATGAACACCAGAAACGCGATGGAGAATGGGCAGACGGCGAGCAAGTAGGTCAATGTCTGTAGGCGGGACGCGGTGAACAAGGTCCGTTGAGACGCCATTACTGCATCTAGATCATATCTAATTCCAGGTGACTTGAATACTTGTTTGCTCTTCGATTGAGTGGATCCGAAATGTATATCAACGAAATCCGGAGTTGTATCAAAGACTTCGAGTTACCGGCGCAGCTGATGCTTAACACACGTCGTCGGTCACATGACTCCCAATATCGACAATCGCCTACGATGGCCAGGGAGTATTTGGAAGTACAGTACGAATAAATCTCTGGGCTATTATTACTCCGTAGAAAATATAGGAACAATTGGCATTGAATGCTCAAAGTACAGAGTACTATAATGAAGCTAAACAATCTCATCTTATCAACGCTTGTCGCTATCGACATTGATGTCATTGCCGCTTTATCAATCAAGTGATTTTGTGTCTACGGAGTACCAGAGGTACTCTGCACATACAATTGGGACCGGTAGTAAGTACTACATAGGAAGTAATCTTCTGTTGTCGTAGCCTCATATATCCTGTTTCGAATAGGTAATTGCCCTTCGTGTAATGTACTACCTGCTCGCCCAGAAGCAGGGAAAATTGACATATGTCAAGGCTTCGATGTTCCCCGCTTGTCAATCCTGAGCAACAACGAAATAGCTCTCGACGAGCCTTCAATTGAGGATCATCGATGCGGGAAGACCCAAGACCAAGCATTGTTGTGAACAATAGAACTTCTGCAGCTGTATGGAAGACGGCTAACGCACTTTGCCGTACGACAGGTCACTTGAATTGCAGAAAGGTCATGAAGCGGCCGATGAACCGACCTATTTAGACCTCAAAATCTGTTGGAAAGACTTCCGGCCACTGTGTTTTTATAGAACAGGAATGCAGATGCGTATGGTATTTTTGCTCTCAGCTGGCGGAGCGCTGACCTGGTCGAATAGCAAAGGGCAAGCCTCAAAGTATGTCCATCACACGAATGTAAGCCGTTGAACCCTCCTCGGTCATCATTTGACTTTCCACAGAATAGTCTCTTTGGCTTCTAGAGCATTCACTCGGTCCTTTTGTTATTGTTGAAGTTCCTCGTGGGGGAGGAACAATAGCCGAGCGTTTATCCGCTGACGTAAGATGGCCGAGTTTAGCTAGAGACATAGCTGTCCAGAACGACCATTCGGACACGCGATCCTGTCTCGATTCAGTTATTTTCTGCATCCCATTGACTCTTATTTGTCCAGCTTCATGAAGGTGCTCTGGACACGATCGCTGGCTCTTTAACCTTCCCTTTGTCAATGACATTGGGCTCTTTGCCCACGTCTACCAGTCTCCGATCATGAGGTTAGCCGCGTATGCTGGGGTAAGTTGATCCCCCTCCCCCGTATAATTCGTCAGAGTCTTGATGGGATACTGACCTCGTCGCAGGCCTCTATGGCTCTGGCAACTGGTGTCTTTGTTAAGGCCTTGCATCAGCGGTCAAATTTCTACTCTGCTTGTGTCTACCTGTCCCAGAGCAGTGCGAATCTCATGGTAGGTGTTCTCCAATTTTCGCCGTTTCCGCCACCAGGAATCTTATCCTGACCATGTCCTTCTCAGATCTTGACGAACCTCTGCCTTTTGATTGTTGGTTTTCTTCTTTACTGGCTTCAGCGACTTCTCTACGGACCCTTGCGACCGATCGAAACCGAACAGCTCTACGAAAAGGCGTGGTTTGCCGTGACGGAGACATGTCTCGCCATGACAATATTCCGGGGAGAGCTAGGGGGCTGGTTCTTGGTGATGTTCATCTGTCTGCTTGTTGGAAAGGTTTGGGGCTGGATTGGTGAAGGTCGCGTAGAGTACTTGGAGCAGCAACCACCGGCAAATCCCCGCGTATTCCATACCCGGCTGACGGCCTCTCTGGTCTTGTCGGTTCTCTTCAACTCGTTTATGCTGCGATACTGCGTCCATACCGTGCTCGAGCAGGCTCGTCCAGATATGATGGTCATGTTCGGTTTCGAGTTTGCCATCCTGAGTATCCTATCGTGCTCGACTGCGGCTAGGTACGGCATTTCGTTGGTGGAGATCTACGTCACGCAGCAACAGAAATTCGCCAGGATTGAAGAACGACGGGCAGAGCTTCGTGCTGCCAGAGAAGAAGCCGCTCAGCAGGAAGCTCAAACAGGAGAGAATGTGACCAATGTGCCCGACGAGAACGACATCGATGAGATGGAACTCGATATTCCGGGATGGGAAGAGAAAGGACGCTGGGTCTTCTACCTCGATTTGGTCACCGATTTCTTCAAGTTGATCGTTTATCTCACGTTTTTCGCCATACTCTTCACTTTCTACGGGTTGCCTATTCATATCCTCCGTGATGTGGTTCTCACGATTCGCTCCTTTGCTCGGCGGATTATGGATTTCATTCGCTATCGCAACGCCACCCGGGATATGAACGAACGGTATCCAGATGCGACAACAGAGGAGGTCACAGGAGAGGATGTTTGCATCATTTGCCGTGAAGAGATGATACCATGGCAGCCAGACCAACCGGGCGGACCTGGCGCGCGGCGGGTTCCTGAACGGATGCGTCCAAAGAAGCTTCCCTGCGGACATATTCTGCATTTTGCCTGTCTCCGAAGCTGGCTGGAACGGCAGCAAAACTGCCCGACCTGCCGACGTCCAGTCGTTGTGCCTCGCAACCGCGGTCAGGCTGGTGATGGTGCCCCCCAGCAAAACATTCCCGGGGGAAACCAAGGCAATGGAGCAGGCGGATTGCCCAGAGCCCGCATTTACCAGTTTGGGCCATTCCGGATCGGGTTTGGTGCTGGCCGGGGAGATGTCTTCCATAACCTCCAGCAACAAATACACCAGGGTAATGCCGCAATGCAGCCAGCAGCAAATATTCCTGCTGGTGCAAGACAGGTTGGCTTTGGTTTTGGTTTTGGAAGACCGCCAGCCGGCGCAGTTCCTGCACCAGCTCCTGCGCAGGCCCCTGCGCCTGTCGCCACACCGACACCTACACCCACGATTCAGCCTTCATTCTCCGCCACACCTAGGTTTCAGGATATGCAAAGCCAGTTGCAACATATGGAGCAGCAGATCGCGCATGAAATTGATCAGCTCCGCCTGTCAGCACACCAATTGCAGGTAGTACGATTATTGCAAGCCGAATTGCAGCGGCTACGAAATCAACAAACGACTACGTCAGGCTTGAACGCCGCTTTTTCTCAGCATCCTCCTCCATTTGCCTCACCATCGCCCTTGCCTTCGACCGTGACTTCACGTCATCAGTTCATGTCGAGTCCCCGGGCAACTCCCATGACTGCCGGAGACGCCCGACTCCCTGATGGCCTCAGTCTACCTCAAGGTTGGTCGTTGATTCCTCTTCACTCTGCTGGGCAGCCATCAGGCGAACAGAGAGAACAGAGAAGTACCGATGCGACTCCACACGCTGCACCAGAACAGACTACAAATGCTGCGCCAGAACAGACTGCAAATGCTACATCAGAACCCACCTTAATGTTTGGTGTACCGACAGTTTCTGAGCCTCCTTCGTCGAACGTGGAGGCTGAAGACAGGGGGGATGAGAACGCTGAAGCATCCACCTCTGCTACAACCCAAAGCTTGCCCAACTGGTCGTCTGGGTTGACTGCGGAACCAGATAATCATCGTGCCGAATCGCCGGCCAACGACTGGACCGATGTGACTTCAGACCAACCGACTGAGAAAGTCCAAGGTCCATCAACCGCAGCTGGTGAGGGTGAGCAAGAGGAAGCGGGCCCCTCGAATGTGGATGAAACGTTGTCGACGTCGTCCAAAGGTAAAGGGCGAGCAGCGACGGTAGAAGACGCGGACGACGATGAGACATGATCTTTTCCGTATCTTTCTCAATCTCTCTTCTTTTTGGGGCATTTCCTCTTACAGACTGGGAAATAAGTGCTGGCGTTTTGTGAACTGTTTCTTTTCTTTCAAGCGATTCCGAATCATACCCGAGTTCCTGTGTTACTATTATACTACCATTTACTACCATGTCCCATAGTGCGTTGAAAATTCTTGCCTCTATATTCATGATAATAGATGGTTCCCATGCTCCTGTCAGCATGGATTGTTTGTACAATGAGCAATACTCTCCCCTGTTCCCATTATGGATAGAACAGCGGTGTTCCTGACATGCACGTGTTGGAATCCGATGAGCTATGTACCCATATCTCTCAAATTCGAAAGGGTCTCGTCGACAGCTAGGCAAACAGAATCCCAAAATTGGTCTCTGCAGAAGATCAGCAGAAACATTGGACTTCACGTCCTGATCGTCGTCTATAAATAGTTGCGTGTCTCGGAGGACCATGTTAGTAGTTACAGCGACAAAGTAATGCTGACCTTTCCATACGATGAAGAGAATAATAATGAAGGTACCTGTATGTCTTTAGAGTGATATTCCTAGATGCTACATCCCGTATGTCATCATGGCAGGAATACTACGTAGTACCGGACCGTGATCAGGAACAGTAAATAATACATCACCTACAATCACAGATCATTTCCTGAGAATATATAGGGGATAGTCTCCCAAAAGCCACAATGAACCCAGCAGCGCCTCCGATAGCCATATAAGCAAGACAATTGCTCCGGCATCGCCTCTGTGCGTTCGTCATTCTGGAAATTCTTTCCCACAAGGCTTACGACAGGGCCAGACACGGGGCTCCACTTGAGCGACCACCGACGGAGACGAGACGACGACTGCCGCGATAACTGGGCGCAGGATCGGACTGACGGCTTACAAAAGCACGGAGAACGTGCGATGGGCTTTTTCTCTTTCTTTTGAGCGCCTAATTGATTGCTTCAGTTTTATCTCTTCTTACTATTATTTGTATCCCCCGCCCTCTTCTCCTCTTGCCTCCGCACCCGTCTCCGGTTGCAGCAACTGCGACTTCCCGACAACGGTGGTGCGTGAATTGAAGGGGAATTTTTACGATTTTATGCCGACTTATTATTATCGTTTTTATTAAAGAGATAATGTAGGTTGTGTGGTCTTTGCTTCTTTGCTTTTGATGGTGGTCTCCATAAGGCTGCGCAATCCGCATTCGCCTCCTCATCGCTATCGCAAACTACGCTACTCATCACTGGCGCCCAGGGAAAACAAGGTCGTGGGGCGATCTAGAGATCTTCAGGCTAACTATATATTCCTCCCGGCAGATTCCTTTTCCTACTATCTTTCCTACCTCTCCATATTCTGCATGTCTTATGCGAGCTATATTTAATCCACATCTTATCCGATGTTTCCTCTCCGACGAGCGATCCCTATTCTCGGCTTCGCCTTCTTCCTTTTCTTCCTGTACTCGATCCGCGGTCTTACGAAGTCATGGGATGAAGTGCCGCAGGTTGTCGGGTTAGGGGATCTGGTCCCAGTGTCCTCTGCTGGTTCAGGGGAGACGGGGAATACCTCTGCCTTTACTACTACTACGGCGGAGAAAGACGGACCGGCGAAAAAACCATTTGCGCCTCGTCCGCATTATGTGCCCGGGATCCCGAAGGCTCCGGGCTCGAAGTATACAAAGACATTAGTTGTGCCGCAGACCAGCGAGGAAGATACAGATTGGATTGCGGACGAACTTCCGGAGTGGGAGTCTGCTGTCTATGTGGTGGATGATCCGTCTGCACCGCTTCATCCGCCGAAGAATAAGGGACATGAAGTTATGGTATACCTGAGTTACATCATCGAGCACTATGACAATTTGACGGATGTTGTGGCGTTTATGCATTCGCACCAGTTCGCATGGCATAACGAGGATTTGTTTGAGGGCAATGCGGCTGATATGTTGCGGCGGCTTAACCCCGCTCGTATCGTGCGAGAGGGGTATATGAACCTGCGCTGCGGATGGGGTCCCGGGTGTCCGGACTGGATGCATCCCGGCGCACTGGAGGAGAACTCCGAGAAGCAGGAAGAGAGTATGCTCGCCCGGTCTTGGGGCGAGATCTTCCCAGATGACCCTGTCCCGGACGTCCTCGCTCAACCCTGCTGTGCTCAGTTTGCTGTCTCTCGCGATCGGATCCTCTCCATCCCGAAAGCGCGCTTCGTCTACTACCGCGACTGGGTACTTCGAACCGAACTCAGCGACTACATTTCAGGACGAGTCTGGGAGTACCTATGGCACGTGGTCTTCACCGGCGAGAACGTGGCCTGTCCCAAGGAACACGTTTGCTTCTGCGACGGCTACGGAATCTGCTTCGGCGGTGACGATGAGTACCAAGAGTACAGGAATCTCGGAGGCCAGAAGGGTGATCTCGAGCAGGACTTCAATCTCTGGGAAGGAGATGCGCGAATCATCGAGGCTGAACGGTGGAGTGGCTCTTTGTCGGAGACGAGCCACTTGTCTATTCCCGATCCAGGGAAAGATATTGAAATAATAGATAAGATTTCTGGGATTGAGCAGCTGCTCAATGACATTTTGACGAATGCCACGAAACGTGGCGAGGATCCGAAAATGAGGGCGTTGGAACTTGGACGTGAGTGGAAGGAGGGCGACGGTTTTTGAGAACCATCTCGACGCCCTTTTCAATATAAGGCAAACGATTCTCCTTGTGCCTATGTTTTGTATTTGTGGAGTTCTGCCATTTATCTTGGGTTGATTTTAGTCTCTTTAGGTGGACGGTCGTTTCTTCGAGTGTGTATATTGTCACCCATCTGTTGCATATTTTTGTTTGTTTTGGCGGGCTCCAAAGACCGGGAAAAAGTCATGTATTACTGATTCCCAGCTGGGAATGGGTTTATCTGTATTGTTTAGCAGTATATAAAGTATGAAAGTGTTCTCTCCCCCATGCTCCTGTGTAACTAGTTAACTAGTTAAGTTAGATTGTTCCTGGATAAACACCCGAATTCTGAGGCAGTGATATCACGTGAGCGGACTTTCTTACCCGCCTGAGCATAGCAACCGGGGAATTACTTCTCCGACACAGAGTTTGCACTGTCTGCTCAGTCTTCAAACCACGCAAACAGCGTCATACGTGCCCACCACTGGCTATCTACATATCGGTTTTCGAATATCGTCGATCTATCGCGACTCGCGTCGAGCGCCTCAATATTGGAGGCGTTCACGTCCTCTTTTCTCAGTTTTTTATAATAAACCTCTCGCGCACCGCTGCCACTGCATGGACAAGTGGCGTCGAGAAATTATTCCCTTGCTGAGCGCTGTAACGACTGGCAATTCACGAGGGCAGCAGGACTGCTAGTCATTCACTCCATTTCAGTCGCTCTACACCCGTGAATGACAATCTGATTTTTCTCTTTGTTCAATCCTGTTTCTTAAGCAAGCTCCCCTCTTTTATGAGACCTGTTGTTTCTGTGCAATTCAAGCAAAGAACCTCACTCTTCCTGCCAACAGTCCAACCCTGCTCTGTACACCTCGAGCTTTCGTACCCTAATTATCTGTTTGCAATTCTGCCTACGATCTAGTGCAGCCATTGATTGGCTAGCTCCGACCTCCTGCCATGACCTCGTCTGGCTCCAATCACCAACACCCTCCCTCGACCTCTGCTGAGATCTCTACGACTCAGCCCGCACATTCCTCCAGCATCGACCCCAACTCCCACCTGTCTGCTGGCTATGCTCCAAACGAGAATCAGCTAGCTGGCTTGGTCGAAGCTGCTACTGCGGCCGCCGGACAGGATGTCTCTGACTGGGCCACCGCGGCTGCTGTCGCTGCTGCTGCTGGGAACCAGCACCACCTAGACGGCTATGGACCTGAGATTCACATTGACGAGGATAGCTTCGGGGATCCGGGCTTCGGAGCGAGCTTAACTGCTAATAGGCAGCTGAGGGGCTCTGGTGACCACGGCCCGCCGTCTGGACTGTCGAGAACCGCCTCGAAGAAGCGGAAGCGAAACGAAGATACTCTCGATCCTGCTCTGGCTGCTGCTAGTTCTGGTATGGGTCTTGGTGCTGGCCATCATCAGCAGCATAATCAGCATCATAGTCCTCATCCGCAGCAGTACGAGGCTGATGGGTTAGATATCCGTCCTGTGCCTGCTCAGTCGTTGTCTGATGCTCGTGCTGTTGGTCTGCACTCTGCTGCTGCTCTCTTCCGCCAACCGTCGAGTAACAAGAAGCACACTCGTCCGCCCATGGCCAAAATGTTCACGTCGCTTGAGCTCTCGCCGGAGAACTTTCTGCAACTCCAGGCCGCTGCGAAGAACTATATGCTTGATGATGAGCATCCTGAGAGACGGGAATGCGTTGGCCAGCGTGGCAAAGGAGACTCTGAGATGGTCAAGCTGCGCCTCTGGAACTGTGTTCGTCATTTCTTGGAGGCCGAGGGGCACGGTGAGCGGTTCTTTGGAGAGCATGCGATCAACGAGGGAATTGGCCAAAGGGCTCATGTGTGGCCTCGTGACCAGCAGAAGATCATTGCGTTGATTATTCCCCTGCTGCGACGCATGGTGACGAATGAGCGTCAGCGCAAGTATGCCATCGAATCGAGAAAGGGTGGCGGCCCGGACGATCGCAGGAGAAGGAAAACGGACGAGAGCCTTCCCAATGCCAACAGTGCTAGTCCCCCGAGGTACGACGAGCAATTTCAGATGCATCCCCAGCATCACACTATCCCTGAAGAGTTTCCGCCTGCACCTTCCATGCCCACTCCTCAGCCTCAGATGGGACAGTCTGATACGCAGCTCGGCTTGACCAACCTTCTCCTTAATGGATATCCGACAGACTGGGAGGCGGTGGCTAGATCTTACGACATGTACAATCATGACTATGAGCTTGACAATTTGTGGAGTCTCTCTGGTCTCCAGCAGCCCGACTGGCGCGGATTGGTTGCTGCGGTCGATAGCCACTATCAGGTTTTCCACCAGGGTGATTTCGAATGCCCCAA